GATGGCAATCGAGAGTGGGTGACGGTGCTGGCTACTATATGCGCCGATGGATCCCACCTGCCTCCAGGCGTCATCTTTCCAGCTGCTGGAAACAACGTTCAGAGCAGCTGGGTACACGAAATTGAGGCTGGAAAACACTCTATCCACTTCACTACGTCACCAAATGGATGGACCAATAACGACTTAGGATTGACGTGGCTCCAGCAAGTGTTTGATCGCTACACCAAGCCGAAAGCTCGGAGAGAGTGGAGACTACTGATAATTGACGGCCACGGCAGCCATATAACAAAGGCCTTCATCGACTACTGTGACGCTAATAAGATACTACTTATGGTATTTCCACCTCACGCTACACATACTCTCCAGCCATTAGACGTCGTCTGCTTCAAGCCACTGGCTCAAAACTACTCAATTGAGCTGGATAACTACAACCAACGGAGCCAAGGCAGAGCACCTGTGAAGAAGAGCAACTTCTTCTCACTATTTTGGCCTGCCTGGGTGAAAACCTTCACCGAGACGCTCGTTTTGATAGCTTTCAGAGCCACAGGCATCTACCCACCAAACGCCGACGTCATACTCACTCGGTTCAAAACACCTACTCCTCCGCCTCCAGCAACACCTCCAGAGCAGTCTGCAGCAGCAGCTCTACCTACTGAGCCAAACTGGTTGAAAGCTAAGACGTTGCTGCGGAGTGTGGTGAAGGATAACGTTGGTGCAGGGGCGTCGGGTTTGGAGCAGGTACTCCACCAGCTCCACGTCCAATTAGAGCTCACCCAGCACGAATTAAGAGGTGTACAAGACGCTCTTGCTGCTAAGGAGAGAGTCAAAAAGAAGAAGAAAGCACTGCCTCTATACTCTCACAACCTCAACCGGCACGGAGGAGCTACTTGGTGGAGTCCCTCGTCAAAGAGAGAAGCTGACGCACGTGACGCTGCATTTGAGGACTATCAACACCAATTAGAGCTAGAAAAAGCTACCCAGAAGGAGCTACAACACAACCAGAAGCTACTACGAGAAAAGCAGCAGCAGCAGAAGCGTGAGGCACGGGCGAGGGAGAAGGTTGAGCGTGACCAGAGGCGCGCGGAGGAGCGCGCTCAAATCGATGCACGCAAAGCAGAGAGAGAGCGTCAAAAATGCAATAAAATTGAGGCCAGAAAAAGTAGTCAATTGCCTAATCGAGGCAAGTGCAAGGTCTCAAAATCTACTGCCTCCAAGAGGCAGAGGCGTGGTGCTGCTGCTGCTCGTAGTCGTGCAGTAGTACCCAGCGAGGCTCCAGTGGCTCCAACTACAACCACCCGCCGCGGCCGCACCTCAACACTGCCAGCACGTTTTGTATGAGCAATAATCATCGCATAGGCCTGTAGATTAATCCACCAAAAAATCTGGCGATAATAACTATTGTATGTGGCTCTACAGCCTCATTTTTGTGAGGCCTATTGACTAGCCGAGGTGCGCGTTGCGAGAACATGCGCGTTGCGCGCACAGACACGGTATGCATAAGAATAGGCTGTCAAGGCTAGGCTGGTGCTTCAGCTAGCCCCCAGCATGTTCGACGAGCTTCCCACTGTCCACCTCGTAACCCTCGCAAGCACACATCAACGATGAATCAGAGTTTCGGGAACGATAAGGGACGATGTTCACACGAATCGGCTATGGATGGTGCTCAACCCGCGTACCATTGGCGAGGCAGCCTGCGCGCTATGCTCTATGTATAGCCGCTGTGCACGAGGCTGAGGTCGATGCCGCCCATGCCCTGCACCCCACTGCTCTGCTGACAGTGGCCTCCGCAGTCCTCTCTCCTCGCTGCACATACACTGTGGGCTCAACGAGCACTGCAGATCTGGCCTCCGATAGCTGCGCAGCGCCGTCGTCTGTTCTCAAGAAGCTGACGCACTTCGAGGCGTGAAGCGCGCGCATGGCAGTCGTACACCGGCTAAGCTTCACAAGGCTGAGTGCCAGAGAGCAGGACGATGACCGTTTTTGCTTGAAGTAGGACCGCGTTTATACACATTGCAGGATTTTTAATGACTTTCTGCAGTGTAGTGTTTGTCCATGGCCTTCGAGGTCATCCTCGAGGAACGTGGGAAGCAGAGGTGGGGACGGCGGCGGCGACAGCAGCAAGCACGAGCAACAGCAGCGACACGACAAAACGATCCAAGAGCCTCGGATCTTTTTTCAAGCGACGAAAGGCCAGGTCGTCATCAACAAGCACAGAACAAGCGCAGGCTCCCTCCTCCGTCCCCTCATCATCACTGCCATCGTCTAAAGTCTTCTGGCCAGAGGAGTACCTCGCGGCGGATTTTCCTCAAGCCCGAGTGTGGACGTACGGATATAATGCAGACGTTATCGGAGGTCTCTTCCAGGCAAACAACAAGAACAGCATCTCCCAACATGGACAGGACTTGTCGGTCGGGCTGGAGAGAGAGATTGACAATGGGGTATAATACCAGCCTGTTCGCAGAGAGCAAGTGAATGCCTAACATTGTTGCAGAGACCACTCGCGTTCGTAGTGCACAGTCTAGGAGGCATCATTGTCAAAGATGTAATGGCGAAGTAGTCCGCGACATCACAACATGTCTGCTAATTTGCTGCTACAGGCTATCCGCCGATCAGAGACGATCCGTGAGCAGACAAAGCTTATCATTTTCCTTGGGACGCCGCACCGAGGGAGCGCGTATGCAGGCTGGGGCCAGATTGCTTCGAACCTTGCCAGCCTTGCCCTGCAAGACTCGAACAAAAAGATTCTTGAGACCCTAGAGGTGAACAACGAAGTCCTAGACAACATCCACGAGGAATTCAAGACGATTGCGTTCAAAGGAGCAATGAAGATCCACTCCCTTCAGGAGGCACGGGGCATTACTGGCATGAAAGGGCTCGATGAAAAGGTGTGTATTCTACCAAAGTATACGTACTTCATTAGCACGTGGGCTCCTACCATACTAACGATATCAGGTCGTAGATGACTTCTCGTCGAAGCTCGACCTCCCACGGGCGCTAGAGAGTGTCGAAAGCATTGACGCAAATCACATGCAGATGGTCAGGTACAGCAGCAAAAACGATCAAGGCTATCGTGCCGTCTCTGGCATCTTGGGGGCCTTTGTCCGACGGGAGCTAAAGACCCAGCAAATACCGCCTGTCAATGTCGCGGACATCCTTCGTACGTAGAACCATAGACTGCTCAGTATAGGAATGCGCAACGCTTACTAAACATGCGGCGACTAGCAGATGATGCCCTGTTCATGGTCCCTTTTTCAAGGGACGACAGCTTTGTTGGTCGGGAAGACATAATAGCAGAGATCAGCGAGCGAGCAGCCTTGCAGAAACACACTCGCGTGGCTCTTGTCGGACTGGGAGGTATAGGGTCAGTGAGATCGGATGGTTTCTCTCTAGGCAACAGCACTGACCAATTGTCAGCAAGTCGCAGATTGCAATTGAGTATGCGTACAGAACCCGAGAAGCGAAGCCGAACACCCTAGTAGTCTGGATACACGCAAGCGATCCCACCAGATTCCAGCAAAGATATAGAGACATCGCCGACGAGCTCCTCCTGCCCGGGCGGGAAGATCCAAAGGCAGATGTCTTGCAGCTAGTGTATGCCTGGTTGTCAGACGGGAGGAACGGGCAGTGGCTCATGATACTCGACAACGTTGACGACGATGGTGTTTTCTTTGCTGATGACGAGGACACTATAGGTTCGGCGCAGACGGTGCATGCAGCGGAGCACAGGAAGCCACTCGAAACTTTCCTTCCCCAGACGGCGAACGGAACGATCCTGATCACATCAAGGAACAGGGCTGCAGCGATCAATCTCGTCGGAGGACATGGGGGCGATATCCAGGTGGAGCCGATGGAAGAAGAGGACGCGCTGGCGCTGTTGCAGACAGGAGTGCCGTTTAGCGAGCCCAGCCGAGCGGACGCCAAGGCGCTCATCCAGGCGCTGGAGCGGATACCTCTGGCTATCACACATGCCGCGGCGTACATCAAGACAAGAGCAGCGACAACGACCGTATCCACCTACCTCGAGCTATTCCGCGAGAGCGAGGCCAATCAGGTGCATCTCCTTGGCAAGAAGGAGTGGAAAGACATTCGACGCGATCACAGCATCCGGCACGCAGTGATTGCGACATGGCAGATCTCGTTCAGGCACATCCAGAAGACGGAACCGCCGGCTGCCAACCTTCTCGCGGTGATGAGCATGTTTGATAAGCAGGGGATTCCGAGATGGCTACTGCAGGCCAACACCAGCCAGCTGGACTTTGATGATGCTCTAGCGCCGTTGCTCAGCTTCTCCCTCGTGAGGACCGAGATTGGGGAGCAGGTGCTTGAGATGCACCGGCTTGTGCAGCTGTCGATGAGGACGTGGCTGGAGGCGGAGAAGGAGCTAAGCAGGTGGGTGAAGAAGTCGATACGGGCTCTCAGTGCAGCATTTCCAAGTGGAGACTACAAGACTTGGGAGGAGTGCAAAGTACTCCTTCCGCACGTCAAAGAGGTTGTGGGCCATACGACAGAAGACAAGGAGGATTTTACGAACCAGGCAAAGGTTGCGCTTAGCGCAGGATGGTATCTGCTCTTAACAGGCGAGTACAAGGCGGCGGAGGGCTTTCTCCAGATGGCAGCGGACACTAGAGAGAGGGTGCTTGGGCCAGAGCACCCCGACACGCTCATCAGCGTCAGCCAGCTTGGGGCGGTGCTGGAAAGGCAGGGCAAGTACGAGGAGGCAGAAACAAAGCATCGACGAGCGCTGGAAGGATATGAGAAGGTGCTTGGTCCAGAGCACCCTGACACGCTCGCCAGCGTCAGCCAGCTTGGGGCGGTGCTGGAGAGGCAAGGCAAGTACGAGGAGGCAGAAGCAAAGCATCGACAAGCGCTGGAAGGAACAGAGAAAGTACTTGGACCAGAGCACCCCAACACGCTCATCAGCGTCAGCCAGCTTGGGAGGGTGCTGTCGAGGCAGGGCAAGTACGAGGAGGCAGAAGCAAAGCATCGACGAGATCTAGAAGGGTCAGAGAAGATGCTTGGGCCCGAGCACCCCGACACGCTCATCAGCGTCAGCCAGCTCGGGGCGGTGCTGGAAAGGCAGGGCAAGTACGAGGAGGCAGAAAAAAAGCATCGACGAGCGCTGGAAGGATATGAGAAGGTGCTTGGGCTAGAGCACCCCGACACGCTCACCAGCGTAAGCCAGCTTGGGACGGTGCTGTCGAGGCAGGGCAAGTACGAGAAGGCAGAAGCAAAGCATCGACAAGCGCTGGAAGGATATGAGAAGGTGCTTGGGCTAGAGCACCCTGACACGCTCGCCAGCGTCAGCCAGCTTGGGGCGGTGCTGGAAAGGCAAGGCAAGTACGAGGAGGCAGAAGCAAAGCATCGACAAGCGCTGGAAGGAAGAGAGAAGGTGCTTGGGCCAGAGCACCCCGACACGCTCACCAGCGTCGGCAACCTTGGGTCGGTACTATGGAGCCAAGGACGGCTGGCGGACGCTGAGGGCTTGGAAATACGGGTCATGGAGGGAAGGAAAAGAACGCTTGGGGATGCCCACCCAGACACGCTGACAGCAATGGCCAACCTCACGTTTACTCTCAGGTCGCAAGGTCGCAATCTGGAGGCTTTGTTGCTGATGGAAGCATGCGTTCAAGTGCGGGCCCGGGTCCTTGGGCTTGGCCATCCCGACACCGAGTCTTCTACCGCAACGTTGAACTGGTGGCGCTTGGAAGACCTGGATATAGGAGTGTGAAGGTGACTGGTTGGGGCGTTGAGCGTGGCTTGTGTACAACGATAATCATAACAGCAATGCATACAAGCCATTCTGTTGCAGTATCAGTCGGTCCGTACGAGACCCGATCACCCTTGCTTAGACTGTTCTGGACTAGCACGTTCCAGGGCCAGTATATAGTCGCCTTCTCCCCACTAGATAGCAATTCGGCGCAGTGTTCCATCGACCCGATAGTCCTACGTTATCGTTTACCGTAGCTATCAGTATTCTACAGCGGCCCACGCCGCCACATCTTTGCTTCACTGCATACACCACAACATCAGCTCTACAATACCGGTTCCGGAAACCTACAACTTTTTTCCTAACCCTCACCCCCATTTAACCATTCGTTGCTGCACGACCTTGAGGAAGCAGCTGCAAGTCAGAGTCAAACAAGCTAGTCGGAATATTACTCATCGCCGAGCTTGATGACTGAATAGCCGAAGCCGCCATCTGTGGAGGCACAGGATACGAGATGACGACCCAGAGCTATGATTTGATGGATTGGAATTTTATGTTCTGGCGATGAAATGCGGTCGTTGATTTGCAAGCGAAGATAGACGCTCAGATATGCCGTCTTGTAGGCTGTACGCATGGTCAAAATCGATCTCAGCCTTCAAGTGGCTGTTTCAATGCGGAGACCTTGTATAGCCAGTGGCAGCGTCATCAGCACCAGCTACAGACGCACTATGTCCTCTTCGTAGTGAGCCCTCGGCCATCTTCTGCCTTGCCTGCCGAGCGTGGAATTCCTGTACTGCTTCACGTGCAAGAGGGGGTGCAATCTGGCGCTCGAAGTGATGACGATGTGCATTGTCTGTGTGACCCAGGAGTGCTCCTCCGATTATGCGCTCACAATGTAACTGATCTTGAAGCTCCCATGCAGTAACAGGTGCGTGCCGAGGGCGGTGCATAGACGCACGCGAGCCTCGAGAAGATCGAACGGACACACGGTTTGCGATGGATCGAGGTGGCGTTCGAACCGCTTCGGGTGCCGCCTCTTCAGGGACATTTCTTGCTTCGGGCGGAAGTTCGTGGTCGACATGATCGGAGAGAACTCGGTGATCTACTCTCTGGGCTTGGTCGTCTCCCAGTTGGCGAGAATTTACCAGTGGAGGTCGTTTGAATGGTGGTTGGTCGTTATTTCCATCACTGAAACGACCTGGACGTGCAACAGTCGCGGCTGGTATCCGATCCGGCGCTGCGTCCAGGCCACGATCCCAAGCAGCCGCCACCGGCCTTCGTCCATCAACAACAGGTGGTTACCCATCAGGCAAGTTAGCGTCTGCCGAAAGTGGTCATCCGCAAGGCGGTCACGTAGTTAAGCCAGGGCAGCAGTTGCAGCAAGGCAAGCATAAGCCCTTTGTCGCAAATATTGAAAGTTAGGTTGCTCACGGTAATGACCGTCGTCGGGGCTATCACGCGTATGTAAACGCGACTGCTCTGCTCGCCGGTCGTACCGCCCAGTGTTTGCGGGGTAGTTTGGTTGTCATGGTATTGTATTGCAGGTGAGCAGAAGCTTGATATAAGCTACCTATCACGTGATGGCGATCGGTGGGATCCTTCACTTCCTCCAACACCCAGCTTTATTACAAGGCCTCTGCAGTCTTTGTTCAATCTGGGGTCGCGCGATGTCTTCGACATCGTACGTATCGATAACATGGCTCAACAAGCAAGCAAGCACATCACGAAGCACGGACCGGAGCGGATGCCGAATTATGTCCTGTGGCGCGTCCATTGGCACTTGTTGTGTGCAGGCCTGAAAGTCAGCGATCCCTCGAGTTCTTGATGACGAGTTTGTTCTTGTAGCCGATATCAAATTTATAGAAGACCGTGTCTCGAGTATATGCGAGGTAATGTTGCCCATGTCGTGAGTGTCTATGATTGGATTTGCTAGAATCCAGGACCGAGACTTCTTGAACTGCCCGGTGTGTGAGATGCCTGTGGACGGTTCATCAACCTACCTATGACCGTCATGTTGCGGCCGAATGATTCCATTTCAGTAGCTGAGCGGCAACACAAGGCGTTCGCTGTACTATACATTGACGGTCGCGACTTCAAACTGCGATTGCAGTTGTTTGTTTTGCGCAAGCTTTCTGGACATCCGGGCCTTGTCCATACGGGTCGTGGCTTAGCGATACACGTCGCACGATGTTGGGATCATCCCGATTCGTTGGAGATGCTGGCGTTGGTGAGTTACTGCTATCATCGATGCGAAACCTGGTAAGGATGCGTGCGAGATGGAGCACGTCGACGATTCGAATTTGGCAGACCTCGGCTGCGCGTCAACCGAGGCGCGCCTACCCCACACTCTCGCGCGTCGCTCCTTCATCTACAACAAAGACGTAGGTATAAGCGTACGTCTATTAAGACGCTCCATCTGGTTGTTTTCCGTCAGCAGTCTTGACGGCAAGCTTCTCTTGTTGTTCGTGCTTTGTTCTTTTGACGAGCGTTTGTGCAGTTTATTTTTGCCAACAATGACGCAGCCGACGCTAGTATTCAACTATGACATCTCCTGTCCGTTCGCTTACATCGCCTCAACACGCGTCAAAGCCCTTGCTGAACGCACAAATGCCAAACTCGTCTATCGTCCCGTGCTTCTCGGTGCGATCTATCGTGCGACTGCCGCACCTCAGGGTGCAGCGGGGTCGGCCAGCGATGTCTTCAACCCTACCAAGAAGGCCGTCACAGCACAGAGCATGCGAAGAACTATAAACAGGTATGAATTTGCTTTGAAGGGTAAATTTCATGACTGACGGCTCGGATCAGATACAAGATCAAATATAACCCACCACCTGAGCATCCACGAAAGTCGGTCAATGCGTTGCGACTGCTATATTGTGTGCCAGACGGCGATGAACGGTGCGTCTTGACCGAGAAGTTATTCAGTGCTTACTGGGTTGAGAATCGAGATGTCACCGATACCGAAGTGCTGCTGCGAGCTGCCAAGGAGAGTGGCATTGCGAGCGCATCAATCTTGAATGCAAGCAGCTTTGCCAATGCGCAAGCCAGAAAAGAGCTGGAAACTGCGACTGCCGAAGCAATCGAAAGAGGCGCTTTCGGCGTGCCAGGCTTCTGGATTCCTGGTGCAAGATGGACAGATGTGCACGGCGAGACCAAGACTGGCCGATTCTTCTGGGGTCAAGACCGCATGCACTTCGTTGAGGCCACATTGCTATCACTTCGAGATAATAGTCAATGGAGTGATGTCTCTGGTCTGGCTACTCTCATGCCTCGCTGCATTCCATACAGCCAGACCACACTCACGCGGAAGGTTAAGCTGGAGTTTTGGTACGACTTCAGCAGCCCGTGGGCCTTCCTCGGCTATACCCAACTCGCAAGACTGCAGCGGATTTTTGGAGCGAACCTCGAGATCGAAATGAAGCCGTTCTTGCTCGGTATACTGTTTCGTGAGATCGGCGCACCCAACATGCCTATGCTTGCTGTGAGCCCCACAAAAGCGGCGTGGTCAAGACAAGATCATGCGGACTGGACAGCTTACTGGAACGCTGTGAACATCTCGGGAGAGGGCAGGGGTAAGACCATAGCCTTTCACTGGGCTGATGTCTTCCCCATTCGCACCCCCACAGTGCTTCGAGTCGCCATTGTAGAGCCGGCGACCGTTCCTTTATTATGTGAGCCATTCACTGCGTAGAGATAAGTCGCGATACTAATCTTGACTAGACTCAGCTTGTTGGGAGCAGAATGCCAACGTATCAGATGATAATGTGCTTGTGAGCGTGCTTGACAAAGCTGGATACAACGGAGCCGACCTGCTCGCGAAGGCCAATAACCCTGCTATCAAAGCCAAGCTGCGCGAGAACACCGCGGCGGCAAAGACAGCAGATATCTGCGGCGTCCCTACATATCGTGTACTACGACAAAGTGAGGATGGGAGCTGGCAACCGCATGGTGGTCTGGTCTGGGGGCAGGACGAGACCAATGTCGTCGAAGACTTGATTGCTGGGTGGAATCCCGAGAGGTCACTTGAGGTCGCGGAACCTCAAAAGGCGAGCACTGGTGCGAAAGTAACGGCCAAATTATGAGCTCCCTTTCCTTCCTTGCCGCATAGGCCTTGGTGTAGCGATCTGTAGCTGGTCGTGCCGTTTGTAGAGTGTCGGTTCTACGTCGCTCCCCGGGCTCACACATGCTTGACTGTTCACTGGTTCTCGCTCCCATTAGCTCCAGATGCCCACTTTGGCAGGTATGAGGTGTACGCCGAGCGCTCACATACTATTGAAATTGCTCCACCACGAATATCATCCACAACCTGCCACACTCCACTCAACCAACGAACATTACGCCCCCGCGGCCTCGGTTACGTTTGTCGACCTCTATGTAATGACCAGCAAGCCGTAATAGACAGGAGACGCCCATCACGGTGGGACAACTTTGGTTCCTTTATTCCCGCACTTCGCAACAACACCAGCCTGACTCGGACCAGTATGCCATCTGAACATCTCCACTACATAAATGAATAAAAAGGCGTCGTCTGTTGATGCAGCTTGCCCTGGCACTACGGTTACAGAAGGGTCTGACATCCTGATATCAAAACTTGGAGCAGCGCTTTTTACCGTGTCAACCCAGATGAGTTCCGTTACTCGAGAGCAATGGCGTGCACACTCAGGCATTCCTGCGCTACAAACTCCGCTGAGAGTGTATGTGTCCAGTCAACGTCCTCCTGGATGTGCATACACGTATGTACAGCTTAACACTATAGCCTTAACCAAGTTCCACGAGACTTACGCGAGAAATGTCTTTCCTCTTGAAGACCTTGACGAGGCTGACGACTTCCTTTATCAGCACACTGGTCAATCCCTCACCTCAACTGGTGAACAGGTGCTGCTGCACTCCCTACCAGCTCTTGCGTTCAAGGCTAGCACTGCGCTCAATGAGAACACTAATGCATTTGATGGATTCAGCAGGATGGAGGATGCTCTACCGACCTTTGGTGGACGACCGACACAGCTATTCTCGAATCCCTCCTAACCAAATCCCGTACCCTCAACCAGGGGGGGGGGGGGCACCGGTCGCACATTCCAACCAGAGGAGCGTCCTCATGAAGCTTCTACGCGCAATCCTGCGGCCTGTCAGCCATCAGTCTACGAATATAGCGACGGAACAGCGTTCCACACCTGCGACAGGTCGAGGTCGTACGGGAGACACTTTACAGCAGGGGCGGCTGGATGATCAGCGTTGGAACGCCGGTAGAGCAAACAATCAGGGCAATGTCCGTGTAACAAATGAGGCTCAAGACGGCTTCCATCGAGCGCAACTGCATGACCAGCGCTGGAACGCCGGTATAACGAGTGGTACAGTCAACAGCCGCGTTGCAAACGAGCCGACACAACCTCAGCTAACACGGCCTCACGAATCGACCCGAGTCGAATCGCAGCTACAAGCTACACATCCGCGAATGCGCCAAACATCACGTCAGCAAACTGAACTGAGCCGCAAGCGTCCCGCGAACAACCATCGAGCTCAGCAACAACGAAACACATAATCAAGTTCTGTTTCGAATAACAAACCAGGCCTAGCATCTCAGCCTCGGTCTGAAACAGTACTTGAACCTGTTGGTCTACCTTCTGGCTTCCCTCTGTTGAAGCGCAACTATACATCGTCGAACGAGGAGACTGACGAAGCAAAACCCGCCTGCTTGCAGATGGTCTTAGACGTGATCGCAGATGTTGCGACCGATTAGGTTCTCGACTTGATCAACGCGACGATGATCGACTGGACGAGCGTGGAAGCTCACAGCGGGAACATCATCAGCCAGCCCCTGGAAGCAAACATGTATTCTAAAGATCCACGTGTCTCATCAAATGATGGCAATTGCCAAGTACAACTCATCACCGAAGCAGAGTGCCTGGAGGTGGTGCGAAAAGTGTTTCTGAACATGCTGCTTCATTATATTCGCACGATGATCGAGGACAGAACCACGAACCGGATACGTGCCGAGGTGCAGGCTGAAGAGATCGTGAATCAGCTCTTGAAGGAGGGTTTCCGGTCCCAGGGAGCTTCGCACCTTGCAAGACACAACTCGATTTCAGGAACAACAATGTGACAATAAATAAGTCGCACGCGCTCGCATCTCCTCGGTCACCGAGACGAGGCAAGTAGCGCCAAATGGGGTTAGCGTCCCTCTAGAACCCGAATGAATCCCGGGTGCCTTGTCTCACTACAAAACATTTACTCAACATGTTCTTCTCTCGACAACGTCCATTTGAGAACATAGCACCACAACTTGAAATTTCATTCAATTGTTTGTCACAGACAACCTGCCTCGCCTGCCATCATGAACGAATTACCGCAGGAAATTGTCGACAATGTCTGTAGCTATCTCGATCACGACAGTCTCAAGTCAATACTGTTGCTTTCAGAAAAACTTCAGTATGCTGCCGAGCAGTACTCTGAAGCCTTCCGGATCTTCACTTTGACCGCCAATAATATTGAGAAATTCATCGCAACATACAGCGGCCGGCGCTTTCGGTATCTTCGACAGTTGGAGTTTCGACCATTCCTACCTGCACCTGAGAGGGATGAAGATCTGCAGGACTGGGATAGTGATGATAACCAGTATCGGGAATCACAAGAAGAATTGCAGAACATCGATGCCCACTTCACTTCGCAGATCCGCTTACTCTTCTCGACAATGAAGGCAGTGGAGACGCACTCGTGTAACGAAAAGGCCACGGGTTACATTCACCTTAAGCTCTTCACGCCGACTATGAATTTGAATCCGAACATGTGGCCCCTCCAGCGACTGTTCGTCACCTGGCGAGTGCATCTCTTGACACCGGAGACACTCCCCATGCTCACGTCTGTTCGGGAATTGACTATACAAAGTCCAGATCAGACGTGGTATAGGAACGGACCCCATCCTTCGTTGCGAAAGCTTGACCTGCGGGTGCTTCTTGACCTCTCTGGCAAGTTGCCCAACCTATCAGCTCTACGTTGCAGAATTGGGGCGGACGAGCTCTACAGCAACACTCTTTCCTCCGAACCACTTCGCTACATAACACAAGACTGGATTGGGCCGCGCAAAGACTCCCGTAGTGGCTTCGGCAAAGCACTTGAGGGGCTTGCTCTACACAATCTGCGTCACGTCTGCCTGGACTTTCTCTACCCCCAATTTCGCATCCAGCACATAGACCAAGGTCTGCCTATGCCGAATCTTACGGCGCCGTCACTCTTAGATCCACTCAGTACCTCTCTGCGTATACTCTCGCAACAGTTGCGCGCAATGCAATTTCGCGTCATAGCCGATGCGACCTTGTTCTGGCCCGGCGAAGGTGATACTCCTCATTGGCCGAACCTTGAGCACCTTCAAGTCGAATTCCACATGTCCACCCCGGCAGGATCCTGGTACTTCAATAAACCGCCTGGAATACAGGTGGGAGCCGCGAAAGAGCGCCACACTGTGGCGCAAACCGAATTTTACCCGCCCCTGATCGATACAGAGAAAGACGACGCGCTCTGGGAGGAGACGTGCGAGATGGACCTCGAAGAAGCGCAAACGGGTAGTCTGCAGTTTCGTGTCGTTCCGAATGATGCAAAGATCGTGCCGTTCCTTACAGCATTTGCAAAAGCCGTTGCACAGATGCCTCGCCTAAAGACGTTTGCACTATGGTCACCGCTTACATTCAGTCTCGATCCTGATGATGGAGCGTACAAAGACTTTGACTTTGCAACGGTTTCAAGTATCCCAAAGCATGTTCTATATGCAGCAAAGCTTGCGTGGGGTATTGCATATACAAACCCGCACGAAAGGCCGTTCCCCGACAATAGCCAGGCTGATTTCAGCATACAAAGACGAATGTGGTGGAGAACAGGCACATGGCGGCCGCACGCAGATTTGCTGGAGAGTCTCAACAATATTGGCAAAGAGCAATACAGGGGTGATATGCTCAACTGGTTTGATGACGACGGACTCCACAACAGCCTGGACTTCGAACGTTTCAGGTACAGATACTTCGAGGTGTAGACCACTGTGCTCAAAGGATTTGCTACAAGGCCGAGTCTTTCACAATCTTGCAGAACATCGGGTTATATAGCGAGAAGCGGCCCGTGGAATTTGAGTAATGTTCATTGACGCAAAGTCAAAATGCTCGAAGGCCGTACATCGCGCGAGGGGGCATTCGATGTCACTGGCGCTTCTTACGAGCTGCCAATGCCTCGAACCATGCTATTGTTCATCTTTGCAAACCTCGTTGTCGACCTTGGTTTCAAGAGCCAAGCTTGTCTCGCGATCCTCCATCTGTCTGAGTGTGACACCAAACCTCTGGAACCAGGGCAACTGGGACTCACCGGAGTCCTTCGCTCTCGGTGGGTAGATCTCCGAACTGCGGCAGATTTCGTACTTTCTATTGCGACAACAGCCCCAAGTCCGATGCTGCGTAACGTGAAGTCCGATGTCCACAAGCCTAACGCTAGGTCGAGCCTCGATCTGTGAAATACATATGGCATACTTCCAGTGCGTGTTGCCGCATCTAACACCACTGTAAGGCAGTCTTGTACCACTCTCGTTTCACCCAACCTGTCTTAACGTCATTGAACTTTTACCCCTTCATTCAGCACTTTGATCGTTCATACCTTCAACCTTACGAACCTCTATCGTATGATCTTTTACATCATCTCGCACACAATCCGCTATGTGGACTCCTGAATTGTACGCAGTGATAGCCGCAATGAGTTTGCAACTTGTCCATGCTCATGGAACGCCGCAATGTCATTTTGCACGTATCCCGACAGAAGGTTTAGAGCATGATGCGATCGCCTTAAAGGCAGTGCTTGAAGGTCCCGTGGCCAGCTTGTGTGAACAAGCATCAACGTCTGAATCGGGTGACCACGGACTCATTAGTTACGTTGCGAAGGATGTCTTGTTTACAATCAAGCGTGGTACAACTGCGCAGAACGAGGGAGGATGTGTAATGGCCTTCCAAAGCATCTTCGATTTGTGTATTGTCGATCAGCATGCTGAAGGTGGTGCCATCAGCGCCAGTGGAAGTGGAGCGGTATACGAGGTGTCCACTCAACTTCCCAACTCTCTCATTGCTCGTGCAAAAAAGCCAAAGAAGCCTACAAAAGTACCAACCAAACCACCTGCCAAAGCTCCTGCAAAAATATCCACCAAGGCACCTACAAAAGCGCCAACAAAAGCACCTGTAAATTCAACCCCAACCCCAGTCAAGAAAACCACTTCCAGAGTGCAGCCCTCAGCCACGAAAGTGTCTAGCTCTGCAAAGCCTACACCAACAAAGACTTGCAAGAAGCTTTACAGCGAGTTGTTGGCGTCTAGTCGCAAGGTAGCTCTCGCAGAAAGGAGGGAGGAGAGCCTGATTGATCGTCGGGGTTTTAGTGGTAGCAGAGTTCATGTTGAGAAGCGCTGGTCCGCAAAATCCGGAAAGGCTTGTGGCTTCGAACTGAAAGCGTTGAGCTACCCTGAAAGGGAACCAAAGAAAGGAGAAATGGTAAGTTGGGAATGAGCCTAGCTCTCCCGGACAGCACACGTCTCTCTGCGGATGTGAAGGTTGACATCCTACAGTCCAAAAATGCGAACTGGTACGGATTCGTCAAGCCTGACGTGTGCGACGACCTTGTGTTCAGGTCGGCAAACAGCCCGGCACCAGGTATCGCCGTGGGAGATTATGAGGTCGAGCACATCCTCGAATGGAACGTCGTGACTCGGTTCTTTGATTGGGTCCGTGATCAAAAACCCGGGAACATCTTCGATCACCCAGATAAGGCGCAGAAAAACACGAAGGTGGACTTTTGCGACTACTGGAAAGAGACGTGGACAACAGACGATGTGCAATTACTGACCTTCAAGATCACAGATGGGTCTCCCGGCAGCGATGGCGAAGCCAGGGGTGTTCTGAAGCACATTGCGTACGCATTTCCTGGACGAGACAACTTCCCTGAAGAGTTTGTCTATCTGCACGAGCTTCTAAACGCGCCTGCAAAAACTGAAGTACGTTGAACACAATCCTTTCAGCTTCTTCGACAGGACGGAACGTGGTGCTAACAAACACCTAATAGATGTGGAAACCGAAATCTCCTGGTTCCGGGATCTATGACCAAGGAAGAATCACCAGGGCTATTGTAGGGAGAGGTCCTAGGAACAGGAAAACGCTAAACATCGACGCGGCCAGGTCAGCTCTGTTAGAAGTGAAGCATTTATTGGGTGCCCGCAAGTACATGAATAGTAAAGAGATACAAGGGATTCTGAAGAAACAGAAAGTCAGAATGGGGGAGATGATCAGTCGCCTCGACGTAGAAATGGCGAATCACCCGAGAGCCAACTTCAACGCCTGGCAGCCTCAACAGCTTGGAGCGCTTTGGAACAAATACATGAATCAGAAGTTTGCCGATGCAAAGGCGAGGACCGACCGTGATATGGATGGGTACTTGGCCATGCTGGTCAAGGCGTGGACACCTGTCAAAGACAAGGACCAAAATCACAAAGACTTCTTTGCTAGTATTGAGAAGGTTAGAAAAGAATGGACTCTGGAGAAGAGGCGACCATGGGTGGCTCCATGGTAACAGAGCGCCGAGTTCGTGCAGGCACGGATGACTGCCAGAGTGGAGGCTATATTCGCAACAATTGCCGTGCTGCCGTGTCCTGTTGCCGAGATATTACCTTACGGTAGCTGTTTTTGAAACATGATGCGAAGCTTAGCTCTGTAATCATATTTTCGGTTTACTTAGAAAGTCTAACTTACTATCGTTCACTACCTCCACGCGAAATTCACGGAATGACCTTATTGCGAGTGTCTAACATCGAGGAAGTCTGCCAAAGTTGCTGTTGATGCCCACGACATTGGTTTCGACGCCGCTAACGCGCAGACCGTTAACAGTGACAGTGCGAGGGCTGCAGCTTCAGTTGTTGGAACCTTGTGCCTAATTAGCTTTGGAATGATATAGTGTATGTGAGGAGAAAACGTACAGCTACCGCAGGATGTGTACGATTTTTCGACGACGACGGTGTAATCGCGAGTTACCATGTTTCCGCGGCCGTTGTGCTAGATCACCTTGTCTTCGGTATTCTGGACACCGATGGTGACAGTTCCGGAATCGAGAGCGGACACAGCATCTGGAAGCTGGTTAGCAGATTTCGTTGGCCTTTGGATATAAGACCGTACCCTCGTAGATGCCGCGGAAAAAGATATCTCTAACGGTACAACCAGTCTGACAAATAATTAGAACGGTTCTCGATGCATGGCTGCCGACACATACCTGGCAATGAATTCCTTCGAGCTGGTTGGCACCAATGAGGCCGTTCTGGATCGTGGCACCATCTTCGAGGATGAACACAGCATTCTCACTGCCAGTGTCGCCCGGAGCACATTTCCCAAATATAAATCACAGCAAATCGTCTTCCATAGTCTTAGACTCAGATAGGACGTTAAACCAATCAATCGCCCGGAGCACAGCGCATGCCACAGTCAAACTCGCGGTTGCTGAGGTCAATGGTAGTGCCACGGGGAATAGTGCAAACCGAACGCAAGACATTCACACCGTTGGTGGTTGTGAATGTACAGGATGATGGGAGTCCAGTGATGGCTCCGGGCCTGGTAGAGAAGCTGAGACTTTGAGCGGCACTGAGGCCAAAAGTAAGGGCAAAAGCAAGGGCTTGCGTTTTGGGTGGGTTGAGCTGTCACCTGAGGTTGACAAAAAAGATGAGAAGCTTGAGATCTGCGGTAGAAGAGAATTGGAGAAGATGGCTGCAGTATCAATCATCAGTGATTGGGGCCTGCTCTTTATACACCATCGTTCCCCAAGCCTTTTGGTTTCACATCCATCAAAATTGCCAACAGAAGGCCCCTCTAACAGCTGCGATGCTTGGGTCTCGTACAGTGGTCGACAAGCCAAGCCAGTCAAGATGCCCAGAATCTCCCCCATTTTCATGTCCGCGATACGCCATTGATCAATGTACTCAAGCGGTCTTTGATGTTGTTGTGCATATAGGATGGTATGGCTCTGTAGGAGCATACTTTCCCTTGAAGGGGACACCCGATAAGGCCGAGCATCGTTGTGAATTGGTTAGCAGTGAGGTAGCGGTGAACGTGAGTAGTCAATGGGTCAGGCCTCCCGGAGCAAAAAAAGGCTTGGCGGCCTTCTAGAAGGCCTGTCGAAGGTAGTTCGATCTGACTCCACCAAGCGGAATATGTTGCAGTTTGTGGAAAATGCGCAGGTTGGGAAAATTGAAGGATTGAACTGGGGTTGTATTATATGAAGCTACAAACCGTATGTCTAGGCGGGCGACAGTAAACAACGCTAGTGTGAGGAGACAATCACCCTCATGGCAGGTGAGGTACGACAGGCGGGAGTCACCCTAAACCGTGACAAAATTTCTGTATCCATCGTCTTTGGTATGCAACTATCGTACATATCGTGGACGATGTGACGTTGATTCGAGGTGCACCAGGATCGATATCCGCAAGGAGAACTGAATCGAGAACTTCCCTGGAGCCTATCTTGTGAGCCCAGGGATGCTCTTCTGGCTATAGATATGGTTAAACATCCTAACGAACACTACAACTAGTGAGAACACATCACTTTTGGATCCATGGAGCTTGTTTTCGAAACACTCTGTTGCCGTGTACGAGGTCATGTATGACTCAAGCCTCGTGATTGAGCTGTCGTCATCGTCCGGGGTGAAACATCGAGAGTCCTAAAGTTGGTGAAATATATAGGATGACCAGCCACCGCAAAACACCCAGGGCTGATGCCCCGGTGTATCGCTCCTTGCGAGTGCATATATTGGAGACCAGTCGCCACACATACAAGCCATTGTTTGAGGAGATTCCTGTGGTCACCTGCTTCGGATCGCAACAAGAAGTCATCCGGGTCGAACTCTTCGAAGGGATGCGTGGGGAGACGTACCGAAGCGTTCGTCGGACCGAGGACCGTATGGGCACCAAGCAATCGAACAGTGTGAGGATGTTCGAGTCTGGTGAGGCTCTTCAATTCTTTGCTGACCAAGGCCAAGGTGGGAGACGCATGGCCTTTCTTCCTGAAGATCTTACACGTCAGATCGCTTCTCCCCTAGTGATGTAAGATGGCTTCCTATCACGTGAGTACGTTGTGTTCGAAACACGAGCAGATGGTGCAAATTCTGAATCCAAATCAATCCGTCCGATATCGTATTGTATCCCTGCTCCCCATGCCTCATAAACACCTCAAATGCGCTATCCGTAACTCTAAACTACAGATCAGCCATGACATCGTCCATATCCTGCCCACCAAATTCATCTTCCTTCAACCCTTCCCCAAACCCGTCGCCCTCATCCATATGCTCAGCCGCTGCCCTTCCTTCCAGAGCTCGCAGCGCAGTGTAATCCGTCCCACTAATCCCCAATTCGCCTTTCTTCTTCTGATGCGCCTTCAACTCCTCAATACCCCAGCTCGAATAACCCTCCGCCTGCTGCCTACTTAACGGCACACTCATATCGCGCAAGAACTGCTTCGCCGTGCCGACCGCCTGATCGACACTCAGCTTCGTGCTCTTCTGATCTAGACCCTGCTGAATCCACTTCGGCAGCTGCGTGATCTTTTTGTTGAAGCGTTTGTCTGCCAGTACCATGATGCCGTAGTCGTCTTTACCGCGGATGACACGACCCAAACATTGCGCGGCGTGCCGCATGGCGTCGAAGGAGAGAAAGTCTTGTTCTTTGATGCGGTACGTTTCGCGCAGGAATTCCAGACGCGCCTTGAGAATACGGGATTCGGTGTACTGGAAGGGGACACCCATGCAGAGCACAGTGCGCCCGTAGTGGTGGTCGAAATCGATACCCTCGGAGACCTTGCCACGTGCGACACAGAGTAGGACCGCCCCACGGCCGTTGTTGCATGCAGTTCTGAAGGTCTCGAGCGCAAGTGCTGTTTCTTGCGCATCGGGCGTTTCGACGAGGATGAGCTTGTATTTCCAGACTGTATCGAGGATTTCCATGCCTTGCCAGGCAGAGATGATGTGCTCCATGTAGAGGTAGGAGGGGAAGAAGACGACGACGCCGTCGGGTGTGAGCTTGCAGAATTCGATGAGAAGGTTGCCGAAGTTACGTTGTACTTGGATGTCGCCACGGTGCTCAAAGCCGGATGTGATCTGGTTTTGATCGCTGCCGCGGTCGACGATCATGGGAAGGAATGACTTGCGTGTAAGTGTCATGGTGAACGACTCTTGCACGACGGTGTTGAAGTTGAGCATTCGAGGATACATGTCCAGAGGAGACATCGTTCCAGATGTAACGATGACAGAATAGAAGCGCTCAAAGACGGGCTTGATGGCAATTGCAGCATCAAGGCAGGTCAAGTGAAGTACTGGGTTGGGTACTTGGGCGGTTGCCGATTCGAAGGGTTCGATGATGAGAAGGAACCCGGTTTCGTATGTTGCGATAAGGGTAGCAAATGTCGCGACATCTTGAAGTGGCTGGTAGTCCTCGATGTTTGTGAGTTCCAGTGTGCGTACGAGCGAGGTCAAGCGCTCAGCGCAGAAGCGTAGTGGTTTGCGTTCGATGAAAGAGGCGTTCTTAAGAGATTCGAGGAAAGAGGGAGGTGTTTCTGAAATGACTTGTACAACGCGCATTCGAATCTTGAGATACTCAATGAAGCGTTTGAGGAACGCGACAAAGTGCTCTGCTCGCCGAATATTGCCTGGTACTGCTTCGGTGAGCAAGTCGTCCGGTAATGCCGGGTTCGCCATGAAGGCGTCTTCTGTGCGAGCTTCTTCTGCTGTACGTAACCCTTCAACAAGTTTTGCATATTCGTTTTGAAGCTTCTCTGCATCGGTAGTCTTCATCTCGGTGATCTTTCGGTCTAGATTGTTGACTCCCTTTGTAGCTTTGCGCAATACATCTTCTGTCAAGTCGATACTCAACGACTCAATACATACGTTGTCGATGTTGTGAGCCTCGTCAAAGACGACGATGCAGTCCTTCGAAAGCTCTTTCGATACGCGATCTGCGATCTTCGGGTCCAGCAAATAGTGGTACGAGTAGATGATGACGTTGCAGTAGGGCATCATCCGGCGTGCTGTGAAGTAAGGGCACTGCTTCTGCTGCTCACCGTACTTCAGTAACCCATCGAATGTAAAAACGCCAGGTGGTATCAGGTTGTGTGGCTCCAGAAGATCTAGGTTGTCGTGGTACACGCATAGTTCGACATCCTCGCCACGCTCCTTCTTCTCTTTCACGAAGCCTGCTGTGAGACTGCGACACCGCGCATCGACAACATTGCCACTCTTTTCGCGCTTGACGCTCGGATGCAGACAGAGGTTCTTCCGACTGGTGAGGCCGAGCCCGCGGAATTCTTCTTCGCGGCCTAGCTCTTGCGTGCGATATTTCATCAGTGCTTTCAGCTCGGCTAGCGCCTTCTCGATCTCGGACATGGTTCGAGAGCAGTAAATGAGCTTCCGCTTCTCCGGATAGAACTGCTGGTAGGCTATGATGAGGGAAAGCAAAGACACAGTTTTACCTGTGCCTGAAGGCATCTCCAGAACGCAGTGCCCGCCCTGGTCCAGGGTGCGCTTAAGATCGCACATGTAGGCATACTGCTCTGGGTAGACCCGGGGGTACGGGAAGAGCACCGGGAGGTTACTGTGGAAAGGTGAGTATAGGCACGGATAGACAAGGTGTAAGATGATATCAGAACGAGTGAAATCAAAGCAGAGTGCAACAGAAGAGAGCGAGTGATAGTGAAGTAGGGCAACCAGACGAAGTGCGTTGGAGGAGCCTGGAGGTGTTTATGACAATGAGAGGCCCACGACTGGTAGGTGCCTTCAGACCGACCGCCTAAACCACAGCATCACGCTCAGAAGGGCGTTTGAAGATACGGAGGCGAGCATACTGGACATCACTTACTCTATGAAGAACTTCATGCTGACGACCGCCCGCGCGGAAGCTGTCGTGGCGATGGAGTTTGTCCGTGAGAGACAAAGCGCGTTGCCTCCATGCCAAAACGCGCCATCACATGTTCGGCCCTAGCGTTTGGACAGGGGTGCTGGATCGCCCCACTGCGCCCTTGTGGCATCGTCATCGTTTGGTGGGCACATTTCACGCAAACTTCGGCTTCTGGTGCTTCACACAATACAATTATAGCTGGTTGTGCTGCCCGGCGTCGCTCCTTCCCTTTTCTTTTCTTGTTGACACGTATAATACCACTTGCAGCATGAGCAAGCGCGCGGCAAAGGCCTCCGCCAGCAGTGCGCGTGCTGCTTCGACGTTTGGCAGCGCCCCCGCGTTTGGTGGGAGCTTTGGAGGCAGCGCGTCGCAGCTGTCATATGTGGCAGAGCCGCCCAACCTGTCGTCGATATCCGACCCCAATGTTGTAGTCTACTTCCGCAACCTTTTGAAGAAGGACAGCACAACCAAGGCAAAGGCGCTCGAGGACCTGCAGACTTACGTTGCGGCGCTGCGGGAGCCGGTAGAGGAGGGCGTGTTGGAAGCATGGGTCAGTTGTGCTAGGCGTAGCTGTAGAGAAGAACGCTTTAGTAATGAAGCAATCAGATCACCGTGTACCCGCGCACCTCGATAGAGAACGCCAAGGCTGTCCGCCAGCTGTCCCACACCGTCCATGGCCTCATGGCGGTGTCCGCGGGCAAGCGCATTGCCCGACGCATGCCGAAGAGCGTCGCAGCCTGGCTGTGCGGTCTCTACGATAGCGACCGCGCCGTGGTCGACGCGACACAGAACTCGCTGCGCCAGGTCTTCCCCACGCCCGAGAAGATCCAGAACATCCGCAAAGCCTACCAGCAGCCCATACTCGAGTACTGCCGCGATGCAGTCGACAAGGAGAGCACCGCCACCCTCAGCGACGAGCGCACCGTCAGCGCAGACGATGCACAGGCAAAGTACAGCAGGGTCATATCCGCATGCCTAGCGCTGCTGGGGAGTCTGCTGGCCAATCTGGCGCCCGAGGAGCTGTCAAGATTCCAAAGCGACTACGACACGCTGCTGAGCGCCAAGAAGCTGTGGGACTTTGCATCACACGCAGACGTCTCCATACGGCGCTCGCTGCACCGGCTGCTGAAGACGTGTTTGGTGAAGCAGCCCGGCGCAGCAGCTGCGAATCTCGAGACCATTAGCAAGGCTTACCTCTCAGTTGCCCTCAACTCTGACCAGACCGGCTCCGCATACGACTACCTCGAGGCCCTCGTCCAGCTCACCACAGCTCACCCTACCGCGTGGACCGAACACTACAGGAGCAAGACAGCGGTCGACAGGCGCTTACGGCAATTCGTGAAGAAGGGCTCGCAGTTCGGCCCACAGGACTACTGGACCCGCTTGGTCGAGCTGTTCGGGGCGATACCTGCCGAAGTCCTGCCTAGCCAGGCGGCCGATGCTGCAGAGCTTCTCGCTGCTCTCCAGGCCGGTGTGACCAGCAAGAACGAGGCCAAATACAGCCAGGATGCCGCCTATACTGCGTACTTTGAGATCTTATCCTTGGTCAATGCACGGCTATCAGCTGGCGATAAGGAGAAGTTCATACAGGACATGGTGCTGCCTGTCATAAGCCAGTACCTGTGTCCTTCGGCGGAGACGTCACAATGGACCATTCCCGCGAGTGCAGGCAACCTCCTTGCTCGAGCGCTGGCGGTTGATGGTGTCACCGGGGCGCTCTCGGGACAATGGCCACAGTACGCCCAGCGACTCACCGACGACATCAAGACCTCTGCGCCAGAGCAGTCGAAGGATTATGAAAAGTCTCAGACAGGGGTATTGCAACATGGCACACGGTATGCGACACTGCAAGAGCAGGCTCTCAAGGTCAATGCGGACCCACGGCTGGTGCAACGTGTCAGGGATGCCGAGTCTTCGATCATCACCGAGGCTTTGACAGTCGTCAAGAACAGGAACGGAAAGCCGTATGGCGCTGCAGGCACGATTGCGGCAGTGCTGTCCCGCAACAAGGACTCGATCAGCGAAACAAGTGGACAGCAGCTTGAGCAGTTTGTTGAAGGTGACCTCCCCGCCATCGTTCTGTCGCCCTCCTCTACCTACCTGGTCGATATCCTGTATTCTTTCTCGGACTCTGCAGTCTTCAAGAGTGCTTGGAGCGCATCACTCAAGGCAGTCTTGAAGGCAGACGACTCTGCGGTCAAGACCACGGCACTCGAGGCTTTGCTCACGTCCCCCAAGATCCCAGCATCTTTTGATCTGGCCAGTTCTGACGCCGAGCTACAGAGCTTCGTCAAGTCCAACGTGCATGAAGCTGTCCAGGGCTCTTTGGAGTGGGACTCGTTCACGCGTATCCTTCAATCACAGGCCAAGATCTTGGCTCCAGAGACCACCGACGACGTTCTAGCCTACCTGACACAGTCGCTGTCGATATCGCAGCATGCGCCTTCCTCGCTGCAAGGCCTGCGCCAGATCGTCAAGTCGAACCCGTCCATGCTGCGAGAATTTGCCGCCACACCGAAAGGCGGAGAACTCCTCCAAGCGTTGTTACGCGCTTCTGAGTCACCCAGCGACGACATTGCACAGGGTGCAGCCACTGTCAGTGCATCTATACAGACAGTCCTCGCGTCTGATGCCGGCACGCAGAACTCAATGTACGATCTCATCCACCAGGGTCTGCGAGACGCAACACCGTCATCGGTATCGGTCGAGACCTTGGTGGAGCTGGCCGAGAAGTCGCTGAGGCCAGCCCAAAGTTGGGAAGAGAATGCGAACTTGTTCCCGAGCACCGACGACTGGGATGCAGCTCTGGCCCCGTTCCTGGCTTCTGCGCCCAAATCTGCGCTGGCTATCACGAACACACTCAATGGCGCTGCCTATCTGGTGGAGCCAGCTGTCGCGTCTGCCGACATCCGGAAGATGAGTCGTGACGCGGACGGCTACGCTGCAGCATATCGCATTGCACAGTATGTAGCAAAGCTTTCCAGGATCCCACGTTTCAGGGTGCAAACCGCACCCATCGAAGTGCGTGACGCTTACTTGCGCAACCTGGCTCTTACTGTCCAGCTCGTTGGGGACAACCTTAGCCTCGCGGGTGCGAATGGTCTGTGGACGGACTACAGTGCTGACACGGAGAATGACGCAATGTCATTCAAGTCTGATGCTTCAGGGTTCACCACACAAGAGCTAACAAGAGTGAGCGGATCGATGTCTTCGTTGGCCAAAAACAACGACGAGGACTCGTTGTTGACTTGGGCCCAGGATCTTCTTGGTCGAATCGACACAAGCACTTCTGCTCAGGCCTACTATGCTGCGCGCGCCTACAGTACACTGGTCTCACGTGCCATCACATTCCACGGGTGGAAGAGCTCGTGGACCGCACAGGTGCAAGACACCCTCAAGACCATCAGAAAGAACAAGCAGGTTGTCCCTCTCCTTGCGTACCTGACCGCGTTCGAAGAGCCACTCGCAGCATCGAAGGCCTGCGAGCGTATGTGCAATGAGCTCATCGCGGATCTTACCGGCCTTGATATCGACCAAAAGCCACAAGAGGGATTGAGTCAGCTTGTCGTGCTCAACGCAGTGCTCTCTCAAGATCATATCACCGAGACTATCGCCAAGCAGCGCCTCGTCTTCTTCGTCAAGCATGTTGTGCCTTGGCTGGACACGGCCCATGGTTCAGTGGAGATCAGAGCAGAAGTCTGTCGCGCATTGACTTCCTTGCTTCCACTCATGAGTGACCTGTACGGCGAGCATTGGGGTGAAATCCTTAACGCACTGTCAACAGCCTGGTCCAGTACGACTGAGCTACAAGGAACTGAGGTCGAAGCCAGCAGCCCAATTCCCTTCACACATGCGTCTCTCAAGCTCTATGAGCAGTTACGCAAGCTGACGGAGGGTGAAGATCCCAACGATGATCTTCTTGAGGTCTGGAAGGAGACCGAGCAGACGATTGCGGCGGGGTTGATCAACCTGCTCAAGCACTCACAGCACTTCCCAGATGAGTTCCATCAGCCTCTGAAGATAGTCAATGAGGTCCTTGCCCGCCAGATTGCCAAGGTGCCATTGCAGCACCTCGACTCGGCCGAGGAGCTTTACCCACTGCTTTATGTGGAGTCACAACCAGTTCAACAAACTGCGTTCGACATTTTGCACAAGCAGATTCCTGCCGCACAAGAGCAGATCTCTATCGATTCTGCACTATCCAAGACTACAGCTCGCCTACCAGAAGAACTACTTTCGTTGATCATCGAGGCGCCAACAGTTGCAGCATTGGCGGAGGTCAACTTTGAGCGCAGTGCCCCGCTGTCGTTGAGGGGTTACTTGTTGAGCTGGTTGCTTGTCTTTGACCACCTCGAGCACGCGGTAGGTGCCTCTACATCCGTCTCTATATCATCACTAACAATAACAGTCCTTCAAAGTCAAGAACGACTACATCGACCACATCAAAGAAGGCGACCACCTCCCCGGCCTCCTCGACTTCACGTTCGACTTCCTCGGCCATGCGCACAACAAGCCCGTCGACGTATCCAGACTCGACGTCACAACCTACCGCCCCGACACCGAGTCACCAAAACAAGACATCCAGTTGCTTCTCACACATCTCTACTACCTGACCCTCCTGCACACCCCTTCCCTCACAAAGTCTTGGTTCAATGCGCTCACAAGCAGGTCGAGAGCCATCGCCGTGACCCTTGAGCCTTGGACTGAGAAACACATCTCACCACCCGTCATCGCCGCAGCGCTCGACAGCGTGACAACCTGGGCCGGCACAGCGACAGACGACACGTTCGGCGTTCGTGTCGCGCCGCGTGCTCGCGAGATTACGGCGAGCTATTTACTCGACGAACAGACGATGAGCATGCGGATCTCGCTTCCACCTGCCTTCCCCTTGGCCAACGCGCACATCGAAGGCCTGAATCGCGTCGCTGTTAACGAGCAGAAGTGGCAGTCTTGGCTGCGCACCAGTCTTGGTGCTATCACCATCTTCAATGGATCACTCATTGATGCGTTGAGTACGTGGCGCAGGAATGTTGAGGGTGCATTGAAGGGACAGACTGAGTGCGCTATCTGCTACAGTATCGTTGGGCCTGACAGGAAGGTCCCTGATAAGCGGTGCGGCACTTGCAGGAATGCGTTCCACGGCGCGTGTTTGTTTAAGTGGTTTAAGAGCAGTGGTAGCTCGAGCTGTCCACTTTGCAGGAATCCTTTCAACTATGGTTAAGCGGTTCGACATAGCTTGGAGAGTGCACGAACCTCACCCTATTCATAGTTTAGAGACGAGGAATGTTGTAGAAGTCAAAGTCGACGTGCAAATGCCCTAACGAGGGAACGAGTCTATCCATTCCGCCTGCTATCGATACAATCTCAACAGCCGCCATTTATACCTTCCAAGTGCTCCTCACTCAATTCCGCACTCGCGTGAAGCTGCTCTGTGAAGTGACGTACGGCAAGGACAGGAGCATACGGGAGATCACTCCCAAAAAGAACATGTCCCGGATTTGCAATGCTCTGCGATGCCACCAATTGCTCTGGGACACTGCACAGCGCAGTATCTAAATAGAACCACCCGACCTCCCCGCGAATCTCCTCAGCGCTCTTTTGCGCACCGGATGTGAAGGGTTGCAATGCAGCTACGCGCCCCACGATCATGGCCCGCGTTCCCCAGCCATGAGACAGGATGATCTTTGCATTGCCGGGCGTGCGTGCACAACATGTCCGTCACAATGAGGTCCATGGCCGCGCGAGCGGTTTCGTGGGGAAAGTCCAGCATGGACTGCGGCAGCGAGGCATTGACCGGCGCCGTGTAGACTGGGTGCGTCGAGTACACGAGGCGACGGCTTTGCGGCGATTAAGTTCCGAGCGAACGCTGCGGCCTCGATGGGATCGGGTTTGAGCCGGGGCCCGGTGCGGTGTGCCTGAGGATGGTGGTTCGTACGCCGATGCTTTTGCATAGCCCGAGGTCGCTCTCGAGGTTCCAGTCTGCCACGCTGCATCCACAGCCAGCCTCGTTGAAAACTCGTGGTCCCTGCTAGCGATGAGGCCGGCATCAAAGATAGGCGGGATGGAACCTCTTCTGAAAAGGGGCGACTGGACATGATGATGTACGTCGATCATAGGCATTGTTTGAGGGCTTGCGAATCGCTATCAAGCGTATCTGTCATCGAGCAAGACGTTCAATAAACAGCGGACGTGACTTCATATCTGGTTGACATCAAATCCAGAGGCGTCTCGTAGATCGTGCTGGAGTCGATTTAGGGTTTGTTTGCGTTCCGTTAGATCTGCGTCTGCTTGGAACTTACCTAGGCCAAACAGCTCAAACCTCGGAGTCTAGATGAGACTGCTCGTAAAAACAGCAAACCTTCTCGACATTTGCCGACTGCATAGAGTATCTGCTGTTCAACCCAGGACACAGCGAAGGTACTTCCGGGGGTGACGGGATGACGAGCTCACCAACGGATACGGGATCGGTCCGCGTAGCAGTCGGCATCTGAGCACCTGGTCAGACTGTAGTACCCTGTACCGCGTACCGCAGGTCCTTGAAAGCTTTGAGCTGATTTGTACACAAGTTGGTTTGTAGTGACATCAAAGCTTGCAATCGGATCCGCAACATAGGACCGAAAACACGTGGAGAGTGGAATGGGGCAAAGATTCTTGGATGCCTGGCCCATGTCCTGCTACTGCTTCTCTCAGCGCCAGTGTCTAAGCTTTCTTCACGCCGGACATCCATCTTCACGATTCTCATGCATCGACGATGCTTGGACGGGAGTCGACAATTTGTATCTGCCCTTGACCTGTGTCATCCTGGCTGAACGCGAAGATCACACAAAATGTCTCCTGGACTCCTGGAGATGCACACGACTCGCTGCAAAAAGACAGGCCCTCGGTCCTATGTCGAATATCTCTGCCGTTCTGCAGATAGACCTATGCGGACGGTATGTGTCTCTTAAACACAGGATAGGGCATCCATCCCACTTCACTGACGCTAGACAAAGTTAATTTTTCAATAAATGCTCGAGCGTATGTTTGCCGAATCTGAATCGACTCGACGTCAAAAAACACACTCAAGCTTAATCATGGACCAAAAGCTCGTTCAAAGCATTCCATGTGTAGCTCTTCTTCTCCGCGTTTCGGATGCCCGAAGATTCTTCAAAAATATTAGATCTTTCATATTCTCTTCCAAAGCGTGCTCACAACATGTCCATGGCCTCGAGGTTATATATAATTTGGCACCCTCTGTCTGCAGTTTTCTCTGTGTGCCGGTGTTAAACCATGAAATATGAGCGCACCTTCGGGAGCACTCGGTAGGTCTACATGGCTCCGAAAACCTCTTGGGACATTGGAATGGCATCTGACGCAAGTATATAACCAAAAACGGCATGCCTGGGCTTCTTCCACAAATGCTTCTGTTCTGTATCTCGAGTCTCGGCGATTTCAAGTGCAATGTTTCTGTACCTTCAATGTTCGAATTCCACATCTTCCTCCAGAAAGAGAGCCAAAGCCACCGCATGTTTGTCTTTTGCGGATTTCTTCGAAGGCGACAAACATGGCACCTCTCCATTATAATTCGCCAACCATAACCACAACTACGACAACTTGTTGCTACCAAAAGACTATTCCGCGTTTCTATGTTGTGGCCTGAGATGTGAGTGATCAGTACTAGTTGCTGCCCTCGTAGAGAGTTCGGAGGGGCCTTCGTTCTATATAAGAGTTGCTTTTTTTTAAAATAATACCGCATCAGGCATAGAGGAAGGGTGCTGAGAGCGCACCTGTATGCAAGGCGTAAGCCCAAGCCACAATACCTCATATGATTGGCTACAGGACCTGCATCGACGGCAAGCTACAAAGTGAGAAGCCCTAAAAAATCCCGTTGGTGTGTTGCACAGCGCTCTCACTGGTGCCAGGAATGCGGGGCAAGGCTGACGTCAAGTGCCGCGGTGCCGTGCTAGCCCCTTCCTACTTTCACCATCAAAGTTACGCTTGTCGGATCACAGGTCACAAAATGTAGGAGTCAGTAATGCAGTGCAAGCGGGAAAGATAGATTGATGGCTCGATAGAAGACCTACAACGCCTGACAAACGTCAGTTGCAATGAAATCTGAGGTATACGCAAGTGGGACCCGCGACACCAACACCGTCCCTATAGCAGAACAGAAAGTAAATTCAATAAAAAGAGGAAATGAAATCAATTGCAAAACAGAAGTCGCCCTCTTCACCCGCGCGAGCAGTGCACAAGCAGCGCCCATCATCCACACCACCCACCACGCAAATCGTCCATGCAACCATGTTGATGTATCCCTCCTCACTGCCACTCTTAGGTCTATGTCTCCGTCTCCATGAACAGCCACTGCTGGCTAGTAACCTCGGCCTCGATATCCTCGTCCGGCACGAAGTCATCGAGCGTCGTGAGCCCAAAGCCGATCCAGCCAAGATCCTTCATCAGAGATGTCGAATCGGCGGTGCGGTCGAGCGCTACGACAAGGCGGTCGCAGCTGAAGTAGGGTACTTCGCAGAGCTCGAGGAGGGCCATGAGGCTGGAAAATGTCAGTGCGTTGTCCAAGGGTGGGAGAGTAAATGTGCGTACCCAGCCTTCAGATCTCCAGAGGACTGCATAACCGCCTGATCAAAGAAGACGAACATGGCCTTCTCATCCCGCTTCTCCGCAACAAACCCACGGAAGCGTATCCCGCCGACATAATCCCACATCTCAATACAGTCTGTCACGATGCTCTTGTTACCAGAGCCAGCCGCGACCTCCTGCACCGAGCCGGGCGTGCCGTAGTCGGGTGCTGCGTACTGATCGTTGTTGTTAAGCACACCCACCACAAGCGAGTCCTGCTGGCGCTGATTCCCCTCACCCAGGAAAACAGACCGCAGTGTCTCGCAGAAGAGTCTCTCACACTCAACCGCGATGGTGTATGCTGCCCCCCCTCTGCGCGCCTTACTCTGCAGAGTGTTGCTGGCGGCGAGGGGGGGACTTGAAGGGGGTGATGGGATTCCCTGCGGATGGTCAATAAACCATCCTTTGGCCGTGCTCCCGCAGCGATTTGCGACTGGGATGGGAGACACTCACCGAGCCGACCTCAGGCCCACCACTCGACCCCGGCGGCCCCCGTAGTGCTGTAGTGGAAGCCGTTGACCGCCGTATCGCGAAGGCTTACGGCGTAGCAGGTAGCGCGGGCCTCTCCGCTCGACGAGGTGTACGAGCGGACGCTACAATTACTACTACTACTACTACTGTTTCGTTTCATGGTGATCGCCATTGCTACAGGAGTGCCACAGTTGCGCTGCTTGCGGAGGAGTTGCTGCGTGCAGTGAGGGTTGTTGATGACTGAGAGGTCAAAGGTGCTGACTGGTCCGAGAACGGGCGACGTTGAAGGTAGGTAGTGGAACGTTGGCGTTGAGGGCTGAGGGTGATGCGTGGTGGATGAACGTTGGTGTGGTGCAGAATGAAATGAGGAGAAGCGGCTCGTGCACCGCGCTAATGCTGCACTAGAATCTTCCGTCTGACGACTGATGGCTAAGGGTTCGAACACGAGCGTATGTCTCTTGAGATTATGTTGAAGGAAGAGATCATCACAGATCGCATGAAATCAATCGAAACTCGATCATATCGACTGACTACACAACTATCCGGAACTCCATTACTTTTCTAGTAGCTTCCTCAGCGTGTCTACGCCTCGCTAGATGATCAGACAGATAGGAAAAGGCATGCATGCTCGTGCGAGAAATCCGTCCTCCTCGCACATCTACAACCAGTATGCAAGTCGGATATCTCATACATCGCTTATGCAGGGAAAATCAATCAAGAATTATACTCATGCACTCGAGTGGAGCGTAGCGGCATGGTACAGGAGGTGGGTGGGTCCTCGGATATGCGTAAACGGACAGTTGAGCAGCTTAGTTGACCGAGATACACTTGATGTCAAAGATCAAGTCAGAGTTGGGGGGAATGTCCGGGGGAGCACCCTTCTTGCCGTAGGCCATGCCAGCGGGGATGGTGAGGCGACGCTCGCCGCCAGCAGTCATGCCAGCGACACCAACGTCCCAGCCCTTGATGACCTGACCGACGCCGAGCTTGAAGGCGAAAGGCTTGCCCTTCTTGTTGGCTGTATTGGAGTTAGTGTGGTTCGAAGGACGTAAATGATCAACACCTACAGTCAAAGACCTTGCCGTTCTTCAGCTTGCCGATGTAGCGCATCTCGACGCGGTCGCCCTTCTTGGCAGCCTTGCCCTTGCCCTCCTTCTTGTCGTCGACGGTAACACCGCTGACGTTGCGGGGTCCCTTTGCGGCGGGCTTTGCGGCTTCCTTCTTCTCGTCAACCCTGGGCGAGCCAGTGGGGCCCATCTCGAGGTTCTTGGAGAACTGTACCTTCTTCTTGTCACTGCTGGGGGTCTCAACCTTCTCAGCCTTCTTTGCGGGCTCCTGGGCGGCAGCAACGGCCTGGCCGTCGTTCTTCTTGACCTTCTTGGCGGCCTTTTGCTCGCCGTTGGTGGCAGCCTTGCTGATCAGGTCGTCGAGGCTAGCCTCCTCCTCGGCGGCGCGCTTGTTCTTGTTCTTGTTCTTGTTCTTCTTGGTGTCAACAAGCTTGGGTGCCTCCTCCTCCTCAGAATCCACCTCGGTGACGCGGGGGTTCTCGAGGCCATCGAGCTCATCGTCCTCAGACTCGTCCATCTCGTCGAGGTCGAGCTCATCCTCATCGGGAGAAAGGTCGTACTCCTCGTCGTAGTCATCCTCCTCGTCCTCCTCGTCATCGCCCTCGGGGAAGGCAACGTAGTTTCCAGTGACGAAAACGTCGTGTGTGCCGTCGACCTGCAGGTAGACCTCCTCGCCCTCGCGGACGGTGATGTCGAGGGGCTGCTGGAAGTTCTACGCGCTGTTAGCTGTCGTGAACGTCGACATGTCGTCGAAAAGAACGTACCCTCTCGGGGTCGAGGGTGCAGAGAACAAACTCCTCAACCTCGTCCTCCTCCTCATCATCATCCTCGTCGTCGAGATCGTCCTCATCGCTGGCCTCGTTGGCAGAAATCTTGCCCTTGCCCTTGCCGTTGACGGCATCGATCTCCATCTCGTCCTCCGCGAGCTCCTGGGCAATCTTCTTCTTGAGAGCGGCCTGCTTGGCCTTCTTGGACTTGGCCTTGTCGCTGGGGCCGCCGTTGGACTCATCATCGCTGTCCTCCTCGCTGTCCTCCTCGCTGTCCTCATCCTCCTCAGGAAGAGCGACACCACCAGCGCGCAGCTTGGCAATGATGCTCTCGACGTCCTCGCCGTCAAAGTCCTCGTCATCCTCGTCATCCTCGTCGTCATCGAGGTCCATGGGGACGCGGATGATCCTCAGAGTAGCGCGAGGAACCTTGTGCTCCTCGTCGACCTGGGGCTCGGCGCTGGGATCGATAGCGGCCATGGTGATGCGGAACTGGAGTCAGTCAGCAAAATTTTCACGCACACCGAGCTCATGCACATACAGCAGCCGAAGGGTCGACGGCAGCGGGGATGGGCAGGCCGCCAACGGGAATGCGACGCCCGTAGACGCCAGCAGGAACTGCGGAAGGCATCCTGAAGAGTATGCGGTGCTTTCTTCTTCTGTAGATAGGGGCGTGTTTTCGCAATTCAAGCGTATGCGAAAGGGCGAGGTTACGAGATTGCGCAGCCTGGGGATTGGTGGTTGCAGGGAGGTGAGGTGGAAGAAGTTTCTCGGCCCAGGTGCCATAGAATTAAAAAGTTCGAAGCTTCACAGCCTTCTTCACCGCCCGCGGCGAAATGTGGGTCCGCTAGTGTATCGATAGCAACCGCGGCGGCGTTCGACTTGTGCCAACTCTCTCGCAACCCCACAGGGAGCGGACGCGTTCAAACAAATGTGATGACCTTCTGCAAGCTTGCAAGTGGAAGGGGACTGCAGGGTGTTTTTCCGTGCAGGAAACAATCGCCTCGTATCAACCGTCTCGTACCAACCGTCTCGTATCAACCGTCTCGTATCAATCGTCTTGCATCAATCGTCTTGTATCAATCATCTCGTGTTTGCAGAGGACCTTTTCCAGGCTTCACGGTGAAGCCCGTAGATTGGCACAGTGCTGCATCCAGCCCTGCCTGCAACACAGAGGGCAGCCCGTCCAACAGCAAGATGATGTCGGAGGGCTTCCAGTACGCTGCTGAGTCCCACGCACTGGTTGCTGCGATGCTGTGCGCCCTCGCATTCGACCCATCCCCCCACTCGCTATTCGCTGTTCTCGCAGTCGACTCCTAGCTGCGGCTGCCGGCTTGGGCACAGTGGGGCCACACGTGATCCCGCGCCAACGCGTTCGCGTCAGCAGCGTTCCCCTTGACCACCAGCCCCACACCGGCCAGCAACACCACCACCGTCACACACGGCTATGCACCCCGCATCATGACCCCGGCCTCCATGACGCACAAGCATCCGCCCGACTAGGACGCCGCAACCATGGGCTCACGCCTGGAGAAGAACTCAGACTCGGTGCGCAAGCGCATCGCCGCCCACACGTTCGATGGCGAGGACGGCGAGGAGTATGGCGGGTCTGCCTTTGGCGGCTTCACCGACTACTTCCGACGCAAGAAGATCAAGCTGCAGAACCTCGACGCCGACATGCGCGCCCGGGCAGGAGACAGGCCCAGCCTGTTCCGCGGTGTTGTCGCCCACGTCAACGGCTACACGCAGCCGTCGCTCAACGACCTACACACGCTCATCGTCCAGCATGGCGGCGGGTTCATGCAGTACCTCGACGGCAAGACAGCCGTCACCCACATCATCGCCAGCAGCCTGACGCCGAAGAAGGTCATCGAGTTCCGCCAGTACCGTGTTGTGAAGCCGGGGTGGGTGGTGGACAGCATAGCGGCGGGCAAGCTGCTCCCGTGGAACGACTACCGCGTGGCCGACGAGGGCGAGAGGCAGAAAGTCCTGGCCTTCAACAACGGGACGGTGGTGAGCACGGTGAACAACAGACAGAGGGGCTACCGCGACCAGACCGACACCAGCTGGTACACAAGCCAGCTGCGTGCGAGTCCGGCTCCACCGCCTCCCACATCACAAGCACCGAATCGCTCGCGCCTCTCCCGGCTGGAGCTGCCCACCCCGGACGATGACGCGGTCGAGGACCTGCCGCCCTCACACCAGCCGCAAGAGCTCTCGAGCGGCGAGGCGCCCAGAGCCAACGAGAAGGGTCAGAATCTCGTGACGCCGCCAAAGACGAGCCCGACAGGCGCGCTTGAACCGTCTCCGGACGAGTTTGGGAACATTGGTGACATGGCCGACGAGCTGCACGACAGCTCGGACGCGGACCCTATGCCAGCCAAACCGCAGCCGCGCAAGAGGAGGAAGTCTACGCCGCCTCAGGATCGTATTCACGCAGCCGAAGTTGCCGCGAATCCTCGAAAGATGCAGCTGACGGCGGAGGAGCACAACGCAATCCTTCTGCGGGATCCCAAGACGCGCAAGTCGACTGTTGTCGACCCAGACTTCCTTGAACAGTATTACCGCGAGTCTCGATTACACCACCTTTCGACATGGAAGGCAGACCTGAAGTCCCAGCTGCAGGCTATGGCTAGCGAGAAGACGGCAACACAGAAAGCGAAGCAGAAGCGCGTTCCTGGCGCCCGACGATATGTTCTGCATGTTGACTTCGACAGCTTCTTCGCCGCCGTGAGCTTGAAGAAGAAGCCCGAGTTCAAGAACAAGCCGGCTGTGGTTGCGCACGGCCAAGGCAGCGGATCGGAGATTGCAAGCTGCAACTACCCTGCCCGCAAGTACGGTGTGAAGAACGGCATGTGGATGAAGCGTGCCATGGAGCTGTGTCCAGATTTGAAGATTCTACCGTACGACTTCCCCGCCTACGAAGAAGCCAGTCGAGCGTTTTACGACGCGATACTCGCAACTGGTGGCCTTGTTCAGAGTGTCAGTATCGACGAGGCCCTGGTAGATGTCTCAAACATGTGCATCGCGGTCGGTGGGAGCGATGGTCGCCAGATGAACGAGGGCGCCGTTTGCCGCGAGCAAGCCAAAGCTGACGAGATCGCAAAGTCTTTGCGGGAGCAGGTCAAGCTTCAAACCGGCTGTGACGTGTCCGTCGGCATTGGCGGCAACATCCTGCTGGCCAAGGTGGCCCTGAGGAAGGCGAAGCCAGCAGGACAGCACCAGATCAAACCAGAAGGGGTTCTGGACTTCATCGGCCAACTTCAAGTGCAGGACCTCCCGGGTGTTGCATGGTCGATCGGCGGAAAGCTCGAAGATGTCGGGGTCAAGCTCGTCAAGGACATTCGCGAGCTCACAAAGGAGAGGCTCATTCAGATCCTTGGCCCGAAGACTGGCGAGAAGCTGTACGAGTACTCGCGAGGCGTCGACAGGCAAGCAGTGGGCGAGCAGGCGATCCGCAAATCTGTCTCCGCAGAGGTCAACTGGGGTGTTCGCTTTGCAACGCAGGAACAAGCCGAAGAATTCATCACAAGCCTTTGTGGTGAGCTGCAGAAGCGTCTACTGAAAGAGAAGGTCAAGGGCAAGCAGTTCACCATGAAGATCATGCGCCGTGCAGCAGACGCACCCATCGAGCCACCGAAGCATCTTGGTCACGGGAAGTGCGACACGTTCAACAAGAGCCTGCTTCTCGGCGTCGCGACGAATTCGAAAGAGGTGCTGACAAAGGAGGCCATGGGCATACTGCGAGGCTTCGGCTTCTCGCCTGGCGAGCTGCGAGGCATTGGAGTCCAGCTGACGAAGCTTGAACCTATGAAGAGTGCCACAGATGGTAGTCTTGATGGATCTCAGCGACGTCTCCAGTTCAAGATGCCCACCAAGCCAATGAGTGCTCTCAAAGGCCCGGCTAGCATCATCGAGACGCCGATCAGTGCTCGGAAGGTATATATCAATGCCCCCCATGAGCCGGTCAGTGTTTGCAAAGAGCCGGCGCTTGTACAGGAAGATTCGATCGAGGAGCCAATCACTATCTTTGAGGAACTCAGAGAGGCTGCCGACATCTGCGACTCTTCTTTACCATCTGCACCACCAGACCCACTACCTGCCAGCATACGCAAAGCACAACAACCTCCAGCCTTCGCTGACGCAGACCCGATCCAAGACGACCCAGAAACACCACGCAAACCGAAGACTCCTGCGACTGCTGAGGACCATGTCGCCTTCGGTGCTGCAGAGCTCAATCACTCAACGCCCTCCCGTAGACCACTCAACATGATGGGCACGCAATTCATCATGCCCACGCAGGTGGATCCCAAAGTCCTTGCTGAGCTCCCCTCAGACATTCGCTCCAAGCTGCTGCGGCAAACACGCCAATCCTCACCCACGCCTGCAGCCCGTCAACCCAAACCCGCTGCTCTCCGAGCCGACTCCCCTAGTATCCATGCACCAGGCAGCCCATCAACCCCATCTCGGCGCCTACCCTTCGCCGCAACAGCGCTCCCCGCACAATCCCAACTCGACCCCGAGATCCTCGCCGCGCTCCCATCCGATGTGCGAGCCGAAATCATTTCTCACTACGGCGCAGCAGGCCTAACGCAATTCTCCCCCTCCCGCCGCCCGCGCGGCGCAGACCAGACCATCCTCCCCCAGAGCCCGCGAAAAAACCGCATCATCGGTATTCCCGCAAAAAGGCCAGCGCAAATCAAGCGCGGTCGCGGCCGACCCCCGAAAAGCGCCATGTTGGCGCAGGCCGCCCATATGAAGTCCGTCTCCAAAGACGGCAAGACGTTGACGCAAGCGAATTTCATCAGCCTCAAGAACCCCGCTAGACAGCGCGGCGAGGAAGTAGCCGGTGAGGTGCAGAGAAAAGAGGAGGGGGAGTTGGATCCGGAGTTTCTTGCTGCGCTGCCGGAGGATGTCAGGAGGGAGGTCATTGCCGAACACAAAGCAGCGAAACTCCGCGCCTTCCGTCTCGCGCTCCAGCGTCCACGGCCGGGGACGAGCAAAGCACCGACGCACCTGCCGAACGTTGGTGGAAACCAACACCAGCCGCCGGCTAAGCGCGTCGTCAAGGTCCCCAGACACGAGCAAGCAACGTTTACGAAGCAGAAGATACATAGAGAACCAGATCTCCGCGCCGCGATGAGGGACTGGGTCACTGAGTTCGCGGACGAAGGGCCGTATCCCGAAGATGTTGATGCGCTGTCAAAGTACCTGGCTAGACTTGTGGCTGAGGAGAGGAACATGAGGAAGTGCGTTGGTGTTGTCAAGTGGCTGGAGTATGTCGTCGGTGGAAATGGGGGTGGGGACGAGGGGCAGAAGTTGTGGGAGGATGCTGTTGGGCGTGTCAAAGCGGGAGTGTGTCGGGCTGCAAAGCAGAGGGGGCTTGGGAGCGTGAACTTCGATTGACATGTTATAAGTGAGTGTCAGGTGGTGGCAGGTCAGGGCGTCAATCGGTGACTGTATTGCTTAGGCGTATGTTGGGGAGTATACCAGGGATTGTTGATTCGCAGCTCAACGTGATGTATTATGTAGCTATTATATGAACCCTAATAAACCATTACGCCTTCTCTCAGCGCCATCCGAAATGCAGTCCTACCAGGGAGTGTTGGGGTATCGTGTATCGTGTATCATGTATCGTGTATCGTTCGTGTGTCGTCATATGGCGGGGTATAAATCCAATCCCGCCTCGTAAACCATCCCTTGCGCCGTCCGCAAAAACAACCACAACAATCGGTGACAGCCAATCTCCACACTCACTGTCTGCGGAAATCCTTGTTCTTCCTCCTCCGCTTTGCGAGTTCCGGGCTCCAAATTCCGCTGAACAAATCCTCACACTCGTCCTCGTCTTGAGAGTCGAATTGAATCTCGGTCTCGTCGAGCGCGGTGTTGATGTGGCCATTTTCATCCTCACCTTCCCACTCGTTGCCGCTCTTGTCCACGCGCTTAGTCTCGAGGATATATTTGCCCATCTTGTAGCGTTGCGTTTCCTCCTCGGCGTGGACGTATTTCCATCCCAACACACTGCCGCAGCACCGGCAGCTTATATCGCTGACCGTGTGTGCCCCGGTGACTAGCTGCCTAGCAACGGGTTTGTGTATGAATGTGTTCGGCAGCTCGGTGGGGCGCCATGCATCCTCTTCGCCCGACCCACTTGCGGCGTTTGGAGGGTGTAATAACGCATTCGGTGGTGGTGGAGCGACAAGGTATGCGCGGCCGTGGCGGCCGGTGAAGCCTTTGCTTATTATGGAGGAGGTGGGAATTAGGTCGGCAAGGCATTTGGTGCAGCGCAGGTTCGTCGTTGGAGTGGAGGTGAGGAAGGATGTTGGTGCTGGGGGTGAGGAGGAGGGTGAGGAGGAGGGTGAGGGGGGTGAAGCGGGGATGGTGGACGTCGATTGTGCGGAGCTGCGGCGCCGGCGGAAGGGGATGCTGGGGAGGAGGTAGAGCGGGAAGGGCGTTGTGGGGGAGGTGGGCGCCATGGTAGTTGATGTAGTTTGTCGTTGGGTATGTAGTAGGTATTGTTGTGCGGCTGTTGCATACGGAGTTTGCATAGATCGGTCAGGTTGTCGAAAGTCAAGAACAGGTTTGAGGTCTTGGAGGTCGCTTGGGTATCGTAAGAGGTAGCAGTCGTGGTGAAAGGTATCAGGTGTCGTTATGCGTGATTAAAATGGTAACAAGTCGTGATTTGAGTTGCGGTATACAAGTACCAGCATGTGCTTCCTAGTACTCCGTGGAGACGGTATCTCTGGCGGCTGACCCGTCGTCCGGCTGCCAAACGGTTCTGCTGAGAGTCGCCGTAGAGATGTCACGACGCGCTATTGTACCATCAAGGAAGTCTCGACCGGCACCCCACACTGTAACGCTCCCGAAGAGACCGAGAGTGTGACGCAGACCGCTCACCAAGAGAACTGCGGAAGGCGTGTCGAATTCAAGTCTCAGACTCAGAGGTCCCAGCCTCGTCGATATCTGCCAAACGCGGTGGTGAGGTGAGCGGGTGGACGTGTGACGTGCTAGATGCTGAGTGATAAGGCGATAGAGAGCGCCACAAGCGAAGAAAGCGGGGCTGACAGATGCACCCAAGACCTTCGACCCTTTCGCTGCCTCAATGAGAAGGTGCACTGGAGTTGATGTTCAGAGACAACGAAGTCAACGAGGTCGCAACGATGCTTGTATTCGAGATCTTATCAGCCTCCGACCCTTCATTCACCGCCAAATCATGGGCGAGCATCTGGATCATGCGACTTCCAGGGGCCAGTGTGCACATCACGAGGTGTGCTGGCAGATGCCTGTCCCTGTCCGGCTGTTGCACAAGAGGGCGTTATTCCCGTGACAAAGCTTATTCGCTGTAGAGCCTCATGCTGATTGACACGCGCTGAATCACAGAGACGACGTTGATTGCATGCACACTGGGTCGCTTCTCGCTCGACGCATCGCGACGCGTTTGGTGCTTATGCTGAAGCGGTGTTTGGAAATGGTCGTCTGTAGTGATGGCGATGTTGACGTTTAGCAACTGCTCAACTTCGATAAGGAATCTGCTTCTCAGTATCTCCTACCTCACTCTCCAGCTCTCTTTCCTTCCATACCTCCGCAGTCGAACATGTCTTTCTCTCGCCTTCTCGTTTGCTTCCTCTATCATGCTCCACGCATAGCCCAGCATCGGTCAGCATTGGCTGTATTGTTACCCGTTACTAACCCAGCAGTATCTTGGACAACCCAAACATCATTCGCATCGCCAGGATGATGTCCCTCGTCACGACGCGAAAGCGGAAGGACGTTGACGGCGCAAAGTCGAGTTCGAACGAGAAGAGCAAGGTCCGCCTTATCGAGCACACCAACCATGGCCTACTCGACGGCACCGGCGATGGTCCCCTCAAACCGCAACGCGGTGTGCGAACTTTTAAAGATATACGTCGGAAAGGCGTCAAGATCTTATCCATGTTCCGTACAAGAGGTACATGACCTCTATCCCGCACTGCTCCAACGTTATCTTACTGTCGTACAGGTTCTGCGCTCGATGCCAACGCTGCAATAGCGGCCTGCAAGACTTCCTCGGACGCATCTGATGGCACTCAACGTCCGGAACCTCCTCAGTCTCAAGACCTACATACCACTCGAAGCCCTAGCGTACCTAACATCTTCGACACCGCCCCCAAACTAACCTTACACCATACCGGATCCTCACTTACCCAGCTCACTAACGCTGCTGTCTTCGACGGTGAATCTGAGCCTGTCACAGGCACAAGGCCATTCGAGCATCCAATCGTACATACGAGCCGATCTACACCTAGCCTATCCAAGCAGCTCACCCTCAAGCTCTCGAACGCGCTTCTGCACAATCCTACGGTCATCCATCGACCGAAGCTGAGCTCCAGACCCACGGTCTTGACGAAAGAAGAGCGACTGGACAACCTGAGCGTGAAGACACCATCACCAGATCACATGGATGATGTGCTCTCACTCCCATCACAATTCTCTAGCGGTCCAGAGAGCAGCAACGGACCATTGAGTCAATCCACCGCACCCACCTCTCTCGTCTCCTCTGGTGGGCCTGTGTCTGCGGAGACCACGCATCGAGTACGCAACGAGTCCATTCAAGCGGCCCATATAGGCTCTCACATGGAGCAGCTAGGGGCAGACCACTGCGTTATACACTGGCTGAACTTCCCTCGTCAAGATGCACCATGCCTGATCAACCCATCCGTTGCTACGGTTGAGAAGGCTGTTGCAGCCAAGATCTTTTTCGAAGCCCACTTTAATCAGCTACTTACCACAAAAGTCTCACCCAGGTCGATGCGCCGCCGCCAACTGGAACGTGGAATCTTCGCCATGGCTTTACCCAATGAGCAACGGCAGTACAAAAGGCAACGATAGTATGTCGCCGAGAGCCATCATCTTCGCCAAACGCGTGTGATGAAGTCCAAGACCATTGCAAGGCAGAACATCAAAGGCGTCCACATTTCGAACTACGACATTGTCCGGGTGTTGGGCAAAGGCAGCTTCGGAGTCGTTCGACTAGTACGCGAGAAGAGCGACAACACCGGCAATTCCAGTGGCAGCAGCTCTGATTCCGGGTGCAACAGCAACGTTCCTGCTTCCCAGCTTGGGCTAAGGCCTGCTCCGCCAGTACGTAAGGTCAAACAGGTCTACGCCATGAAGGTCATCCGAAAGTCAGACATGCTTCGGAATAGCCAGGAAGGCCATCTACGTGCAGAACGAGATTTCTTAGTAGCATCTGAGAACTCGCGCTGGGTCGTGCCTTTGGTCGCGTCATTCCAAGATAACAACAACCTCTACCTCGTGATGGAGTATATGATGGGCGGTGACTTCCTTGGTTTGCTTCTGCGAGAAGATATACTCGACGAGAATGTGGCGAAGTAGTACATCGCCGAGATGATTCTCTGTATCGAAGAAGCCCACAAAATGAACTGGATCCACCGCGACATCAAGCCTGACAACTTTCTGATTACTGCTTCTGGACATCTTAAGATTTCTGACTTTGGACTTGCATTTGATGGCCACTGGACGCACAACCAGACGTACTACAACGAGCAGCGTTATGGTCTTCTAGAAGACCTCAACCTCGACGTTCAGGGCGACCAGCAAGACGTTGAGGAGGAGAGAGAGCGGCAGGCTGCGCGCAGAACTATCGACCTCATCAATGGTAACTTGACCTCTCGACAGCGATATGGGATGAAGCAAGATGCAGCCAATGAGCCCATACTCGACTGGCTCAATCGCACGCAAAGACGGCAATTCGCCAAGAGCGTTGTGGGAACGAGCCAGTACATGGCGCCCGAAGTCATCAGAGGTGAAAACTACGATGGTCGATGCGACTGGTGGAGCGTCGGCATCATATTGTATGAGGTGCGTTGAAGGATTCCGGTTCTGAGGCTGAGCTGACCTTTGCAGTGTTTGTACGGCTGTACACCGTTCTTCCAGGAGAACCGCCAAAAGACCAAAGAGCGCATAGTTGTAAGTAGATGTATGATCTCGTTGATGCTGTACTAATTGCGAAGGATCACAAACGCTACCTCCGATTTCCCAATGATCCTCGCTTTGCGCGCCCGAACATTGATCGCGTTCCTTTGATGCCTGTTTCCCGAAACGCCATCGAGCTCATGATGAGGCTGCTTGAAGACAGACAGGATCGACTCTCCTGTAAGCGCTACCGCGAGAATGACTGGATACTCCGCGACAAGTCTCTCGGAGCCAGACGCTACCGCAATCTCAAAGCTACCGGACATATTGTGTTCCCGAATGATGCCGAAGACATCAAAGCACATCCGTTCTTTCGACACATACAATGGTCCACACTACACCTGACACGACCCCCGTTTGTACCGAGAGTACACGGCGGACAACCTATCACCAAGTACTTCGACGACGAAGCTGATATCATGAGCGCATCGGACCACCTCGATAGCTCCAGCTACGAAGTTGCTCAGATGAACGGTGCCACCATGGTCGACGGTGTGGAGGGTCTGGGTGAAGAGGAGTCGACACCAACGGTTAATCCCACGACCCAGCAGAAGAATAGCTCACCACCTGCGTATGAACAGATTTGCCAAGAATTCCAGAAGATCAGGCGACGCAAAAAGGAGAAGAAGAGGCCCCGCGACAAGCTGCTCCGCGACCCTGAGGTGGGCAGGACTGTGCTCGAGATTCGCAAGAAGGGCGCCTTCATCGGGTACACGTATCGAAGACCACGCTTCTCGCTGCCGGAGCTCGAAGCCGGTGTGACTACAACCAGACCTCCGTTGGTTCGAGCCAGTATAGCTGCTGTGAGCGTGTGAACTGGCGCGAGAAGTCCCCCTGTATGTGGTAGGTGTAGATGTCGTACACATTCGTATCCCTTCATGGTCTCCACTATATGCTTTTTGCGATGAGCGTGTTTTTCGTTCATTATTGACGTTGCGTTCCTTCGCTTTCACCTCCCCGCTAAGCCACGATTAGTTCCGCCTCCTAATCGTGCGCACCAGAGAATCTTTACCTAGTCTCCACAAACTCTGGCTTTATATGCCATCATGTGGCAGTCCAGTCTACTCTTCCTGCGACCCACGCACTTGATGAAGTTACTGACTCGCCCAAGCCCATCACCTATCCCTCAGTCATGGACCTGGACGAGTAATTGACAAGCGACCTGTTCACCTGTCCGTAGCAACTCAAGGAATGAACAAGTATGATGTCTAGGATGTTAAGATGTGGAAGGGCATTTAGGGGGATTTAAGCCACCTCACAAAACTATCTTGGAGTTATGGTTGACGATCAAGCAGTACTACCATGTGTAGAGACATGCACCGCAATACGAACGCTTCCCACACCGCTGACAGCCTGGCGGACGCTTTCGGCAGGATTCCGGCTACGATGATGTAGCGCGTGAGGAATGTTGTCACCCTTCTTGCACCGCGGACGGAGGGAGAGTGTTGCGGTATCGGATGGTCCGTACAGTGTCTATCTATACCCCTGATCAGCCACCCTGGACTAGTGTGTTACAGGTCAGGTATATAGTCGTCTCCTCATAGCTAGACAGCAATACAGCGCAGTATTCCATCGACCCAATAGTCCTATGTTATCGTTTACCGTAGCTATCAGTATTCTACAGCGGTCCGCACCGCTACAGTTATGAGCCCGGAAGCCTTCAGTTAATCGCTGCGTTCACCCGTTTACCTACAGCCTATACAACTGGCTGTCGACCGTACTGTCAACACAGCCGACCACTGTTTGACACAAAAAAAAAAACCGACCCGATTGTCAACGTCAGACAGAGCGAGTCCTGAGAAAGTAGCACAATGAGTGCGTATGAGCAGGACCAGCTGGTGACGAAGATGTCAGTTACACTTAGTAAGCCTGATGACTGGGAGAAGTGGCTGTTTGTGAGAAAAGACACAGCGGACAGAGACGGCCTGTGGCCGTATGTCAACCCAGGACTGTCAGGGGAAGAGCTCAAGCAGCTACAAGATGAGAAGCCACAAGAGAAACCTGTGTGGAAGTTCAAGAAGATACGAGTATCTGAGGAAGAGCAGGAAGATGTTGATATTGAAGATCTATCTGCTGAAGAGATGTCTGTCTACAGCATGTGGACAAGAAAGTTTGAGCGCAAGGAGGTACAATGGCTGCAGAAAGAGAAGGCCTTGAGGAGCTTCAATTCTGAGATTGCTAGGACAATCGACGTGAAGCATTTGGACCTGATCATCAACTGCACAGACCCGTACAGTCGATTGACAACGCTCAAGAAGCACCTCTGTCCTTCAGTAGGAGAGAGGAATCACCAGCTACGTAGCCGATACAGAGCTGTGTGTACAAGACCAAGGAAGACAAACCTGGATGCATGGTTTGATGAGTGGGTGACGATCACCAGGCTCCTGACAGAGGCAAGAATGCCGGAGATTGACAGTAATCGATCACAAGAAGACTTCATACTGTCGATCAGAGGCCTTGACGATAGCTGGGCAGCGACACAGCTGCAAGAGCTAATCAAAAAGGACCAAAAAGGAGAACAGTATACGTCAACTGCAGATCTTGTGGCTGAATTTCGGTCCTACTACCGACGAACACGTCCAATTGCATCATCACTTGGTACCTTTGCAACGTTAGGTGTTGCAACCAAGTCAGATGGACCCACAGCTTCAGGAGGATCGACACGAAGCGTAATTTGCCTTTGTGGAGACAAACACAGATTCAAGGACTGCCCGTACGTCAATCACAGTCTACAACAACGTAATTGGAGACCCGACAGTTCAGTACAGAAGAAGTTTGACAACCTACGTCAACAGTCAGAGAATCCAGCAGGAAAGGTCTTGAGGAAAGTAGAAGCTCAACTCAAGAAGGATGGCAAATCGACAGAAGACGCCAGACAGTCCGTAATCAGTATGGACAATGGCCAACCAGTCAGAAGCACAACACACTGCAACGCTATGCTACAGACTACGGCTATAGACGACCAGACTCAGCCACCACTGCTCACTAGGTGGATATTGGACCCAGGATCAAACTGTCACGTCACCAACACAAAGGGGCCCAATTGGACTACGACAAAGAAAGGAGAACCCACAGACTACGTCTATGCTGGCGGTGTGCTAGCGCAGATAGAGGAGTGGGGGGAGGTTGTACTCAATGTCAAGACCCCAACAGGACGGAGTCAGATGAAGCTGACATATGTGGCCTACATACCAGGATTCTTCACAAGTGTAGTAGGACTGTCACACAGCAGACCTCTAGGAGTACATTTTGACTCAGGACGTGACTGCCTGTATCAAGAAAAGGCATCAAATGTGATTTGTCTACTACAGTACCAGGACGGACACTGGTTGATCGACATTGAGAGAGAGCAGGCACCACAACCAGCTCTACTGTCAGTATACGCAACACGCTATGCAGTACCAAGACCATCACGAGATGATTGAAAGCCTCTTGTAGTCAGTCAGAAGGACGCTCACAATCTGTTTGGCCATATAAGCCAGAAAGCAGTGGATCGACTGGACAGCCATGTCAACGGCGTACAGATTGACCAACAACCTAAGGCACCACAGTGGAAGGAGTGTGAGATCTGTGTACAGGCAAAACTACACAAGTTCGTCAGTCGACGGCCACAGAGAGAACCCGCTGGACATCCATTTTATCGATTAGGTATTGACCTTGTTCAACTACGTGAGAGAACAGAGCGCTGCTACAACGGTGATCTGTGGATGTTCCACGCGGTTGACCAGTACAGCAGATGGCACGAGGCCTGCTGTCTACCAGATAAGAGCTCAACGACCCTCAAACATACAGCTAGTCGACTACTAGCAAAGATCAAACGTCAGTATCACGCTGAGGTGTCAGTTGTGAGACTGGACAGTGACCGTGGATACAGTGAGATGTTCCAGATGTTCAGAGAGCTCGGAATCGTTGTTGAACCACGAGCTGAGTATACTGAGGAACAGAACGGTCTAACAGAACGAGCTGGAAGCACCATTGTTACCAGAGGACGAGCAATACGAATTGGCGGAGATCTGCCTATGGAACTGTCAAACAAATGTTGTATGACAGCTATATACCTACTCAACCGTACTCCAACGGAAGCCCTAGGTTGGAGAACACCGTACGAGATTGTACAAAGACACAAGCCGTCAGTGGCTCACCTAGCCTGTATTGGATCTCGAGCGTACGTACTGAATACAAAGTTGAAGCGCGGGGAGAAGCTACAATCACGCGCTTTGGTAGGACAGCTTGTTGGCTACGATTCTACAAACATCTACCGTGTGTGGATGCCTACACTGCAACGGGTAGTACGAACACGAGACGTTGTATTCATGCCATCTGAGAGTGGGACAGAAGAGGTCTATCCTGACCGACAGAGGCTACGTGAGATAGCAACAGTTCTTGATATCCCAGAGCCTCACAAAGACGAGCAAGAGATGGAACAAGTCTTGAATCAACCGTACGTCAACGATATTGACTATGGAAGGTTGGACAGAGATGAAGTAGAAGATCAGCTGATAAGTGAGATGACTGGTCGACAGGAGTTAACTAAGGAGGCTGCGGCATGGTTACCAACGCCTGAGAGTACTCCTGAGCCCACTCAATCATTGGAGAGCATCCAGAACAGTTCAAACGCTGTCAGTGAAGACCAGGAGACAGCCGAGAGCAGTCAGGAGATTATAGAGATGCCACGAGGCTGGCATACAGTCCCTCCAGAAGCAGAGGCTCCAGACCGACGATCAAACAATGCTCCAAGACGAGAAGAGATCAATAGCCAGATTGATGAGTCAAATGTCTTGATGTCAAGAAGAAGGCAACGCACACTGGGATCATACTATACAACGTTTGCGTTGGCCATTAATCTGTCAGTGTCTGAGAAGCTATTAGGGGAATCACCCCATACACGACTACACAGAGACAAGCTCCCAAAGCCTCCAAGGCAGTGGAGAGACCTGGAGAAGTATCCATTTGGAACGGAATTCAAAGAAGCAGCACATACAGAGTTTACTAGCTGTCAAGAAAAGGGCTGCTTTGCAACAACAACAACAACAGAAGCAGTAACAGACGTACAGGTACTGCCACTTAGGTGGGTCTTCACGTACAAGTTTGACGAAGACGGATACTTGTACAAGTACAAGGCAAGACTGGTGGTCAGGGGAGACCTCCAAGATGAGTGGGGAGACACGTACGCAGCCACGCTAGCAGCACGTATATTCAGGATGTTGATGGCAATTGCTGCAGCATTTGGCCTACACGCGTATCAATATGACGTACTCAACGCATTCCTCAATGCACTGCTCGAACAGCAAGTATACGTACGTACACCAGAGCCATTTGTGAGACAAATGGGTGAGCTACTGGAGTTGAAGAAAGCACTGTACGGTCTCAAGGACGCGCCACAGTTGTGGTACAAGCACCTGAAAAAGACGTTGATAAGGATGGGATTAAAACCAGTCAAGGACGTACCGTGTTTGTTCACGAGTGAACAACTGATTGTGTTCTTCTATGTGGACGACATAGTCGTTCTAGTACACCCACAGCAGCTTGAGCACCACCGACAGTTTGAGAGGCAACTCAAGGAAGCGTACGACATACGGAGTCTAGGAGACCTGAAGTGGTTCCTGGGCGTACGCGTAGTAAGAGATTGGAAAACAGGAGCCATATGGCTAGTACAAGACTCGTTCATTGACAAGGTGTCAGTGAAGTTTGACCTGGCTCAGACGTCAGGAAGATACCCAGCCGTACCGTTGACAGAGAGCTATCTGCAGCCAAGTAAAGAAGAACTGAATGTCAAGCGTACACAGATGTACCAGCAGTTAGTAGGATCACTGGCCTATATTTCAACCTTCACAAGACCTGATGTGTCACGAGCACACTCAGTCTTAGCGCGCCACCTACAGAACCCTGGTCAGAAGCACCTAGCAGCCGTAAGGCATGTGTGGAGATACCTGATCGGTACCAAGTACACTGCTATCGGAGCGTATAAACAACCAAGGAACAACACAACGTACATCAACCAATCCAACGATCTGTTAACGTTTTATGGAGCATCTGACGCAGCATTTGCGGATGATGTAGAGTCTTGACAGAGCTCGTACAGATACCTGTTCAAACTGTATGGAATGTGTATTGATTGGAAGGCAACACGTCAACGATCAGTTACAAAGTCTACCACAGAGGCAGAGCTAGTAGCCCTGTCGGTAGCAGGAGGAGAGATGGAGTGGTGGAATAGAGTGTTCAAACACATCCAATTCAGCCCGGATGTGAGACCGACTATCTACTGTGATAACGAACAGACTGTAGGTATAGTCACAAAACAGGAGGACAGACTACACACAAAACTACGCCATGTCGACACTCACCAGATGTGGATCAGACAGGAGGTACAGCAAGACCGACTACACGTTATCTGGTGTCCAACTGCAGAGATGCCTGCTGACGGACTCACCAAGTCACTAGTACGACAGAAACACCACAAGTTTGTGGAACAGCTGGGTTTAGAGAACGTGGAGCGTTACGTTGTAGAACGTACGCAGGACGCTGAGATACCAGATCCAGCAGGACTCACAGGATGGTACTGATAGTACAGGTTCAGCTTTGTTGTTCACGGCAGCTGGGGGGGAGTGTTGCGGTATCGGTCCATACAGTGTCTATCTATACCCCTGATCAGCCACCCTGGACTAGTGTGTTACAGGTCAGGTATATAGTCGTCTCCTCATAGCTAGACAGCAATACAGCGCAGTATTCCATCGACCCGATAGTCCTATGTTATCGTTTACCGTAGCTATCAGTATTCTACAGCGGTCCGCACCGCTACAGAGAGGAATAGGCGTATAATGACTTCGATACTATCGGGATAAAGAGTAGGGCGATTTTGTATAGGATGGTTGTGTAGGCTGCGGTGAGCTCCAGCCGGTGTACGAGTTTGACGAGGAGGGATTATTGGGGTAAGTTTCAAAGTTTTTTCTGTGTGTGGATGTTGTTGATGAAGTGTGGGCATTGAAGAGTGGTTGGAAGCGTATGGACACGAAACCGGTGTTATCAATGCTGCGCCTCAGACCGGCCAGCAAGCGAACTTTGCTCAGCTAACCGTCGTGGCGCTTGCATAGTAGCAGCGCCCCGAGACCTGGGAGGGAACTATTCCTGGGTTTGGGAGGGCAAGAAATCAGGTACAGAAGACTCAAAAGAACCTGGATTGGCCTTTTGAGGTGAAAGATGGTGGGAAGATAAAGCAGTGTCCGGGATGATTAGGAACAGAATCATGTTATAAAAAGGCAAAAGAATTGCCAAGAAGTCCGAAGAATTTGAAGAAGCCTTAGTTAAATAGGCAGTGAGAGACGTATGCAGTGAGCCTGAAGGTTAGCAGGTATGCGAACAACTTTCAAACACAATCCCGAGGGCCGCTTGGAAGCCGATGCGATCCAGAAAGCTGCAACCTCCGGGCAGAGCGCCCAGATGATGACAAGACATTATCATGACAAGAAATACTCTTAAGAGATACTTAGAAGTCTGGCAAATGACGATACTTGCGCCAATTCGTACAATCACCCTCGAACCACAAGACATGCAACGTTTCTTCCACGTCTTAGAGGTATGGCCATGTCGAAAATCGGGTTGCGCTGGATGAGCGCCTAGACTACTAGCGAAAAGCCACATGAAATGTTTCAGCCAAAGTTTGATTCTTTCCAGAGGGTACTAAGAAACAGAGCGCAAACAACCATCAACATTTGCTCTCGAACATCAATACTAGGCAGCTTTCACATCAACATACTCACAAAAGTCCTGAATCCATCTATCTCAACTCCCTTTCGAACTGAAGTTCTGACCAGATGTACTTAAGCTTCCACAAACTTACAGAGATGGCTTCATTGCGGCTGCTTATCAAGAACTCAACACAATCAAGAGGAAAGAAACCTACATCAAATGGCATTGGAATGATGTAGACATTAAACAATATGACGGACTTCCTCTCATATGGGTTTTCAAGTACAAACATAACAAAGAAGGCTATCTCTTCAAGTACAAATCTTGTATCTGTGTCAGAGGCAATCTTCAACACACTACAGAAGACATCCATGCCGCTACACTTGCCATGAGAATCTTCAGAGCACTCGTGGCAATTGCTGCCTACTTTCGACCTTGAGGTCCCAACAATACAATGCTGTCAATACTTTCACCAACGCAAAAGCTTACTCAGAAAGTCTACTGCCATCCACTTCAGGGATTCAATGATGCCAAGTATGTATGGGAGCTTCAACGCGCTCTCTACGGGCCTCAAGACTTCTCATCTACTTTGGTACAGAGAGCTTACAGCAACTCTTGTCAACTTTGATCTTACTCCAGTCCCTGGCATACCATGCCTCTACAAGAATAACAAACTCATTTTCTTCTTCTGTGTTGATGATATCATAATCATGGCCAAGCCTGGTAATATATCTGCCTTGAACAATCTCGAAGCAAAACTGTACAAGCGCTATGAGAAAACTAAACTTGGGGGCGTTGGAACATTCATTGGCGTTACAGTCGTTTGAACATCCAGACGAATCTGCTGTAAAGGTATGTGCAAAGTGAACACTGACAGGTTTTCAATGTGTCTTACTTGCTTATAACGCTAAACAAGACAAAAATAGATGGATCTTATCCATGTCAAGACTCTACCAAGCTCTCCAGGGCTTGGCCCATTACAGTACAGGCTTGTGCAGTTGACAATCAGGTCCAAGTGCTTCACATCAATTGTTCTAGCAATCTCAAAATTGAAGCTCCTCAAAGCCCTCTCTTTCTGCAGCCACCATGTATCCTCACACTCAAACTTCCTTTCCCATGTGTTTTAGACAGATATCTTTTCAGCAGATAGATCTTCAATGTCAATGTCTGCTTGCTATCCCTCAAATGCTTGTGTATTTTGAACTTCCACACAGGCTTCTCCTGTGAATTCTCATCTTGTAGCTTTAAGCTCATCTTCTGATTGACCTGGGTTGACATATGGCCACAACCAATCTCTGTCTGCTGTGTCCTTTCTTACAAACAGCCACTTCTCTCAGTCATCAGGCCTGCTGAGTACGATTGACGTCTTTTTCACTAGCTGGTCCTGCTCATACACACTCGTCATGCCCTCTCAGGGCGTGCTCTGCCTGATGCTTGACAAGCAAATTGATTTTGTGTCAAACAGTAGTCGGATGCGTTGACAGTACAGTCTACAGCCAGTTGTGTAGGTTGTAGGTAAACGGTTTAACACAGTGATTGACTGAAGGCTTTCCGGCTCATAACTGTGGTGGCAGGGGGCCACTGGTAGAATATGATGGAATACTGCGCTGAGTTGCTATCTAGCTAGGAGAAGGCGACTATATACATAATCGGGGGATTTTGCAACAAACCAACCATACCTAGGTAGTTGGTGATCCTTACATGGGCCGTACTCACTCTTTGCACGTATACATGAACCGATATGGTGGAGTCTCTGGGTAATTCCATTATTTAGAACAATATGCTCGCTTGCTCTTGTGCTCACCGAGATGAATTGTATACATAGGTATGTCAAGCGAGATTATTTGAGAGGCATGCCGTCGAGGATGCTCCCGAAAGAGAGCATCACAGATTGCTTCTACACGCACGCAATATCTATCATTCGCTTCTTCGTACATTCTCCGCCTTCTTCCTTTTGACTTTCTCTTGCTTTGTCTTTCTTGTTTTGTTGCTCCTCCTTTGTTGCTCCTGCCTCTCTGCTCCCTCCCTAACTGCTCTTCCATGCCACCTTCCACACTTCGCCATCACTACTGTACCACACACTGCACGTAGGCTCTTACCTTCAAGGCCTGCTCCACCTTTCCATGTGATTCAGCAGATTGTAGCAGAGGTTCGATCGACCCAGTCAGAGCCTAGATGCTTCCATAGGAAGCAAGGATGGACTGCTCCATTTTCATGCTTGGCTCGAAGTGCGAAAGAGCAGAAGAGAGTTGCATTGCGACATAGGGATCTATCTTGCTCCATACTTCATCAAACCTTCCTCCAGGGCTTTGATTTGTAATGCCAGAATTCTGGAGTAATATCTGGCAGCAGCCAGATTACCACCCATGAACCAGAATCCTGGATGACCGCTCTGCTGCCATATAGTTCTAAACTCGCCTTCTTCATTGAAACCCCACACGCTGTCAACGCGATCGCTCACCGCACGACCAAAGATGAGTTCTGCCTGGCTTTTCATATTCTGATACCCTGTTGCGAAGACGATCTCATCGGCTTCCAGTTCTGATCCATCGGCGAATCGAAGTCCGTGAGGGAGAACTTCCTTGATCTCCTGTCCTTGCTTGATTTTGATCTTGCCGTCAATGATCAACTGACTCGCGCCAACATCGATGTAGTATCCTCCACCTCGCTGGAAGTACTTTAAGAATAGACCAGAGTCCATAGGCCCCCGGTCGAGACGGAATCCTGCTTTTTCAAGACCCGAGAGCATCTCGCGATCATGCTCGCTCTGTTGCTTGGTAACCTTGACTTGTTGAGCCTTCAACAACTCCATTGGCAATCCATGTAGCCACAGATCGGCGTCTTCGACTGGAGGGCTATCTTCGTCGTACAATCCCTTAAGTCCTATCTCAACAATAGCTTTAGAGGACACGACGCAAGTAGAACTCCGCTGTACCATAGTGATGTCGTAGCCTTTCTCGTAGAAGTCTTGCGCAATGTCATGACCTGAGTTGCAAGATCCTACAACGATGGCCTTCTTGCCTCGACCATCCTTTGCCCCGGTGAATTCAGAGCTGTGGCACAGACGGTCGCCTTGGAAATTGGGAATCCCTTCCATTTGGGGGAAGTTCTTTTTGCCAGAGTGTCCAGACGCCTGGATGACATGTTTCGGATGAATGATGCGGTTGGTGAGAGTGCCGTCTTCTTGCCTTCGATGCAGCGTGATGTTCCACTGCTGCTTCTCTTCATCCCAGGTTGGGGAGCTTAACGTTGTTTCCGTCCAAACGTTGAGTTCGAGTAACTGCACATATGCCTCGAAAAAGTCGGCCAACTTGTCTTTGGGCGTGAAGATTGGCCAGTGAGCGGGAAAGCTGAGATATGGCATGTGGTCATACCACACGGGATCATGAAGCACCAGTTGACGATATCTCTTCCTCCAGTTGTCGCCTACCCTAGTGTTGGCATCAATGACCAAAGTATCGACGTTGAGCATGTTGAGCCGAGCAGCAGCGGTCAACCCTCCTTGGCCAGCGCCTATCACGATCTGTCAGCGTCCTGTACTTGATGTTTGAGAACATCAACCCATACCTATGATGAGAACTTTTGGCTCTCTATCTTCAAAATTCTGAGCAGCCTGGCGCTTTTCCAGCCAGTTCTTGCGATTGGGATCTCCTCCGTGTGCCACACCTGGGGTCCTGCGATGATTGAGAGGCTCTTCATAACCACACAGCTCCTCCAACGTAGTGAAAAATGTGAAGATCTTCCATTGCATCTGCTGCTCCGCCAATCTGACTAGACCTCTGCCAACACCAACCTCAGTCTCTACGTCAATGCAGAACTCAATCCCTTTGACGTCCCCAAATCCATCGATGTTGCTGACGTGAGGACTCCGGAAGGCGGAGGACGTGTCGATAGAAACCCTGGTAAGGCGACATCCCTCTTGCAGAAATCCTGCGATACCCGCAGGTGATTTTACAGTCCGCAACTGCCACGACACGGCCAAGTGATCGCGCCAATAGCCATGTTCTAGAAAGAGCCCAGCGAGAGAAGCGTAGTCTTTCTCCACAAGTGCTTGATTGAACTGCTTGATGATTGATTGTGCAACTTGTTGACATTCGGTGGGTATAGAGCTGGGTGACACCGGGAATTTGCCGAGAGGGATGTCGACTGAACCGGGTTCGACTCGCTTATATGAAGGGAGTTGAAGGAGGTGAGATTCCTGACAGTCGCCCATAGTATGGTCCTCGGTGGTTCCAAATACTAGAAAACGGCTAAAAGGCGGTGCTGAACTTTAATGCTGCTTGACGGGAGCTGAGATCGGTGATAGGAGCGGTTGCATGTGATTGATCTAGTCAACCTCTTTTTGCTTCAAAGACAAGGGACTGACGAGCCGTTCATTCGATACATGCATAGCTATTTATGCACAACTCGATTAAGAATCGGGGGGGGGGGGGTTCAAATTGGTGGCTATCCCTGCGGGGCAACAAGTTAAGCCGGATCATTTTCTGGGGAAAGCGGGGTTTATGTCGTGTGACGTGCATGTTGGCGAAGTTGAGCGTCGAAGTCCGCTGCAGCAACAATAGCTTGGCGTCGTCTACGGCTGGAGGCTAATGCACAGTTCTTTAGCCCGCGTTGAGTCTTCCGTGTGGGCTCTGCGGGACCAGCGTGCAGCTATAACAGCTTCCCCAACCGGAGTTTTCGCTGGAAGTCCGGCCAAAGGACGAAGGGTAATTCATGAGGCCGGAGCTGTCCGGAGAACTTTGTCGGACGAGCTCGTGCCCCCCCCCCCTCCCCACCGCTTGCTTCCCCAAGATTGCGGGGTGAGGCTGAACCACTCTCTGGGGTAGTTCTGGGGAGGATACATATATCCAGTACTTCAACATGCAATATAGTTCAATGCCCATTTCCAATTTATTTCATAAAATACCTTTGAAACATCTCTATTACACTATCAGCATGCAGTCTGTCAAGAAAACAGATGAAGAGATAATCGCAATCCACCTGGAGGATATCCACTCCATTTCAGATGGCGATGAATCCTATGTCGGTATCGATGTGGGAATGGAACGAAGGTATGCACTGAAGCTGGTCTTCAACCCAAACTTCATGCTCAGAGTCAACAGGATGGTCCGCAAGATAGACTCCAAGCTTCTACCCATATCCGCGGTCATCCACCTTCTTTGCTATCTGGATAAATCCAACATTGATAAGTTCATCATTTTCGCTACGGTCAAATGGCGCTCTGCTAATGTTTTTGAATGCGTCAAGGCAACGCAAAGATTCTGGATTCGAGCACGAAAGATGACGTGCAGACGACGAGCAATATGTCTAATTACGAGTTCACTATTGCACTCATTCGATATTTGGGATGCCCAGTAACCTGGCATTAAAAGCCTTCGCTCCTCGCAAGTATTTCCTCTCTGACAAGATTACTCATTGACGTTTGGGGAGCGGACCTTGTCAATGGAAGAGAATGTGAGCGGAATTGTCATGTTTTTGACACCTCTCTATGTGGTGTTATCTACGTGGAGACGAGCTGTGGGCGCTAGATGGAAAGACGAAGGCGCGGAACCCCATGAGAGGTAGGAGGCCGTGAGGGTGCCTGGCTGACAGACCTGAATTGGAGTTTTCTGAACAGGTGGCTTGCTTTTCTCGTTATAGCTTTCGGGACCATATGCGCTGACATTGGTGGAACCACTAACTTCGTTGGTGTCCCCCGTCTTCGCTTTTTCCTTGGAGCTGCTGAGGCTGGCGTTTTTCTGGGTAAGTGCCGCAACCTTCAAGCTGCAATTGACTGAGTGTTAACTATGGTAAGGTCTTATTTAATACTTCAGCTTCTGGTACAAGTCAAAGGAGTGAGCGACTCGTATAGCAGCTTGCTTGTGCAGTGCAAGCCTCGCGGGTGCGTTCGGTGGGTAGGTTATATACAGAAGATGGTAGGTACAGATCGAAGACATTACATTCCTTGAGTAAGGCCATAGGTACGGGTTCAATGGAGAGATAGCAAACCCAGCTAAGGGCACAAAAAGGCACACCCAAGGATTTAAGCACTCTATTTAACAACATAGGGATCATGCAATCTCCTTTGAGACACTCTTGGCACAATGGATGGAAGGAGTAGGGTTGACATGGTAGCACAAGATAGTTTGTAGAGCGCTGCAAAACGGGACAAACATAACGAGCCCTGCGGGTGAACGATCCAAAGCGTGCACAGCTGATACATTCCGTGTAACGGTCACAAATATCCCTGCTAACAAATGGGCAAGTATGTAGTAGTAGAGGCTTCTTGCGCAGCAGGATGGAGAAGAGGACAGTCCCTCCTATTTTATTAGAGCTTATATGTTCGATATGGACAAGATACACTATGCTAAACGCTAAGATATACAATGCTGAGTGCTTCTTATCAAGGGCAACCAGCATCGGATTGAACGGAATGTGGTCTCGTGAAATCACAGCTAGGTGATGAGTATGTTAAGGAGATTGGACTATGTGTGTGGTAGAGTGGACGTCTGAGAGACGCTGAGCAGGGCACTAATTCACTAGTCAGCAACCGTAAAATAGATTCGAAGATAAAGCTCACTTGTTCACAGGGCCTTATTGAAGATCTGAGTGGGTTGTTACGAGTTCAGTGTATGAATAGAACCAGTACCGGCGCTAATGGTTCGCAGTGGAGTGTCGTCGAAGGACATCCGGGACGATGGTACGTCGATAGAGGTCGATCTAAACATACCAACTTCGTTCTTTTCATCCTTTTCCAGTATATCTTTGATCCGAGTGTCGTTGTGGTCGTTAATCCTTGGCCGGAACGAGCTGCGAAAGCAGGAGCAGATCGATCGAAACCATGCAGCACCAAGTGAATGCTGTGGGTGCAGATTGGCGACAATAACGATGAGGCTGAAGACAACGAAGACCCTGAAAGCAATCTGGACTTTCAAGTCCATTGAGTTGCTAGTATCGGCCATCGTTCATTTGACGAGAAGGAAGGATGCGGGCAACCTGATTGGCCGGGGCTTAGGGGAACAGACGTAGTACGCGGGTTGAGAGAGTACGTCGTACAAAGTAGCGGTCGGACCGAAGTCTCGACAGGGGGCCAAGCTCCAGCCAGCTTACAAAACAGAAATTTTGGCGCCATCATGCTGTAGGCTGAGATTAGGGCATGTGAGATCAAATAATAGGTATGGTACAGACCAGTGACCGGAGATGCATCTCTCACGAATAGCATGCGAGACAATGAGTGCCTCGGAGGCGCAGTCATGTTAGAGGTGGGCTGAGTATCAAGACTCACGTGCTATACTGTGAAACCTTCGTCAGCGTATCAGCGCTTGAACGGGATGTTTTTGTAGAAACATCGAGTAGTTGCAACCAAGGCGCGCTGGTGGTGAAGAGAAGTACAATATCATATCTTCATTGGTACGTCTTTCATGGGAAGACTTTTGCTATAGACAAATACTCATAAAGATCAATTCTTCTCGCACGCAAGACATCTCGCATCAAATGCTATTAGACCGTCCAACCTACCGAACTTAATCGACTTACTGCCCGCCCATCTTCTCATAAGTGTTCATCAAGCTACCAATGAAAGTAGTAATCAAACGGCTCTGCACCGCAACAATATCCTCAGGCACCAGCCAGATAGTAGCGCCCATCTTTCGCGCAATACTGATAGCCAACTTGGCATTCTGGTAGCTCTCCTCATCATTGCGACCAGGTGTAACGAGATCGTAGTCGACATACGCAGGCTTCATACCCGCAAGAACATCGAGCAGAAACTTGGCATTCGACAGCGACGAGTCCTTGAACGAGCGAATCTGGCTGCCCTGACCGCCCTTGCGCGCCATGTCGTTTGCCCACTTGATCATGTCTGGGTCAGAGATTTCGCGCTTGCCAAGCTTTTGCGCCAGGCCCTTGAGTGTGGAGACGATGTCCTTGCGCATCAGTTGCCAGACGAGACCGAGGGTGAGTGTGCGCTGGCCATCGGTGATGTCGGCACCTTGGATACCGGGGAGGGAGAACTGAACAGACTTTCCGAGCTCGACAGCGTAATTGGTATTCTCGAGCGCCTTGAAGCGCATCAGCTCCTGGCCTTCTCGGGGCTTGTTGACGTGGCGCCAGTTTACGCTGCCAGGAATGACCTTGTCGTAAGCCTGAAGAAGAACGAGGCCGTCCTTGAGATCCTCGAAGAAAGACTGTACAACGGGTTTGACGTCCAGGGAGTTGAGCCAAAGGGTGAACACACGAGCTTCACGCTCGCCCTCGGCATCGAAATCCTCGATCTCAGCCTTCTCTTCCTCGGTAATGGGATCGAGGCAAGGATGCGTGTTGAACAAGTTGGCAACGAAGGCAAGGTTGAGCTTGGGGTTACCGGCGACCAGTGATGTCGGTGTCAAGAACTTGCGGCAGTCAAGGGCGTCGGCGTTCTGAAGGACCATCTCAGCGCGCTGCAGCAGGTCGTTCTGTTGTAGCGGCGAACGGGAGCAGGTCTCTGGTGCTAATTGGTTGAGAAGAACGGTGTAGTTCTCGCCATCCTTGACGTCTGTGGAGAAGTTGGTCACGCTGAGTATGTTAGCTGAATGTCTCTTGTAACTTGTGCTGCAACTTACGTTCTGTGCCACTTCGCGTTCTTTAGGTGGTAGTTGAACCATCGCAGCAGGATCTGCTCCGGAGGCAAGCGCAGGAACTGCTCGAGTGTCTCGTCGTCTTCCAGCAGTCTGTACAACTCAGGGTGCAGCTTGATGTCGATCTTGCCGAGCAGACCTCTCCTGATGATCTGCCAGATCAAACCCAGGATTAAATGCTCGCGCACCTCAATGATGTCTCCACTACCAATGTTGACAACAGAACACCCAATACCCTTCGCCGACTCAATAACGATGTTGTTGTTTTCAGTGAAGTGGAAGTTGTTCAATTGCTTGATCTTCCTGCCCGGCTTGTTCAGAACACGCTCGTCGATTGTATCCGGTACGCTGTCGTTGATCAGTTTGGACAGCACGAGACCGTCCTTGCACTGGTCGAACATCTCGAAGGTGTCGGTGGGGAAGGGCAGGCGGTCGCCGATGTCTGGGTCGCCGGCGAGGACGGCATTGATATGGCGCGTGAATTCGGTTCGCTCGTCTTCGTTGATGGTGTGAGTGACGTTCGCGGAGGAGCCCTGTACCTGGATTCTTCCACCTCCGCTGCCGATGCTGGGCTTTGAGGCATGCTTTGGGGTCGAGGGCGCGCTGCCGGTAGCGCCGGATACAGCGCGCGGGCGTGTTGGACCAGTGCTCATGCGCTGCTGTGCCGGCGACGACTGGCGCAGCTTGGAGATGAGGTCTACATAGTCGTCCAGTTCTACTCGCCGCGAACTGTCGAGCTCGACCTCCTTCAGCGCCTGGCGCACTACATCGTACGGCTGGTGCTCTGTCTGCTGGGTCGCCTTAATGACAGTCGCCTCGTCGAGGTAGCCCTTGTCATCGACGTCGAGCCTGCGGAAGGCATCCTGCAAGCCAAAGATCTCGCCCTGCTCGAACTGGGGGTATTTTCTGTGTACAGTGGCTGTCAGTCACCGTGGCATCCGGGGGATCACCATGGAAGCTTACCTTTGAAGCTTGATGATATTCATGGCGGTGTGATGTGGAAGAATTGCAGGTGGATTGGGAGCGGTATAAAGCTGGTCGCAGAGGCAAAAGTCACTGCCTGGCTCAGCCTCGTTCTGCGTTGCGCGTTCGACGTTTGTCGTCTCTTGTTTTGCTTTAGCCTTACCCTGATGACGGCCGCCAAGACGTTGGGCGGCGTGGAGGGGCAGGCACGACCGAATACGAGGCGCTAGCTTACGTACGCATCTCTACATGATCTGTAGGACGATGCAGGCAACTGTCAAACAGTATGTTAGCTCAGGATACAGGACGCAGGTCGTGCATTGCATGTGCATGTCTATGCTGAATGCAGGGCTGCTCGTTGTCGATTCTGGACAACGATCGTGACAGCAGATGCAGGGGAAGCCCTGGAGGGCCTTCATCAAAGATGCTAGGACTACTAGAGCGTGTCCACTGTTGCCAGCTCACACCGTGATTCTGCCTGTGGAGATTGCAGGAGGTTGGGATTGGATTGCTTCACTATTTATTCCGGTCAGTCTGCCGTCAATTACTGCCTCGACAGCAAACTCGCTTGAACACGATGACCTGATGGTGAGGCGGAAGTTCACATCACCGTGTCCGCAGTCGAGGGTTGTCGAGATGAGATCACATCACTCAAGCCACAGCAAGAACTTGATCGAGTAAAAATAAGAGCTTTTGATTCCCTTATTATCATCAAAAGGTCCTCCACCATCGGTAGCTCGTTAAGGTTCATAAGAGTAAACACTAGCCCCTGCTCCATCGATTGCAAAGATACTGCTGTGAGCATCCGACGGCTGCTCGTATGCGCATATGCAAACCGCTCAGATCCCTGCTACTTCCGCAACTAGAAACAACAAGGTGATAGGACTTGCCGCGAGCACGCCCTCCCGCCAAAAAGCAATCATCATCATCGCGTGGGACACGTCTTTATGTTCATTTTCGCCTGGTCTTCGTCGAGTGTAGCGTGAGGCTCGTAGCTTTTGTCTGGAACAAAGATGGGTACAGAAAATTGCTGAATGCATCGAATAACGCGCTGCCAGAGAGTTGGTCTGGAATTATTGATAATCGAGACAGAGGTGACATGAGTGTTGAAGGTTGTGACAGCGCGCTAAACAATCGCAATGCTATGCCCATAATCATCGTCAACAAGAAACGAGGTAGAGGTAAGAAAATACAGCACCATCACCCGCAACATTAAGCCGAAACGTCTAAATGAACGAACGTTTGCTTATGCCACATGCAGGTCGTATATCGTGAGAATGAAAGTGCAGGTAACTGCCAAACTAGTCGTTAAGGTCGTGAATGCCGAGGTACGAAATGTAGACATGACAGAGAGGATGAAATGGTTGATGAACAGAAGGAGATGCCCTCAGTGAAGAGAATTTGAAGTTGTTGTTGATTCGACTTTGCTCGAGCCGTGGGTGTGATCGCTCCACTGAGCAGAAGACGAGGAAGTCAAGCCGAGCCGCCTTCTAGGTCGCAGAAGGTAATAATAGTCAGCCACCATACCTAATGGATATGGCTATTGTGCTACCTCCGGACACGCTGAGCTTGAGCTTGAGCTTGAGCTTGCATGGTGTGAGCACGTTGAAGACCTGGGGTGGGGTCCTGGGCGTATGGGCCAACAGCGCCTCCCTCCATTGTCTTTCGCCTCTTGAGACCACCCATGTCGTCGCCCTGGACGCTGTCAGGTCGGTAAGAATCTTGCTCCTCGTCGTCACGACCGCGTTTGGCAGATCCTAAGCCGTTTGTTGCAGGGTAGCCTTGGTTGGCGTACTGTGTGGGACCTGGGTAGCCGTCGTGAGGTGCATTACCGTTAGAAGCAGCACGGGGGTCGCTGCTCATGACGCTGTACAGATTGCTCGATGGAAGTCCCTGGCGCTGAGGTGTAGGATAACCTGAGCTCCATGCCTGCCCTGTTGTTGTTGTGCGTGGAGTCGCGCGTCCAGACCCATTTTGGTGCGGGGATCCAGTCATCTCCGGGGACAAGTGGGGGTGGTCAGGGTGCATTGCTCCCTGAACGCCGCTAGGGTTGTAGCCGTATGCGCTCCTGTTGCCGTTGTAGGGAGCATTGGAGTGGGTGTACTCATGATCCTGCTCGTGATCACCTTCGCCTCCGTTAGGTGCATTTGCCTGGTCGTTGCTCTGTGACAAGGAACCGTCGGCAGGTTTGACCTCACCCTCATCTGGTACCTCGGTGATCCTGGATGGTGGTGCCATCTCTGTCTTAGGATACGAGCCATCATTGCGGTATCCCATCATGGGCTGGCCTTGAGTGTGATACTGGCCAGGTTGAGAAGGAGGGGCAGAATACATTGGCCTGGAACCATCGTAGCTTTGCGCAGAAGGGTATGAGATGCCCTGCTGTACAGCGCCAGGAGGTGTGCTTGCTGGTGTTGTTGGCACGGAGCGAGCATTGCTCAGGCCAGTGTCAATAGAGAGCGGTTGGTTGCCGGGAGCATTCTGGACGTTGGCGCCGTTCCACTCATAGGAGCCGCCTTGATTGCCCATACCCATGATGCTCGACGCACTTGTAGGTGGTGTAGGGAAGGTGTGAGCACGATCAAGGCCAGGTCGCCCTGCAGATGGGTGCGGCTGGATGGCGTGTGGAGGCTGCGACATAGCCGCACCGATGGGGTTGCTCATCGAATGGTGGTGGTGAAGAGAAGGAGGTTGCGATGTGGTTGGCCCTGTCAAGTATCGTTGAGCAGTCTGCACACTGTCAGATCGAGGACGACCAACAGCGGCCATGGCGGCGCTTCCTACACTTTGCCTGTTCTGGTTTGTAGGATGATAGAGCAGGGCTCCAATGTCGTGGACAAAGAGAGGGTACAGCTGCTCGGTGATCTTTTCCTTATTCGCGAACTCGAGTGCTCGCTCGAAGGGAATCCTGCGCCTTGTTAGTGCGTGATTTCGGAAGATAGTGCCAGGAAACTCACCAAACACCCTTAAGATGCATAGGGCCAATCTTGACGACATGTCTTGTCTTCTCACTCTTCAAGATGCCATCTCGGCGGCCTCGTGTCATGCCAGCCACATTCAGGAGCTTGGTGCCGTTGATCATGTGGTTGTCTTCACGACGAGCGACGCATACGCCCTTAGCTTCGACCTGGAAACAAAGACTACCCTCGTCTTCCCAGAGCGTGGCGGTAACGCGAGGCTTCATTCCTGGTGGGGCGACCTGTCCAGTGTGGTCGAACGTATGAGTCTGATAACTTTGTGGCGCGGGCACCGGTGCACCTGAAGACATTGCTGGGTTCGTTAGCGGGCCATGTAAGAATGTATTGTGGTTGAAACCTACCAGGAAGCTGGATCGTCGAAGGCACCATCGAGCTATTCATCGATGATGATGTCGGCAGCTGTGGGGGCACGCCATTGCCATAGCCATATGAGGGGTAGCCTGGCGGCGCGGATCCATACTGAGGGCCAGGCTGCAACATTGACGGTTGTTGTGGGTAAGAGTAGTGGGAAAGTCCTGTGGGAGGGCCCGAAGCAGGCGCATGTGCAGTGGCAGCAGACATGTGGGGTGGGTGTACGTCGGCGTACGATTGCATCTGGTTCATGCTGTTGTAGCCCGCTTGGGGATAGCCGAAGCTATTCTGAGTGCCGTACGGGGAGCCTTGCTGCGATTGCGCATGCAATGACTGACCGTCACGGTTCAATGACTGTGGCGTCTGCTCTGGGGAAGGTGTCTTGAACCCAGCGGTCTGGCCGTGCACCGAAGCGGCGTACGAAGTGTTCGAGCTAGCGACCGAACCACCACTTATGGAATCACCTCGAGGCGACGAGTTGGTGGACGAACCGCTAGGAAAGGACGGGTAGGATTGGATCTGGGGAAGTGCGGGCAGACGCTCGCTGGGTGCTGCAGTCTTAGGCGCGTACTGTGAGTTGTACCAAGTGTCGACGGGACCGCGGGCGTGGACCGACGAGATCGATGGCAGCTCCAGCTTTACGGTATTGACGGGTGTTCGCTTGCGCGCGCAAGATATCGTTTCCGAAAAAGATCCCCGTGAGAATCCTCGAGCCTATGCACAAGATAACCGAGCGCGTTGCTGTGCAGATCTGACAGACAAAGCTTTACAACAGAATCTCTGTGCGAATAGCCGGAGAGACGATAGCTTGCTGTGATATAGCTTGTCGAGCGACGATGCGAGTACCTTCACCGCAAGTCAGTTGTTTGCTTCGCAGGGTTTCGTAGGGTCATATTCGGCCAACAACGCGGGAGCCAACAGAAGGCGCCCAAATACGTGCGCAAACAGTCCAGATCAGACGTACATGGGTGCCTCGCAACTGGGTCTCGTAGAATATGTGTATTGTGTTGTTTTTCTGGGATGGGTGCTCGATCTGGGCAGTGGTAGGCTGGTGATACTCACCAAAGTGAATCCTGAAATGGCAGGAGCGATGGAATGCTCAACGTACACACGAACAAAGCTGACTTGGGCTCGAACGCTGTAAACAATGCTGTACAGTTAAAAAGCGAGTCGTAACGTCGTTGCAATCGTTAATCGAGAAACCGCAATGCTTTTCGCTTCGTTTCAAAACACGCTCAAAGACGAATTGACGAATGCCGGCCTGGAATAATATCGATAAGGTCTGCGACAACCAGAAATATCTACTGTCGAGTTGAGGCGTGTCGAGTCGTCGTGATCGGTCGTAACGTCGTTGCGCTCTTCAATCGCGGGCCGTGCAGTATCGATACTGATGGCTCCAGCTCCAGCAAAAGGAACACTACGCAACTCACGCGTCAGCAGATGCGATGCACAACAAAGGTAAACAATGGTATGACGGGGTGCCAACCTCCGCCAATCTATGTGTAGAAACAAAAGCCAGCAGACTGCGTGTTGCTGACTGCGTGGGGAGGCGGAGGTATTGAGGGCGGAGGTGGTTGGGAGCTAGTCTCGACCACCAACGAACGGACAACCAACCAACCAGACAATGAAAGGATAGGCGAGTGCCCGGTAAATGCTGGTTTGGGTCCGAAACGAATTGTGGAGATTCCGCGGGAGAGTAGTATTGAGGGTACAACGTACCAATGTCTCAACGAGCGGACGCAAAGAGTGCAATACTCACGGCGATGCTGGCTGTCTGGCGAGTGTGGAGAAGAGAGGTCGTTCTCGTCAGCGGTGCTGCAGGATTCTCTGCAGGCTCGACAGCAGGCAGGCCGCAGCTAAGAGGGCTGACCGAGACAGGCGAGCCACGCACGCCCCGCAGCGAAGTCCGTTCGAGGATGGGCTCTTTTTCGCAGACGGCGTGTCCCTACAATGTCAGTGCGCTATCGACGCCGCTGGCAGATTGATCCGCGAGTGCACGATGATGTCGCTGCTCGACGGGACGGCGCGAGTTTGCAGGAACGGCGGCACCAGGGCTGGGTCTGCGAAGAAGAGAACCTGCTACAGCACTGGCGGCCAGATTCAGGTGCGTGGAAAACGCACGCTGTACTGTAGCTATACCTAGAGACAAGTGATGGAGATCTTCTGGGGACGCTCAGCAAAACACACCCACGAGCCGCCGCTCGCACACAATCTAAATTCACTTCGGGCTTGGTGGCAGCCATCGGTGCAAGCCAGGATGGGGTGGCCCGGCTTGCGCTCCCAGCCTGGGCCGAGAAGCAACAGTCCCGTGAAGACGACCGTTTCGCGCTCAAGAAGCACAGACGCCCGCCATGGTGCATGCTGACTGGGCTGATCGGCCGTCACAGACGCTGCATGGAGAACAGGCTGGCAAGGACAGGGTTGCCAGACCTATACCACGACGACTATACACGCAAGCGAGCCTGCTCCACCTCCAGCCACCTGACGACAGAAGTCAGCAACCACACGACAAGACAGAGCACAGCAGATCAGTCGTCGAACCCTGCTTGCCGCGTCAGAACCGCCAGACAAGAGGGGTGCAGAAACGGCGGAGGAATTGCTATTCTCGTGGCGCCCGCCAGCACCACCATCCATCTTCGACGGTTGACGACCTCGCTCTGTGCAGGGGTTATGTGCCAAACTTAGCGGGCGCCTACTCTTTCAACAGAGAGCGTCCCGCTTCCTCAGGCATCGGCTGGGCCCCCGATAGGGAGCTGATGGCTGGCTTGACAATGACCAGTCAGCGCAACCGGAGATAGTCATTGTGGGGTGCCAGTAAAGTTACGGAGGTGATAAGAAACGTTTCTTAATAAGCCGCAGCCGGTGCATGATGTTGCGGATGCCGACATGCACAGACCGAGGGCCAGAAAGCAGCATCCCAGCGAGCGATCGGAAAGCAGACCCTGTTGAAAAGTCTTGAGCTTTTCTCACGGACAGCCGGCCAAGTGCGCTGAGTGGTCCGGCAGACGCGATGATGTGCGCTGCTGATGCGAGTCGAAGCAGCGGAAACCTTCAGCGACAGAGACTGGAACTGAGCATCGACTCCACAGAAGCAGACTTCCCGCTGTCGGTCCGCTGCACGCACTCTGAAACGCAGGCTTGACTGCCGCGACACCTGCTCGTCTTTGTTTCCGCTTTGAAAACGGGCATTGATGCTTCAGGCAGGACAGCCTGTGAACTCGAGCAAGGTGGTCTGGGCAGCTCCAGCAAATTCCTCCTCAGGCTAAATGCCCGTGAGCCACGATCCAACTGCTCTCTTGCAGGGATAAGCCCGAGAGTGAACGGGAGAGACGGACGGTAGGCCGTGCAGGCCATATGCTCGCAGTCTGGGCGTTGTTCAACAAGCCAGCTGTGGTTGGATGGATATTTTATCGCGTTCTGACGACCTGGACACTCTGAAGCAGGCAAGAAAGAGCGTCTATCGATTTCCCGCGCGACAACATTCAATAATGTCAACAAGCTTCAGAAGTGTGAAGCGAGCGACTCCAGAGTGAGCATGTGCAACGTGGAGACTCGAGAGAGTGCGACGCTCATGTCATGTCAGCAGGATGGTCAATGAGAGGACGAAACGAGCCACACTCAGCGAAATGGGAGCGCCGCAGCACCGCTCGTCTCCACTCGTGCTCACAGCTCGACTCCCACTCCAAGTGAATTCGCTCGACAAACGTGCCGTTCGTACCACCGGGCGTGGTGTTAGATGTGGATACCGTGCTGAATGATAGGGCGACGCCTACTTGCGGTGTGAGTGATGTGTTGTCCGCTAGCCTAATCGGGATGGGGGCCAGCTCAGTCACGCCTTCATGCCTCGTCTCTCCAACAGCCACCCGCGCAAAACTCTATCATCGTGTCTCCCTTGCTGTCGGATTCAATGTCTCAGCTCTTTGGACGGGGCGAGACGCTGCTACACAATTCAACCTTTACAGTAAGCTGAAACAATTGCTGCGCTACAGTGCCCCTGCACCCTGTGCATGCGCTGATATCGCCGCAACATCGAGGTCGTGTCCTGCTAGAAGCAGGCCGTCTCAGACTCTGGACGAGTGGAATGTCACCGTCACGAGACCCGCAATACGGCGCACGGTGCGGGACAGGCCGGCTCGATTCATGCACCTCCCATGCGAACGGTGGGAGGTCGACTGGTTCAGAGACTGTCCCAGCCACATCTGACAGATGGCATTGTGCCAGCCTGGCCGTCTCAGGCGCGCCAAACCAACTGTTCGCATCTCATTCGATCCTGCTTACCACATGGTTGATATTCAGTCTCCACACGCTGAACATTCTCATCCCCATTTCCTTATCTTCAAGGAGACGTGGTAGCGATCCCTGGTCGCCAACAGATCTAAACTTACACTTGTACCACCAACTGACGGTATCAGATGAGGAGAATTCAGAAAGAGCGCTTTATTAATTGAGCTCAATCAACACCGGGTCGAGATCGAGGATCCATACCCTTACAGTCTGGTGGCACAGTGGCAAGCTTGGGAAAGCTTGTGGCACCACGAGAGTCGTAAGCGATCCCGTACTGTGTCACCGTGTGGCAGCTGAATTATCTATCATCCCTTCAGCAAGGCTCGGTCATACCATCGTCGCGTGGGTCAATGTGTCTAGCAAATGCACAGGACAAAATAAACGTGCAGTGCAGCGCATCCGGCGCGAGGTGGGAGCGGATCGTGGAGAAGGCCCGCGCCCGTCTGTACATGACTTGGAATCAGCGGGCATGCTGACCACCACCAGGTCGACACGCGAATCTGAATCATCGTCAAACAACAGCTCACCAAATACGGGGTCAAGCTGATCATTCGCAAATAGTGTTCTACTTTTGGCGGCTATCACCACCAATTGCTCCTCGGAGAAGCAATGCCTACGGTATCAGCCATCGCCCTCGAGCACAACGAATGTTCTCGTGAAGTGGCCACGCAGTGGGGTCTGTGCGCCTCTTGTTCAACACATGGGGAGGATCCTAGAATTGGCAACAATGGACTTCAGCTATCGTCGTATTCAGACTCGAATTGGCGGATCTCGACGCTCACCTGGCTATATGTAATCCAAAATCCACCGTGTCGTCACTTCGCCACAGTCCGCAGAACGTTCGATATTGCTCGTGAACAGCTTCGAGCAGCTGTAATCTGCCGACAAGCGTTCCTGCAGCTGTGAGGCAATCCCGCAATACGGCTGCGCTTGGGCGAGAAATGCATTTTGATTGGTTATGTCTCACCTGCACGTACCCGCCTTTGCATATGCGTGTAATGAAGGGTATCCCTGCGCAGTAACCCCCTCCTCGCTTCGTCTATCGAGCATGACCCAGAGCGAACTACTGCAACACGATCTTGCGTGCAATTGCACACGACACGCTTGTGTCTGTGACATTCTTGCTGTGGATCTCACGAATTCTGCCAGATTATTCCCTTCTCGAGATGTCAAGGACTCCAGCCCCCGAACTTTAAAACGATATGGATCGGCATTCACATCTATGACGAACCGATCAGATAGTGCACTCCGCCAATCACAGCTGGCCACGTCGAAAGCTAGCAGAGCCGTTATCGGGGTCTAGACGGAGCAGCAAGCCATCGCCGCTCGTTGCATCCCGAACGAGTGTCGTGGGGTGCCAGATCGTCCCGTGATTGGCGGCATGGCCAAGCATGGCTGAACTCACCGGTCGTGCGTGGAGACTTTCCGCCCCACTACTTGTCATCTCACCTCATGCTCTTGTGTCCGGCTCGCTTGGTGCAGCATTCTCTAGCGCCTTGTGTGTAAACTTCAGATGCTCATCGATGGCCTCAACAGACTTCAGCAGTTGAAATGAGGGGGGCAATTAACGCGATTATCCGTCGAGCCGTCAACGACCATCCTAGAGAAGACAAACTCCTACACCGCTAGTCTATTCTTGCCCATCTAGATATCTATTTCCAAAGAAGGGCATTCGGTAATGTCAGGGTCTAATGGCGAGCTAGGATTGTTGGATGGACGGCTTTACCCCGCCGCAAACACACTGCAACAGCTCCCTTGCTTGAAGGCTGAGGGCATTGACATTTGAACATGTGCCGGCAGTGACAAGACATGATCTTTACACCGTAACGTAAAGGGAGTATTCTGAGACATACATAGCGATATCCGCTGCAATGCAGCGTCCCATAACGGCCAAAAGCAGGTCCCCATCTCGCAGCGAGCAGAGCCGCTTGCTATCACGGCACATTCGCTTCCGCCTCCGCATGCCGTGCACGACATACTTGCGTTTGGCCGTTTTTCTGGGGAGACACTGCAGTCTGCCATCTTGAAACAACTTGACACCTCAGATCATTTCCAACATTCCTTCTTTGTTTGCAAGCATTTCGTCGTTGAAGATCCCAGTTCAGGCAGGTGGTGCTCGCAGAGGATGCTGGGGTTCGCCTTCTGTCGGCTTGCCGTCCATGCGGCCTGAATATCGAAAGACCAGCACCTAGGCCAACGTATGGATCTTCAACGACCCGTCTGCAACTGCGGAAAGCGGCCCTTTGCGGCCTCGCATGACATTAGACGATGGTGGCGGAGATGATTGTTGGCAAAGGCACCCCCTTCCCGAAAGGAAGGTCCTTGAAGTGACGTGAGTCTGTACTGATGCTTTAGGCAAACGATGTCGATTTTGATGCTCACCAGGCTCGTTCTGACCCTTAGTGCATGTGATGAATCTAGCAAGACTCTCAATTGTTGGAGTGGTGATGTTCGTACCACGACCAAGCCGCAATAATCTCACAATTGATCAAATAATTCCATACCGTGGCTCGCCCCCAGTAGTCCCACCAATAGCGTCGCAATAGAACTCACTTCCTTTCGCAGCCCATCAACGACACCACCACCCATCACATCACCACTCTCATTCTCGCAACGCAATCCCGCAACGCAATGCAATACTGTCAAACCATTGGAACCTTACAATTCTTACACCACGATCCCCTCGGCCCACACTCTGTGCTCCGTACCAAACACTCAATCCCGCTTATGCCCACGCTAAGTTCTAACACCCAAGCTGTGACTAACCGCTAGACACGCGTCAACAACCATGGTCCGCACTCACCAACTCCAACCCCACTCTAAACCCAACTCTGACCTCCGACGCCCGCTGGGCAGGCTAGGATCCACTCCATCAGATCATATCGAAGGAACGTGCGAGCTGGGAGCGGAGCGATGACCAACGGGGAGCGAAGTCCAACGCAGACCGTGCAGACCTTGTTGCCAGGTGTGTGAGTAAGTGGAGTGGAGGCTGGGAAGACGGATTGATGGCTGGCATGGAGGGCTGGTAATAGTAGAGCTATGACCGTTGATGTATGAAAATCTCTGCATGGCGGGCCGAGAGAAACCGCGTCCGGGCGTTGCAGATGGCAGCTGCGAACTACATGCGATGCGATGCAAAGCGTTCATTGTGGGTGTGGACTAAGGATGTCATCGTATGTGGGTGTTGAGGTTGGACTCCTTTATGGTGTGACTTCTGTGATCGTATTGTTGCCATTGCAAGCCTCAAAGTCCAGCACAAACAAAGATTCTGAAGCATGCTTTTGTTGCATGTCTTCGTTAAACTTTGTTCTTGGCGTGATAGTACTTGATCGTGAGCGAAATGCAATCAGGATCAATATAGATGTAGCTTGCATTCCCATAACCTCAGAAGCTATTTTGCGTCGCTGATTCATAGTTAAGGCTCATGAAAATACGTGCGAGTGACTGCAATTATTGTACCAGTCGTACGCAGTATCCTGAGCACTAGGTAAAGGTCGACAGTCACACGCGCACGCAACACACGAAACCGATATCTTGTGCAAATTTATAATAGATGTGACGAGCATGACAGGGAAACACAGCTGAGTCGGACATTCTGTTCGACAACCCTGAAGCCAGTTTCATTGTACGTTGTTGAATGCTTACAAGACATTATCTATCGATGTCCAATATTGCAGTGATTGCTCTTTTACCGATACTAAAACTCACACAAGGAGCAAACGTGATCCTCTTTCACTTGAGCCATCAGGATGACATCGGAGGATAGTTGAACATACACTTTGCCAGAATAAATACCATCTTGTGACAGCAAGAAGTATAGTGGACATCCTCGTCATCTCAGACGTAGCCGGCAGGTCACAGGACTCAAATATCGATGCTTATGCTCATGCGCAGCTTTTTAAACCATTCAGATGCTACTGTGAGTAAAGACTCTCTGTCGAGAAGACGCCTAGCTTGCCGAAGGTCGAAGATAAGCTTCTAGAGGATGGGTGTGGCAAACATGGCTTCAAGCGTTCCCTCTCTGCCCTCAGATCCGAAGAATCTCGCAAGTGAATCTACGCAACTGATGATATGAGCAAGAGAAGAGCCCGTGCTCGAGTACCAAAGATCATCGGCGATGACGAGCTGCCCGAGATGGTACGGGAGAACAGAAGACAGATCGTATATGGTGCCGCTCCACATTGTCGCTTCGCCGAAAAACACGGCGAATGAGGCTGACACGTTTTTCAGAGCGGTTAAGGACTTGAGGGAGCCCAACTCGCCAACTGAGACTGTCATGTGATGATTAGGCATACTGTCAGCTGTGTCGGCTCCGATACGGACGACAAGATCTACGAGCGTCAAGCGTACGTGCTCAAGGCCTACGCATAACTCGTCCAGGTCCAGTATAGTGTGCCTACAAACCCTGACGTGTTCATGGACGAACGTCTTGAGCATTGACGTGTGTTGTAGTACTTGTCGGACCAATGACGTTGGGAACTGCGCTCGTTGGAAATGTAATGCAGTGAGTCTTTCCGCCGTATGCAAGGCAAGATGTCTGGGAATTGGATGGTACTTGTCGGATCCCTTGAAGAAGATCGACGGCAAGCCCAGGGTCGTGAGGTCGGGCAGGGGGAAGCACGAGAGCAGCAATTCCGTCAAGCACCGTAGAGTGATGATTGCATCCTGGCCACCACTAGATTCCTCAACGAATGGAAGGGGCCATGTGGCGTTGCCAGATTGGTGTTCAGTCGTCCTTCCACCAGGCCTTGGAACCAGTGCTTCTCCATCAAGATGGCGGGGATCGACAGTTTTATGGCTCGTGTGCATTAGGTGAGCTTGAGTGTCGTGATACTTATGACGTCGCCTCGGAGCACAGTCATCCTAGAGAAGCTTTCCCTCTGCGTGTGTACCATGGCTCTTTTGAGTATGTCTTGATCCGCATTGATAACCTTAATATTGCCCAACTAGAATCCCTTCAGTGTACCGGGTGGGCTGGCAAAGATTCTGATGTTCCTGACCAACCTAGCTGTTCGGGGTCTATACACGAGATCGCGAGGTAGACAAAGGACTTTGGGATGGCCGGTCATGGTCTCCTCCCTCCAAACCAGCGTGATGATGTTATACAGCGCCGCCAGAGCACTGTCGTACAAACTGTGGCATGTCTTTGTGAGACTGTTGATGTTGCCGGTCGCAAGATGAGTAGTTGTGAGGTCGATCAGTTCGTTCGGAAGTGAGAGGATGGAAGCCATTGCTGCCAGAATGCACCAGATGTTACATAGAGGAGAAGAAGGTAAGGGAAAGAAAGATGAGATTGTAGAGTTTTTGTGCAGGTTTCACGGAGAAGAGCAATAGATCAAAATATCGAAAAGCCGATGCTCCAAGATGGCCATTGCGAACACTGTTTGGATTTGGGTAGAGAGCAAACAGCGTACGGCCTGAGCGAGCCATTATGTTATATAGTAATCTCGCCGTACATGGAATGCGACTGACTTCGCGAAGCGTTGCGAGATGGAGAACGTTGAAGAAGAGTACCCTGAAAGTCGCCACAATCTTATTGGCGGTGAGCCCCGCACTAATTCTAGCCGCAAGTGCGCCGCATCCGAACTTCCTCACTTCAATCTTCACACGACCACCCCTGCAATCTGTACAACACTCATCCACACCCCTGCCACAAGCAAGCAAACGGTGCAAAATGCCAGCTCCTAGCGACATCCTTTCCGACCAAGACATCAGCAAGGCCTACGAGGATGTCAGAAGCGACAAATCTGAGACCACGTGGCTTGTTCTAAAATATGAATCCGCGACAAAGGACAACCTGAAGCTGGCTGGTAGCGGCACAGGCGATATTTCCGAAATGGTTGAGACTTTGGGCGATGATGAGGCGGCGTACGGATACGTGCGCATGAAGTTAGGCAACGATGAGTACTCCGAACGAGTCAAATTTGCGTTTGTTGTCTGGGCGGGTAAGTAGCCTGTGGCGTTTATCTTATTAACTTCGGGGATCATTTTGTGGATTGCAAACGGGTCTCGCTTGCGGGAGGGCAATACGTATTTTCGATTGGAATATGCACAGAAGCTGATCGGAACGTGCAGGTCCCAACACCAAGATCATGCGAAAAGCCAAGATGAGCTTCCAAAGTGGGCAGGTCAAGCAAGTCATCCGAACATACGCAGTAGAGATTCAGACAAGTGACAAGAGGGAGCTGGAGGCAAACACAGTCACTATGAAGCTGCGAAAAGCTATGGGCGCTAACTGTGAGATGACCGTTTGCATGTTGTGATTGGATGCTGACTCAATATAGACGATCGACAAGGCTCAAACTACTGATTATTCCCCTGCAATATCCTCTATTTACTACTAGTGTATTGCTAGACCTAGATCGAAGACAAGCAATGGCCAGGTCATTTTGGGCAAAGGCCTAAACATCAATTCGTCGGGCGAAAGCAAAAATTACAAGCATATCAAAAACCCTGTCGGGAGTACTGGTCCACGTCAGAGGCTCCGATAGCGTTTATGCTCCACTGGAAAAAGAAATAAAGACCATAATCAATACCCCACCCGAAATCATCACATTCTGGTCCGCCTTAGATCGCTCAGCCCTTTCAACCGAGCGCCCAACTTTACCTTGTCATCTCTTTCTGTCGATCTCTACATTGACGAGGGAAGGATTTTCTTCCCTCACACAAACGTGCGTCCATATAACGTACCTTGCTCTCTCATAAAGTGCTGGATCCTTGCGAGGCAGAGCGGCTACTCGGTGCTCCACCCATCTCAACGGAGCTCGACAGCTCAATATCCTTCTCGATAGCTTGAAGTTGCTTCAAATGATTCCTGTGCTTCTCGGCCAGCTTCCGCATCATCCTCAAGCTCATCTCCTGAGCGACCATGAAGACGACACGCAGAATCAGTGTCGCAACTTGAACACTGAACGACCATTCAAGGAAATTTAACTTATAGAAAGATATAGTGACGATGGTCTCGCTGATCGTACCGAGGATAGTGAGAATCATAGCGGCATAGCAAAACCACATGTTCATGCGATGCTTTCCGGCCAGGTAGTTCGAGCGACAAAACCGGCTAGGATGTCGAAGATACCTACTTCGAGCATTAGCATGAGATCTTGATTGGCGACGAAGAGGAAACCGATCGTATGTCATGATCAGCACCGTATAAGCCGTAGTGTTGGCCTCGACCTCCCAGCGTACGTTCCTGGTAACCATGACAAGTGCAACAATCACCGCTCGAAGGTGATGAAAGACACTGACGGGATGTATATCCGAGCTGATATACAACAGCTCATTCAAGTACATGCCGATGAAGATGGACGTCGCAATCATCGTGATGTCGTCCATAGTAGCTTTGGCTCCGACGAAGAAGAGGTACTGAGGCCAGCAAGCCCAGTAACGATGGCCAAGTAAGGGTACAGTGCGAGCGCGATCATAAGAACGTCCGCGGATATCAAGACATGGTGGTGGGCGAAGCGGCGTTTGTGACTGCTGTCGAGTCTCTCGAACGTGGCTCGATAAATCACCTTGGAGAGGAGATAGTCTGAGAGGAGGCGTGCGACGATGAAAAACACAATGAGTGTCTGGTTAGATTAACTTTGAATAATACCTGAAAATATTGGCAAACTGCGATCGTCGTAAGCAGAATTTCGCGGTGAGCAAAGCTGGAGACCAACCGATCGAGCAGCCTTTGGATGCTGTGAGCATCGTACGGCAGAGTGGACTTGTCTGCTACCTCGATATCGTGGAGAAACATTTCTGAATTCTTTGTGAGGATAGATGTCGCTGGAACTGTGCTGTGGTGGTTGGAAAGTTCGAATACCAGCGAAGAGGAAATTTAGATTCACCCAGAAATATCTGAGTGCAACTTACAAAACTTTCATTTGGTTGCGAGTCCTTGTGGCCATCGACGAAGGTAAATGGTGGTCGTGGTACCGACTTAAGGGTCTGAACCAAATCTATACACTCGCTTTACACTACCTTCATACAATACTGAATCCTAGAATTTGCTCTAGCCTAGTAACACTATCTCTGATGGGTCAACTACTTGGGAAGCATTCTGCTTATTCGGCAGATCGTCTCTCAAGTGGCAGAACAAGCGCGCAACAAGCATAAAGGTATGGCGGGTACTCAGTGTCAACATGCAGGACATATTTAATTTGACAAAGTGTCTGAAGACTCATATAATTTCTGTATAACTTGTGCGAAAAGGGCCCGCTGAAAAGGCAAAACGTTCCTCTTGATAGCGCCATCCTTTCTCATGCCTGTTCAATACAAACCTGGCATAAAAGGAACGAGCACTCACTGCTTTATATTGCTCGCAAGGGCTATTTTGCACACCGGCCCTTGCCAGAGAATGCACAAAATGGTTGGCGCGGAAATCTCCACATCAGGCCAGTAGGCAAGTAGTTTCCAATGGAAGCCTAATGAAACTGGAAAAGTATTGTGATATTGTGCCGGTAGTCTCATACCTATGGTATTTGTTCGCTAGCGATCCGTTGCAGTGTTTGCCAACGGCCCGCTGCACTGATATTCCAGCTCATTCGGTTAGTTCGGTTTGCTTCCCCAATCCTTCACTGCTATCCCCTTCTACTATATAGTCTCGATCGGTTCCAGCCAATAGCTCAAAAAAAGATCAAGCAACACAATCATCTCAACCCTTCCACAGTATTCAACAACGATGCTCAAGCTCGGATAGCTCTACATCAAATCCTCTCATCATCCGCACCAAAAGTCTAAGACCGACACAGGGGGCTTTCAGCCAAGGCAGTCAAGATACTTTCGCGAATGGATGTATATGGACGTACACGGAGGGTACGTTAAGATGCATAGGAATTTGGCCAATGCGTGTGATTGGCATGAGATCTACCACCGGTCTGATAAAGACCACAGAAACCACTATGAAGAGCATGTCGACACTGGAGCTTGACTGGCTTGTGACGGTAAAATTGAGTCGCCAAGCTCACCTCCATATCTGTCGGTAAAGGCCACATGTTCTGGTAACTGCCTTGTCTTTTGAATGATCGAAGAGGGCATGTAATCGCCAGTCTGGTTCAATTTCCGCCGCAGCAAAATGCGAGTTTGAAGAAAGACTGCCAGCCCCCGCGTGAGCGCCCAAATCCTTCATCACAATGCTACTCTTGTTTGTCGAGACTCCCGGTTGATTTGCATAACATTGAACCTGCACACCTGACATCTTATAGATTGTACTTTTGTCTTCTGTTTCGCTTCCTCTACCACAACTGCTTTTTGACGCACCCAAAATCATCTACTTCATCTGGTATGGCAACAAAAACCGTCAGGACGGCGCCCCATGTCTGTTCTGCCCTTTTGCCCCTTCGTTCGCCAAAAGTACAACGAAATGTCCTCATGTCGCTTCTTCTGTCCGCATCGAAAGGTAGGTCCTGAGCTGTTATGCTGTAACAACGTTGCGAAAGTCAGTCAGTCGCTCTTACACAAGGTGCCTACGACGCTGCTGTCTGCATCATCCTCCTGAGTATGCAAGACCCCAAAATTTCTCCGGATACCTCTACATGGACTAAAAGATGCAACTCATGGTACCATGTCTCTCTTCGCTTCGTTGCGTCGAAAATTTCACCGAGGATCTCCGATGCTTTTTTCTCTCCTCTCCGATCCCAAAAGTCGATGGCCATTATCCTATGATCAAGAACATGAGACTTTGCCTGTTTTCATAGAATCTTTGACTCTCCTGTCGGATGTGAGCGCGTGCGCATAGCCCAAACCGGTACAAGTATGTTGGGCGTTCACGAGCAGGAGTTAATCAGCAAGGAAGAGTAGTATAAAGTATCAACACTTGCTGTTTCATTCTTTCTCCGTCATGTCCACATTCAGATAACGAAAGCCAGAATGGCGGTTTGGCATGTCAACAAGCAACTCCAAGTGTGTCATTTCTGCGTGTCGCTGTCCTCTAAAATTCTGCTCAAGCTCCGTGATGCCTGGTTGTTCTTTCTGTTCTCTACAATAAGATTCCGTCGGCTATGTTCATGAGTTCATCGAAAGCTGAGTCCGATTTGATCGAACGAGCGCGGTTATAAATATTCACTGTCTAGTATGACTCTTCTTCTCCCATCTTCCTACTTTACCAAGTCTTAAAACCATTACGCAATGGATGCATGACGAGAACATTTATTTGAGCAGAGCTGGTCATGCCTCTGCCGGACTTCCCGCCCTCCTAAGTTGTCTTCATCAGTCCGCATGTATTTGCCCTGTGCCTCCACCAGAAAGTGGTAGGGCATCGTCAAATGTTCGTCCTTTCGAAATACAAAGTGCCCACATGTGCGCCGGATGTGCTCTGGCCTTTCTGTGCGAACTCAAAGCAGAGCACTGTACATAGCATGATATTGCTCCTTCAAAACCGCTGATATCGCACATGTGAATCCCGCCAATCATCATCGTCAAGTCTTCACTTTTGCATTCATCCCAATGACTTGAACAGTGAAATGGTTTGAGATTTGCACTTGTCTAAAAGCCGGAAACAAAGCAAATCATGTTTCTGCCGCTCTTCGGCTACTTCGCAAAGCGTGCGAGATGAACTCCATGTTCTGCCTTCCCCTGTGCCGTTGAGAAACGATAAGCACCGACATGCATGTCCTCGAAAGCTGACCAGAACTGGCACCACGCAGTGGTGTGGTATTGTTTCTTCTAAGAACCAGATCACAATAAGATTTGTCCTCGCTTCTTCCGTCTTCCTAAATACTCCGGGCATCCTCGTAATAAAGTCCAGTGTCTGTCAAAGCTTAAGAGAAAGTCTTTCAACTTTTCATATGTATGCTTGGATGCTCTGTTCGTCTGGATCGACGTGCATTTTCTCTTCATGGTCGGGTCTGTGCTTGCTTCCAAACGCCAAAAGAACAAGCCAAGCGCAAGGATGACGTTCTCGGGAGTAGAACGTATGGTACAACACGAGGCTATGAGAAGGTATAAAGCACCTCTTTCTCCCTTCGACCTCTGCTTCTTCCAGCGCACGTCACTCTCTGACAACCTCAAAAGACTTGATTGAACATCTCATGGAACCAAAAGCGCGAAGACGGGGTGTCATGTGTCTGTCCGAGCTCTCTGTTGCCCTGAAAACAGCTCACTGTCATCCAATGTTCCGGCTTGTCTGTTCTTCTATAAAGCTTGTCATTGACGCTCTATGTGTTCGAAAAGCGATTCTTGGCAGCTACATGACCGCTGCGTGCAATCACTGAAAGTCGCCACCCCAGCGTATATGATCTGGAGCGCGTCTCCGCTGTGAAATAGCCCAGGAAGAGGGAAGACTAGTGCCAAAGTCTGCTGAAACGTGCTGAGCGCAGTGTCATGTTTTTGTCAAATCGTGCATTCATATCATTCGTCATGGCCGTGGCTGCCGCTACAAGGCTGGCCTCTTTGGCGTGTACAAACCGAACATCAAGCCCAAAGAAACACATCGCCACCGTGGCCTACAAGTTCCTACAAGTTACTCCCGCCGCCCTTCTTCTCGCCTCCCAGAAATGGAAAAATGTGCCCCAACCCACCCCCTTCATCTTTCTTCACCGGCGCCAACGTTCTCGAATCTGCATCATTCGTCGGCCGCAGCTCCTCTGTCTCCTCTTTACGCACTTCTCCAGGAATCTTGCGGCCCATGTGGTTATCCAACCACTTCTGCTGGTGCTCACCAAGCTTGAGAGTCTTGTCAATGTCCTTAGTGAGCTTATCAACTTCATCCTGCAACTGTTCGTCCCTGCTCTTCTTGACCTCCTCTTTCGTCTCAGGGATGAACTGTCCTTCCTTCTTCGTGCCTGCCCATAGCGACTCGAGTTCGTCGCTCCACCCCAGTGCACTGGCTAGTTCCTTGATGCCGGCATCGCAGTCTTTCAGTATGAGCACGTCATCGGGCCGCGAGCCCAGGTTGCCGACTTGCTCCATGTTGATCAGTAAGCGCGGGACGGACTCGTTGACGAAGCCTGGTAGCGAAGCGAATGGGTGCACGGAGAGGGAGGTGCCGAGGACGATGCACAAGTCTGCTTCGTCGAGGAGGTGCCTGTTGTCGAAGAACTCGGAGGGTAGTTGTTCGCCGAAGAAGACGATCTTGGGTTTTACGAGGCCGTTGCAGCTCGAATCGACGCAGCGTGGGACTGTCTTGTTCTCGATGTGTGCGAGCATCTGGTCTTTCGGGTAAGACTTCTTGCAGTCTATGCACGCTTGACTCGAGTAGGGTCAGTGGTGTTGTGCGGTGTAGGGGGGGGGGAGGGGGGCGTGAGGGACGTACTCAGCGAAGCTGCCATGCGCCTCGATGATCTTGTCGCCAGGGACGCCAGCTTCGCGCTCCAAGCAATCGATGTTCTGGGAGAACACCTTCAATAGCAGCCCCTTCTGATGCAGCAGGTTGATAAAGGAGTGTGTGATGGTCGGTCGGTATTTCCCGGGATACAGTTCCTGGGCCAGCGTGTAAAAAGGCAATGGGTTCTCGCGGAAGAAGGAGAGTTCGAAGACGGCTTCAGGGTGTGGGAGATTGAGGCGCTCGAGGTTCGCATAGAGGCCGGTCTCTGGTGAACGAAAGTCGGGTATCCCAGCAGACGTTGAGATGCCGGCGCCAGTCTGTGGGGATGTTAGCAAGCTACGACTTCTCCGTGTGGATTTAGTCCTTACAAGAACAACGATCTTTTTCGCCTTGCCCGCTTCAATGTACTTTGCCAGCGCTTCCGTTGTGCGGGCGCTCAGTGCGAACGGCCGTGTGGATGGGTCCACCACCGTCGATTCTTCATTCCCCATTTTGCGTACTCTGCCCGCCTGGCCTCTATTCCTGTTCTTCGGGCGATTCTTCTCTGCTTTGTCTTTGCGCCGCGGCTTACCCTCGTGAGTTGCGCGGTACTCTTGACGCTTGCGACCTATGGTGAAGTTGTTGACAGGTGAGGGGAGTTATATGAGTACAGCTAAGAGATTGGGCTACTTGGACGAGTTTGCTACTGCTAGGTGTGGAACGTTGAACCGTCGACGCGCCTGGCTCACAAGAGCTCGAAATGATCCCGAGCCATTAATGGAGCTGATAGCGGGGCTGCGTCATTGTTGCGGCTGACCAATGGGAGCCACTGGAAATGGCAGTCTGGCTTTCGACATTTGGCTGTGGCATTCACCAGATAAAACCAAGTTAGTGAGGGTGACTTCATGTGTGGAAGCAATATCGCTATGTGAGTACAAAGGCGCGCGGAGTCTCTGGGCAGAAACTTGTGGTCATCAGGGTACTGGAGGTAGCTGCAGTGAAATGTCCATGGAATGTCCAGGCCGCGCACGTAAAATGTGACCACCATGTGCACTGTTATGTGCACTGTTTCTCGCCCCACGCATCATGGCCTGCAGCTTCGACCTGTGCAGACGGCCTGTCAGGAGTCCGCGAAGGCGGTAATGCAGTTCTTGCCTGTCCTTGGGCGGGCCGCGCGTTTGGCATCACTGTGCACGTAGACGAGCTTGGCGAACTTGGAGATGCAGCTTCGCGTGTCAGTGTGAGGGAGAGGCTTCGCAGCTGCACATGCGCGGTGCCGCGAAAGCGCACAGTGTCGCTGCTGCTGTGAAGCTCAAGCTCAAGCTCGCGTCCTGTCGCGCGTCGTTCGCCAAGCCCCGGCTAGCTCCCTTTGCTCAAGCCTTTCGCCGCGCGCTGACAACCGTCTCCTAGCCATCACCTCCAGCCGGAGCAGCCCACGACCTGTGTCAACCAGCGCGTCTGTATCACTACAGCCACAGTCCCGTCTTGATACCTGCACCATCATGTCTCGCGGAGGCGGTACTACTCTCTACGTCACCGGCTTCGGCCACGGCACCCGCGCTCGCGACCTCGCCTACGAGTTCGAACGGTACGTCCCATAACGCCATCCTCCCCCACACGAACGCCGTCGATATCGTCGTCGCATCCTCCCTTCGACCTTGTCCGCGTCTGTGTTGGTTGTCGTTCCTGGCTGCGCTTTCCTGTTGCGCGCGCCGCCAGCCTCGCTCCTTCCCTCCAGCGCTCGTGCGCCTGCCGGCAGCGACAACCTCCCTCCGTCGCCCTTTCCGCACCGCACTAGAGGCCAGCCATCTCTAACACACTTCAAGGTACGGTCGCCTTGTCCGCTGCGACATTCCGGCCCCGCGCTCGGCCTCCTCTCGGCTGTGAGTGTCTCCTTGCCTGCGCCCACCCGATAGGCGCTAACAGTCCAGCAGCTTCGCTTTCGTCGAGTACGAGAGCCGTCGCGATGCCGACGACGCCTACCACGAGATGCACAACAAGCGCATCGGCCGCGATGACTTGTTGAAGATTGAGGTGCGTTTGCCTGTTTGACTACTCAGAGCCTTGGCTGATGACGATGCGCAGTGGGCCCGCACACCTCCCTCGGCATCATGGCGCTTCGATTCCGGCCGTGACCGCCCCCGTGGTGAGCGCGGCAGCGACCGTGGCGACCGCAGCTCCCGCGGCGACGACCGTGGTGTCCCATCTCGTGGCGACCGTTCTCCTCGCCGCCGCAGCGTCTCCCCTCGCCGTGACCGTGCTGGCTCTCCCCGCAAGGACCGTGAGCGCGATTACGACCGCCGTGACCGTGACAGGTCTAGGAGCCCCGTCGATGGTGACCGCGAGATGAAGGATGTCCGCGACCGTGAGGATGACCGTGGCGAGCGTGGCGACCGCGAGCGTGGTGACCGTGAGCGTGACGAGAGGCGCGAAGGCGAGACTCGTGCCGCCGGCGAAGAGCGCAAGGGTATGACTTCCGATCTGGCTTACAACGACTTTATCTGACTAGCATCGCAGCCGACTCCCCTCCGCCCCCTGCCGCACACGAAGATCTCGACGTGGCCGAGTAGAGCTAGCAACTGTCGTGCTTCGCGCAGGCAGTGCTTGGGCTGCCCGTCTGTCAGTTCATTTGTATTGGCGTGTCTTTCACTTTCGAGTTGCTACATGCGTGGGTTCCCAAGTAGCGGGAAAACGGTCAAGGGCCCTGTCTTTATCGGTGATGGTCGAGTTTACTCGCGGCCATGCACTACATTAATCAATGCGCAGTCGAAAAGTCGGATCGGAGTCTTTCTTTGGCGAGTCGGTACCTGCGATATCCTATTCGACGCGGTTCGGTCTTGGGCCCTGTCCACCTTCATCGGTCGATCGGTCGATATCGAAGCGGTCGAACTCGGTACCTCGGTTTTCTGTACAGTACACGGTCGATCTCGGTAGCACGAACTGTTCAATTCCCAACACCTCTCGATGCACCCCGACCCTCGTCCTCATCTCGCCCCCGTCCCCGTCTTCGATCCTTGACCAGCATTCTCACCACTCCCGATGCGAAAATATATTTCAAGGTTTGTATATTCCAACATGTCATATATAGCTTCATCGACTCTCGTGATTGTGACATCTACCATGTGCAAGCCTCAATCTAGATATGTTGGGTGCGAACAAAATCAATGCATGATCTGCTACTTCTATCCATGTGTAACGTGCACGATGCCGATTAGACCTGTATAAACACCCATATCTCCAGACTAGCCTAAGCCGTTCTCACAGTGAATAAGGTAGCATCAGCAGGTTCGTGTGCTATGTAAAGCACTGGGTTGCCTCAATGCACCATGACGCAGCATCGCGCTCAGTGATCTACAATAAATCGCACATGTTGAGATTGAGGTCCCCTGGGCATTTTGGAAATCTCTCATACCGCAACAGGTCAGCCTCGGCCTCGACCTACAAGCAAGGCTACCACGGCGCAATCACCGCAACCACATCATCCGCACCGCCGAGAAAGACGGTGCCTTTCTTACCTCAAGCCGGGGATCCCGAGTCCTCGAGGTCGGCTGCGGGGCCGGAAGCATTACCATCAGCGTACCCCAGGGTTCAGTCACCGGCGTTGATCTTTCTGAAACTGTGCTCGGGCAGGCGCGCGAGCACCTTGCATCACAGGAAGAGAAGGAGCTTGTTGGCGGCGAGGTGGATTTTCGTGTTGGCAATGTAGTTGAGGGCCTAGAATTCAAGGACGGAGAGTTCCCTGTCGTGTTGTGTCACCAGACGCTCGTACACATCCCCGAGCCCGTCAAGGCGATGAGGGGAATGCGAAGAGTGTGCAAGAAAGGAGGGATCGTCGCGTGTCGAGAGGGTGCTTGGGCCGTTTCCGTTTTACGCTGAGCTCCCGGGTCTTGTGGCGTTTCATGGGTTCCTCTCGGTTTTGGTCCACGGCCCCGTCCCGCCATCACCATCAACGAAGGAGGAGAAGGAGAGTGCAGGCGTGGTGAGTTGGAATCTAGCCCACCCAGATGTCCACCCTCATCCACGAGTCACCGCTTGGGGAGCAGAGTCCAGGCTTGGGCGCGAGAGGCGGGTTTTGATCCACTGAGTATTAGGAAGCGTGCGAGTGTGGAGGTTAACGCGAGGCCTGAGCAGCGCGAAAGGTATGGGAATATTGTGCTTGGGAATATTGTGCTTGGGAGGACTGAAGAGGGGGGCATAGAGAAGCATTTCTGAGACTTGGTGCGAGTGCGGAGGAGACGGATAAGATGGCGAGGGATCGGAGAGCGTGGGTGGTTGTGTTTGCGAGGTCTGAAGGGAGGCTGGATGCTAAGTTCTGATGACTGAACAAGTTTCGGGACGAGTTCTTATCGACACAAAAGTGAGGACATTCACACGATGTTATGTGAAAGAGTGCTGGACTCATGAGATACCCACTGGATGTTTTCTAGGCCTATTTGTGGTGCTCGGCGGCTGTAGTCAGCTGTTCTTAAGGAACGCAATGTTGGATGCTGTCGCCCTAAGCGGTTGTGTCATCTCTCTCGCGTCTGTTCTGAAGGAAGTGTACGATCGAGGTCCGCAGTAGAAAAAAACGGTATCTGATGTCCCATAGCACTGGATCCCAGGAGGGCAACTGGAGGCCCCATACAGAGACCGGCCCTTTTACGGTCAGACATTCCATGAACGAGGAAAGGTAATCGACGTCCTTTGCTCTCCTTACGTATTCGTTTCGAACTGAAACCACTTGATAGATGTGAGGTCTCGGCATGTGACCATGGGTCGACAGCAGAAGTGACCGGAGCAGAACTTGGGAGAGGACCACGATAGTAATGAATCTCACTCGATTCAAGAACAAACAGGACCACTAGATCAGTCAGCAGTCACTCGAACCGTTGATAAGGCGAGCAAACACTATACCAGTAGCTTGACGCGCACAGTCTGTCTGCTGAGCGTATCGATATCACAAGACCGCACATTCATGTCCATCATTTCCTAGATGTGCGCCGAGAGTACCCGATTTAAGACCTCCCAGATAATGAGAGATCATCAAAATCTGCTGCTGACCATCTCCCTCTGCTTACGTAGCAATTTGGCTTCGAAATGTCTGGGGCAAGAAGGTTCCTTTGTAAGCATTGGCACCAGTCCCAGAAACCTTGAAGTCTGCGTCTTCCACATGCTCCTCGTCATCTGAACTCTACTCTTTATGCTCGTAGCGATGCCACCTGCTATGAAACTTTGCTAGCCGGAAATTCTCCGCTAGCTCTTCGAAACAAAGATGTCTGGGATCCGCCGTACGCAGCTCTCTCTCTCTTTATGGAGAAGGAAATCCTAGTATGACACGGATAATAATGAGCTTCGACGCGCTGTCAGAGCTACATGGGCAAACGACATGTTGGAAGCGAATGCGGTGATTTTTGACGATATGGTGGACGAGCATTGTGAGGTCAAGTCCTTGGAATATCGAAGTCGTATCTTCTATTTGAAGCTTTGTCTTTCCAAGCCTTGCGCGCGTACGATGTTGCATTCTATTATTATCGGCGCAGTTTCGTCTTCTCTTGTAAGCTGATGCGCTGGAGTGGGTACGGCTGCAGGATACGTCCGCGGAACGACAAATCCTATAACGAATTACCCCAAAGCCGACTTCGCCGATACCGTTTATTTCGCAGTCGGAAGTGCTCATTTATTCACATTCTGGCTGAGATGCCGGTCCTGACAATTCCTGTCAGCTGATAGTGCAGGCTGTTCAAGACAAGATCGTATCTACGCTCATATTACATGGTGAGCATACCATGTCACATGCCTGTAACTGCCTCTTCGAAGGCAGTTGTACCTTCGTAGACGGTAGACGTGAGCGAAGCGCTTGCGTTCGACTTCAAGAAGTATAGAGATGGGTTATGGCTGCGATGATCGTTGCTGGTACCTTGCAACGAAGAATCGCACAGTTGTCTAATGATCCGGAGTCAGGACTGTTAGTGACTACAACTCAACGTAGGAGGCATTCAACAAGTGGGATTATACGTCGGCTTTTCGTTAAATGGCATGTGATTGAGCTACTTCCCTTGAGGGTTTCTCAATCCATCATATGTATTCGGCTAATCTCGAGCCTGCTGTTGCCACGTCGATAGAATTCGTGGTTCCGAATTGAACTCAGTCGTCCTCGGCGGGCATCACTCGTGGGACCTAGTCTGATATTACGCAGCTACCGCTTCAAAAGACGTCATGCCTTACATAGCAGCGTTGCAAGCCTGCAAGCCGCCAATAACAGAAAGCGTCATCAGTGGTGAGATGGCATAGATGATCTAAAACAGGTCAGTCTACAGTCCTATACTGAACAACAGATAATACTCACAGCCAAGAACTTTGCAATAATCATCTTGTCCTTGTGCTCCGCATCAGCGACATCGGCAAGCACCATGACCTTCATCGCGCTGGGTCCCGCGGGCATCAACATCATGGTGAACCACAACATAGGGTTCTCGGGTAGCCAGGAGGTCTTCGCAACGAGGACGTATACTAGAGCCACGCTAATACTGGTTGCTGTTAGCTAACTCCCATACATAAATCGAGAATGAGGACTCACGCAGGCCAAATGAAGTACCTCACAACGGCGACGATTGCGACGGGCATCCAGTTCAACTCTCCAGTGTCTTCTCCACGTTTCTCCTTGCGCAGCGCTTGCGCGAGCTTGACACCAACTACTACAACTTGCAGCGTAACAAACAGTTGGCCGACATTCTTGATACTCTGAGTGAGCCAAGCGTTGAAGTAGCCGCCATCGTTACTGTCGGCGAAGAAGAGCGTGTGCAGAGGAGGAGCAAGACCAATGGTCCCACCAATAATAGCACCAATCAAAGGAGGCGTCATAAAGTTGTAGACAGAGGTGATGGCGATCTGAAGGAACGAAGGAAGCTTCTTCATGGAGCAGTTAACGACGCTGTGAGTATATTTGTTGGCTTTGTGCACGCGATGATGGACTGCATGGGGCAGAAGAGAGGTCTCCGGGGCGGAGTCGGACGATTCGTCGTCTTCGTCCTCGTCTCCGTCCTCCTGCGCCTCAGGATCATCACGGTAGCGCTGTCGTGGTGCACCATCGAGTTGTGCGCCGTTACCGTTGCCGTTCTGCTTCCTGTTGTCTTCAGGGGCATCCTCGTCGTCGCCCTTCAGCTCACTACCGCCAATGCCGAAAGTCAGAGCGTGCGACACAACAGCCGAGACCAGAAAATAGGTGCGTGCACGTGACACTGCTTCGGAGGTCTCTTCCCCAGATGATACCAGAGGGCTGAGGATGCCGGTTGTCTCCAAGGATTGAATAAGGAGAAGTGGAAGAGAGGTAGTGTTGTTGAATGCAATTGCAGGAATAGTCCAGCGTGGAAGTTTGAAGACCTTGCAGAGCACGCGACCAAGGATGATCGAGAGGACGTTATAGATGATAGCCCAAACTAATTTCACAGTAAGTAACATACTTCGTACGTACCATCACGATCAAGGATGCTTACTGATGATGGGTACGTATTCGTACGCTGTCTCAGGCTTCAGCTGGTTGCCAAGGTTGTTGATAAGCAAGCACGGCAGCAAGACCTTCACAGACGTCTTCGAGATTTTGCTTGCTGCATCTGCGTCAAGGAGGCCAAACTGAGAGAATGCTACACCGAAGCTGATGGTAAGGATGACCGAGATCGTGGCCTGAATGCCTCCTACGAGAGGCTGGACGATGCCGCTCATGGTGAACGGCTGTTGCGTTGGAAGCTGGAGGAAGGTCGAGAGGATATTACGACAGGTTTACGAAGGGTCAGCTGTGTATATCATCTCCCGTCAATCTCGAACCTAAAAGCTAAAACAATCTCCGTGCCAATGTTAGTATTCAGGTACTGTCCAAGCCAAGGGCCACAATCTGGCCGCCAATCTTTTTGGCGTTTAGGTGGACCTTTCCTGTGACGTCAACCACGGCAAGTACCAAGGGCCCGTCATGGTCTCGCACAAACGTTGTCCGCGGCTTGCAAACTTTCATTCCGAATCGAATCGAAGAAAAAATGTCAAAGATACGTCGTTAGGGATCGCATGCTGCTATACTGAAGTTAGGATGGCGCATCCGGTCGCTAGGTTGATGTACAGGTACCCGGAGAGCCGCCTGATCCGCACTGCCGTGAACATGGGATTTTCGAACTGCGATTTAGGAGGCATTGGCGCCGAGCTTCAATACGAACGTCCCGCAACGACGTCAACGCGATCTTCGATGGCTCCGAAGCGCACGCGTCAAGCCGTTGCGACCGTTGATATTGAGGTCTACCTTCCCGCGGACTTTGTTTTGAGCCTCAGGATCAGTGGGCGCGCCAGAAAGACGAGACGAAAGCAACATCACTTACGCGGCAACTGCAAGAAGAGAGATAACGTACGGCATGCCCATGAAGGACTCATCCTGTTGCAAAGGAGGCTGCACACAGCCATGCAGTCTTCAACTTTGATTACAGGCATATGTTCTGCTGGACTGTTACGTGATAGGGCCGCGATTTCCTCCCAGGTCTTTTGTTCCACGCGATAGCCAGCACCATGCTTAAGATGACGGCTTCCTCGATCTTCGAGGGAGCTGCGAGCGCCTCAGAAGTTCTGCGCAACTCTCGCCTTCCTCTCGCTCGCGCTCAAATGCACCGGCTCCCTTACTGGACTCACTGGAGAGCCAGCATCCAACTCGACATATCCTACCGGCGCACCGGCCCCAACTTCGGAGTACTGTCGTGCCAGCGTTTGCGCATCAAGCTCTGCCTTCTCACATGCCACCTTGACATATCCGGGCTCATAGATGGGTGGAGACATCGATCGCGGCTCTTTAGACTGGCTGCGTTTGTGACGGCGCAAGAGGAAGAGTGCGGCACCGACGACAAGAGCGAGGAGGATCGCGCCGCCGACGGCTATGCCAGCAATTGCCTGCACAACTCCGACAAAGACTGACCGACGTCTCACTGGTAGCAGGCCTAGTGACGAAAGAGGTCGATGTCTGGGTTACGGTGCTTGCAGCCTGTTGATCGAGTGTTAGTATTCGCGGATGCTATCCGGTATGCCTGAGTCACTGACTGATTTCATGAAGTCCGGCACAAGCCAGAGATACCGAAGTACAATGCTTGAGTGTTGTTGATCCTTTCGTACCAACCGTACTTGTATTGGAAGATCTTCACGAACACTTCAAGCGCATCAACTCCCACGCGCTGCTTCAGTGGCTTAGTACTTGCTTTCGCGATCGACTTCGGATGGACACTTCTGCTCCAGACACGCCCCAAAGAAGCGGAAGAACGACGCGACCCCGCCACCGAGCTCGTAAAATCCACCCAAGTTGTTGGCACATACGCCATCGAGGTGCGCAGTATCGCCTAGCAAGCACCCATCCTGATTACTGGTTAGTACATACAACAAATATATAGCTCTGCCATACCGTGCATGCAGGAATGGTCTCGGTTTTTGGCGAAGCTTTGTAGCAGAAACGCGCTGCCGTCGCGAGACCAGCGACCAAGAAGACTGCGAACAGCATGACGGGTGTGGTCACATCGAAAGGCGTCCAAACGAAAAGTCTTTTGACCGCAAGAATCATTGTGTTTGCACCCCGTCCGTGCGGAGCACGAAACCCTCTCACTTGACAAACGGCGATTGAGATAACGGACGTAAGTGAAGGTACCCCAAAATCCCAGAGCCTGAACATGAGGCGACCGAGGCGAATCGATGTCACATGGATACTGTACACATGGCATTACGCCCGTCGCCAAGCCATGCACCTCTTCTAGATCCAGCGAAGCTCTCCACCAGGTCGTGTTTGAAAGAAAAAAAATCCCCCAAACTTTCGCCCCGTGCTTGCCTTTCAAGATCGGCCAGCAAGCCCCCCGACAGGACTCACAGGACTTCCTCCATCCAGTTCAGCGTAGACCACAGGCGCACCCATAGATGCGCCCGCGCCAACCTCCGAGTACTGATATCTCACCGCCTGCCCGTCAAGCTCCGGTTTCTCATACCCCTCCTTGCTATCGGCAGCCTCATAGCTCGGCGGCGACATTGATCTTGAGGGCTCTTTGCGCTTGCGACGGCGCAAGAGGAAGGCAGTCAGACAGACGATGAGACCGAGGAGTACTATACCGCCGACCGCGACTCCGATGATTGCTGCGACGTTCAAAGTTGGCTTGGAGTCGTTCTGAGTTATAGGTGCTGAGATAGCGGTGCTGGTTGCGTACGAGGGCGATGAAGCCTCGTCATCCAGGACTGTTGCTATGCTGTCGCTTCTAGTGGCTGTCGTGTCTGAAGAGAGAGGTGTGGATCTTGGCATTGCAGTTCCGGCTGAGGCTATGCCAGTCAGAGTCGTAACTGATTGACTTGTGAGAGCCGTCGAGCTAGAAGGCATAGCCGTAGTCTTCAATGTGTTCTTCGGCATCCAATCGCGCAATGGATACGGCACAGAGTCGTTCGTCAGTGGCCCTCCGACTGTACCCTCACACTGCGCCATGTAGTTGGTCATGAGATCTATCTGCGTCAGCATCACTCATCACTCAAAACATGAGCGTATGAAACCCACCAGTGATATCTCCATCATCCGGACATTTGCGCACCACGCAATGGCCCCACCGGCTGAACCAGTTGTCTGGCCCCTCTCCGCTGCTGATATCGCACCAACCCTTGAGGTTATCTGGACACGGGCAGCCACTACAGACGTTGGTGGTGAAGCAGTCATTCTGTAAAAGTGTTAGCATGTGAATGATTGCAGGTGTTCTGAACGTACCATGCATATAGGCAAGTTTAGCGATGGATTAGCTGCGGTACACGAGAACTGGGCCATCGCAAGGCCAGCAAAAGCACAGAGTAGGAGAATACATAGCATTGCGAAGTCGTAGTTTTGCTCAGTGAGTGATGGACTTGAGCTGGAGCGTGGAGGTGTTAAAGTCATGCCACCTCAGATGAAGCGGCGACCTCTACCTACGCACTGCATCCGTGTATTACCCAGTTCCATCACTGACAAATGGCGAGAGCAAAGTACGAACGTAAGAGAACGTTCCACAGAATCCTAAACCAAGCATCTCCCCGTACCCACCATGCGAAGCAGCCAATGGGACCGCTCCAAACTACCTGGTGTCACGTGTACACACTACGTGAATCGTCACACCCGCTTCGTCCATGCACCTCTTCCACATCCAGCAAAACTTTTGAAGGTCAGGAGCTATGGTTGGAGGTCGTGGCTGAAGGATGTCCCTTTCACTTTCAATAGGGCCAATAGAAGAAGAGCATGTGCATCACGGTCTCACATCCCGACAAACAGTAGCAAACACAGCCTCGCGACAGCCTTGCAGGATCATTTTTGATACATGTGAACGGCGATGTGAGGACGCTGCACTGCACTGCTGCGTATGCAGGGTTAGGAGCGTCACGTGCTTGGCGCGTTGTGACGAAGTGGGGAAGTCACAACGAACAGCGTGGATGCTTGAGAGAATGTAGAAAAGAAATGGTCATTATACATTATCCTGCTCGGGAAGAATGAAAAGTCACCTTCCTTGGTGCTGTCTCTCGTAGTCATTATAAACGATCACTCTCTCGCATCTCCCCTTCTATATAGGAATAAGTTGTTCACAATGCCCGCGCAAGGTCCATCGAGTACACTGAACTACTCTGCGACGTGACTCCCACCGTACTCGTCGACCCACCAGCCATCTCTAGAACGTCCGGCGTCGGCGCGTTGTGTCGCAAGATGGTCCCAGTCGAGCTGTTGCTCTCCGCCAGAAGCTCATCGATGCGCTTCTGGAAGCCGCATCCGCTAACTCGGTCGCTTAGAATAGCTACCTCTCTGTTCTTTTCATTAGCCTTCTTGTTGGCTTTCCAGTAGAAGAAGCCAAGGCCTGCGCAGAGGATGACAAGGAGGAGGATGCCAGTCACAATACCACCGATTGCATCGGGGCTGAGGGGACGAGAAGTGATGGTGATGGGCTGAGCTGGTGTCGTTGTCGCTTCTGGGATGCTAAAGGAGGTTGATGTGATGTTGGCAAACGTGCTGAGAATACCAGAAGTACTTGTGACTAAAATTGAAAGTGTAGTCATTGACCATGAAGTCACGGGCAGCGATGTCGCAACAGCCGCAGTTGATGTAACAACCGACACAGACGACTGCACTGTGCTTGACGACGTCGCAGGCGGCGCATTCAGGAACGTCGTTGGTCTAACGACAATTTCTCCGTGCGGAAGATACGGTTCCCATTCCCAAGGCATGTCATCCCAGCCTGACTTGCCAGCCTGCCGACAGGACTCCAACCAGTCCTTAAGGAAGGCTGTGCTGATTAACGCATGACATGCACCTCATTATACTAGTATACTTACACTTGCGCTCATGCTCATCAGTGCACTCTTTCAACAAGCACTCGCTAGAGAACAGGCTGTTGGTGCCCAAGTGGTTGTCGACCTTGCATATACACTTCAGGTCGCTCTCGCAAAACGCGTCTCGGCGCGTAAGGCTTTGGTCTGGATAGAGCATGCATCTATCCGGGATCTGACATTGTTAGCAGTTGTCGAGCGCCTGAGAGGGAAAGATCATACTACGCAGCCTGGGTATTGGTCTTCTGTGGTCACCATAGCACAAGAGTTAGGAACACACTAAACTCATAAGCGTGGTAGGGAAAAACTTCGTACAAAAAGCTAGAATATGAGGTAGCACTGTGCTGCTCAGGGTGCATCGTGCTCAAGTTAAGGCATGAAGGGTGCTACAAGTGGGTCCTTCGTCATAAGCAAACGGCTTGGAGTAGATGTGAGAGAAAACAGCCCACGTAGCCGAGCTGGGATGGCGGCCAGCAAGTGCTGCACCAACCACCTATCGCCGCCATCACAGAAGAAGTATGCAACAGCCACGTTGAGGAAGGAAGTGTGTGAGAGCGTAAATGAGTGGATTCATTATCGATTACATAGATGCGTTGTGCGTGTTCACGTCATGCGTGATGGTCTCGTGCGTAAATGCGCAAATGCTATGCCCCAAACTCCGGTGTGATGCTAAAGGAACGTGGTATCGTAAAACGTGATTGTGGACGTGGAAACGCTGGACGGGAAAAGACAAAGGTCTAAGCCCACTGGACTTGCTTGTTGTATGCTGGCTTCATGCATTCGGTCTTCAAAAGATCCTTGTACTCTGATGTTTGTTAGTGTACTGTACGCCTCGTCATTATTGGACAAGTCTGGACTTACGGTAAATGGCTCCTGCTGTGCACGTCTTGTTGCCAGCGTCACCATCGATACAGGGCTGTACAGTCTGTACGTAGCGGGTGACGTCCTCCTGGGGAAGAGAGCATATCTTTGCGAGGTCGTTGGGCGCAGTGCCGTTAGGTGCGCCCGCAGCCACGAAAGTGCCATTTGTTGAAGCCAGGCATGTCTCTGCGCCGCATGTTGGGACCTGGAACTGTCTCGCAACAAGGCCCGCAGGTAGAGACCAAACAGCCGGAACGGCAGCAGCGATAACGGTGATGTAAGCGGCCGTCTTCATGTTGTTGATGGGATGATGAAGGGATGGTTGATGTGTGGTGGTGATGAGTTGAATCGATGGGTTGATGCTTCAAGATCGTCCAGGAAATTAAGAGGGTTTATGTCTTTCGCAAGCTTGGTCTATTTCGAGCTCAAGCTCCGCTTCCCTGCAGATTGACGTACGGTTGCGATCGGAAGTTCCGACGGTGTCTCCGAATGCAAATGTAAGTGCGTCGTAGGACAAGGAAAAACTTGCAGGTGCTGCGTTCTCGGGAGCGTTCTGTTGCACGGGAGTCTGGTTCGTGGGTCTCTTATATGGAATTCGGATGTTTGTGCCACTAGCAACGTGTTGATGTTCGTAAGGATCAAGAGATGCTGTTGATGGGTGCTGGTGTTCTTGGTGGCGTTGTTGATGGTTTTTGATGATGCTGTTTGTCTCATGAGCTTCCACCTCAATTCTTATATGCCTACTGATGCTTCTAGACACAACATACTTCTAGAAATAGAACCACACGTCAGTGGATCTCAACGCGTGTCCGTCGCAAGTGCGCTTTGTGTGTTGTTGAGCGCGGAACGTCATGGAGCGGAGTAGAATGGCTAAGCGGAGCCCGTGCGGCTGAGGCATTGTTCCTGCCGTCTGTGGGGCACGCCTTACGATTCAGGTATTGATGAGCACCATTGCCAGGGACGGCAATGTCATGGGGTTGGGAAGGGGCTCCTAGCCGTTGAGAAAGCTGCGTCAGCTTTCATGATCGACCGAAGATGGACGATGAAGGTGAGGTTGGAATGTGGAGGTGCGGGGCAGACTTGCACGATCGAACACTGGAAGATGTCGTTCATAATGACGTTCGAGACGAAGCGTGATTTCTCGGCTCAGCAGGCCGGAGTGCAAGTCACTTCTCATGGTGTTGCGAAAAAAGGTATGCCCAACCTCAATATATTCCTGGAACCACATATGAAAGAAGACCTGGCCTGAGACAAAGGAAACCCAAAGAACCGATCTCCTCTGCGCCCTTCCGCCCATCAGGATTAGTTGTTAACCCGTCCAGCAGGCAAAAAGTATCGAGTATGTATTGCCTGAGCGCACTCATGCCCACGCATAGGCTGCGCTCATCCCGTTTTCACTACTCCTCGCAACACCGTCTCCCTCTGCGCTTAGAACAAGCAGTCCAAGCAGCAACAGCATGCTAGACCGGCGCAGAGACCAGCGAAGAGGCCACCGCTTCCACTCCCTCCTTGTCTCCTGTCATCCTGATAATAGCCTCCGGGCGGCGGCGGGCCCTGCTGGTAATACATCTGCTGTTGCGGCTGTCCGTAATGTCCTTCCGGAGGTCCGTACTGGCCCTGAGGTGGCCCATAGCCGCCACCTTGCTGGTAGGGGTTGGGCGAGTTGCCGTAGTGGTCGTTGCTGGGTGGGCCCTGCTGGTATGGCTGCATGCCGCCCTGATTGTATGGGCCAGCATCTTGGTGGACCGGAGGCGGCGACTGAGGGTACTGCGGCGGTGCGCCCTAAGCCAAAGTCAGTGAATTGATCTCGAGAAACTATGTGTGATGGAAGCCAAGACACGTGGCGCAGGTGTTGAGGATGCGCGGAGAACAGCACCAAGACTGTCTTGGTAGTGAGAGGGTGAAAACCTACATATTGCTTGTTCGCGTCCATATTTGAGATATCTCGGAGGCGGCGACGAGTGTGGTGTAAGTGTGTAAGTGTTCAGTCGCAAGTCGACGGTTCGTACTCGTTGCTGCAGGCGTTGCGCGGCGAAGCTGGGCGGTGCTCGGTTCCGGGGTCGATCAGGTGTTCCTTTCGCTCGCAGACCACGACTGTAGCCTATTAAATGTGGTATTGTTGGAATCGTACTGGCGAGTTGAAATAAATGAAAGAAAAAGTGAAGGGAGAGAATGCGACACAGGGTGCATATGAGATATCCACCTTCTTGCGAGGATGCTACGCAAAGCGCTTCGGCATCCCGTGGCTGTGCACGCGCGCGCAATGCACCCTAAACTCCATTCACTGCTAGCGTATCCGCAACCATCATCTGGACACTGAAGCACTACATTACGGGATACCTATCGTGCGTCTCCGAAGAACTCAGGCATAGAGAGCCAGCTTGAAGTCTGACGAAGCTTGTGAAGCAATTGCCAGGTTGAGATTGCGAAAGAGGCCATTGCCCCTCGGTACCTTCCTGCTTTCCCTCCGCGGACTGCCATCTCAGTTGAGAGAGCACTGCCGGTACCTACCACCGCTGACTGATGGCACCTCATACGATCCTCAACTGGCCTTGCCCAGCTTCGCATACATCAACGACCACAGCAATGAGAATAGTCCTTTACTGCATATTGACGCCTGCAAGGCTTAAAAATCTAAGATGGCCAGGCTGCAAGTACAATCAGACGGCGTTAATCTGTGCACAGCCAGCGTCGATCCCTACCATTCGGACAACAGGCCGGCCGCCACCAAATGTCTACGGCTCGTGACGCTGAGAAAGCAAGAGGTGTAGGCTGCCCAATCGAGTGAGTTCGTTGGCGGCCTTTCTAGCTTTTGTGCGTAGCCCGCCAGCTCTTACATCCTCTTCCTCTATCTCTTCACGACCCCGTCGATTTCTTACCATTCGCTTGCCTCGTTTGTATCCTAGATGTCTTTCTACGACAAATCTTCACAAATCCAAGCGTCGAACAACCGGTAACCTGACGGAGTCCTTTCCACCACGAAGCCCTACAAGAGAGAGATTTGGGTGGGCCAGCTTGGTGTAGACGGTGTCATCTCAGTGGTTCCGATATGTTAATTTCATGCATCCATATGTCCCACCGTATGATCCAAATGTAGCTGATTACACGCCGTTTGAGTCCAAGTTTTCTTTGTTGGAACAAGTCTCAGCAAAAGCTCGGTCGGTTCCGGAACTGATTATCATTGTTTCGAACGTATACGCGGTATCTCCTCATGAGTCGACTAGCGGCCCAACCGATCCCTTGAACGGTGCAGTCGGGGACCTATGTTATTGGCTTCACGTTCCACCTGCTTTCTTGTATCATATGCGGGCATGGGCGCAGGAAGTCGAGCCACGAGGAAAAACAACACCCGATTGTCTGGCAGGAGAACCGTCAAGCCCTAGACGTAGGGACTGTTCGATGGTTGCGACGATGTCACACGATGAGCAGTCACCTACATGTATGGCAACGCGGATCTCAAGTACAGGCATGAACGCAGACTGACGAGGATGAACTCAGTCATCATATTCCTACAACGGCCAAGCTATGAAATGTTCGGCCCTACAGAGGGGCTTCCTTCGCCTCATCCTGAATCTCATACAGACTCTTCAGCCAATACATCCACCTCCACGGCGTAAATCCCGTCGCTGCTCGCTTCCCAAACTTCGATTCAGCAAACACGCTACCACCTGCGCCAATCCTGCTCGGGAAATCATTCCAATAGACATTCAAAAGCAGAACGAGATCATGGCCGGCAATCTTGATCCACTCACAAGCAGCCGGTATTAGGTGTACAAAATCAAGACTGCTAATGCTGCGATGTGTACCTTCATCATCTGGCTTGTCGGTGGTGCGAATGCCCTGTCCCCCCTCGAACCTAGAACGGAAGAGGATGACAGCAATCTGGCACATCCTGTTCTCACTAACGCAGGATGATGCCAGCTTAGCCTGTAAAGGCATTAAGCGCATGCATGAAGGACCACACAGTCTCAAATTTGGACCGGAGCTACATGGATCCTTGGTGAACAGCTTCATTTTTACATTGCTACCCGATCCTGATTCGCATGTCGCGCAGTGCTCTGACAGCCTCCAAGCCATCGCGATGGGACGCGACCTGAGAATTTACATACAGATTATCGCGAGCGGACGTCGATGCGAAGCCAAGCGTGTCTGGAGCTTTGGTGAAGATGCCTAACACCAGAGATGCGACCGCCGCCGCGAACAGAAACAAAGAGATGGCAATCGTACCGACGGCAAACCAGATCTGGCAAACATATTGCTCGCCCTCCTGTCGAACGTCATGCGACTCAGTTGTGTTCCATGTGAAGTTGAAACCACTGCTCTCGAAGCCCTTGACTTGATCTTTGGTATGATTGCCCATGCGGACGGTACTTCTAAATGAGGCATCTCAGAAAGTGTTGATGGCCATCTGAAAACGGCGATTGAACGTCTTGGTCGGCAAGCTCGCAATACCAACCCAGCGTTCTCCACCTGGCATCCGATCCCACTGGAAAGTACTCAGATCAGGACCCATCAACAATTGATCAACAAGCTCGCTGGAGGTACTGTTGTCTTGCAGCATTCCGATATCTGCACCAGGCATACTCGCACAAATCGTACCAAACCATGTCGAAGCCGACTCATAGTTCCCATTGATCTTATCGGGTTCCCGAGTGAGCCTTCTCATCGCTTGGGCAGCGCATAAGCGCCCCTGACAATCTACGCGTGATTCTACGACAAGAGGAAAGGCTGAGCACCCCGTTGCGGAAAGTGTTCCTGACAGGGCCTGCCACAGAGTGCCGTTCGTGTGTTCGTTTGTGATCCGCCCAGTATGATAACGAAACTTAGTATCGTTGTTCGTGTCTGAAGTGCGTATGTACGGCGTGTTGAAGGTCGGTTGGCGTCTGGCAGCTACCTTGGTAAAGTTCTCGACGAACTCCATTTTCGCACATTTGACAGCCTAGTAATGCGAGACAAGATTTAATGTGGAATGTCCGGTATCCATTAGTCCCGCAATTGGTAAGCCAATGATAGAGCTATACTCTACGGGATTTATGTGATCTATGTCGTACCAAACGTTGTCTCGGTTGAGCTCTGTAACAGTCCTGTCGCAGTATGTCGGGATATTGACATTGCTGAGAAAACCCATGGACAGGCCGAGATATTGATTCGAGGTAAGAAGAGCTGTCACGTAGATCGGGACAAACAAGGGTCAAGTTGTTGTCGCAATCTTTAAGCTGAATAGATGCGTTTGCATTCCGAACCCTTCGATCGGATAATAATGTACAGTATCGTTGAAGCTGATAAGTAGCTATTTGGTAGACAGAAGTCGTAAAGAAGCTTGCCCTCCGATTGGGAACACAGCCACGCCAGTAAGATTGATAGACTGGTTAGATCTAAGTTCCGGAAGGCGAACTGTCTCTCAAATGTGGAAACCAGAGACTGACACCCTATAATCGTTCCACAGTCTCCCCAGTCAGCGAAGCTTAGTAGTTGCCGAGCCATAGAATCTTACTCCGATAGTTGCACTACGTTCAGCCTTGAATAAGCCTATACAACGGAGTATCTTGCCAAGTATTGCTGCATAGATGATAGAAAAGGTTGTAGGCGACAACAGTGTGATAGCCTTGATGTCTTCTCCATGTTTCGACTTCGAACGGCCACGCAGAGACAGGCAAAGGCCAGCAATGGCTTCAGCCAGGGTCAGTATCTCTTTTAGTGCAGGATTGACTGAAATGCACCTTGGAAGAACAAGGGACTCAATGCGAAACGACGTCAAGTGGCATCGGAACCCACCACTGAAATCGGCTCCTGGCCAAAGCGCCAGTCTCATTATCCTCGCGACCTTGTGTGTTGGAGCTTCCTGGAGTCTTTGACGAAAATTGCTGTGCGTTCGAGGATGCTGAGGGTTCGGTCTCTGGTTCCGTGCCCGGCACACGTTTGTAACCGTGTAGGTCTGTTCTTGTATGTCCACTCTCATTGGTTTGAGCAACCAAAGTCGAGGTGCTCGACGCATGCTGGTCTACTGATGTAGTACTGTTGCGGTATCAATCGGTCCGTTCGAGACCCGATTACCCTTGCTTAGACTGTTCTGGACTAGCACGTTCCAGGGCCAGTATATATCGTCTTCTCCTAGCTAGATAAAAATTCAGCGCAGTATTCCATTAGCCTGATAGTTCTAGGTTGTCATTTACCGTAGCTATCAGTGTACTACAACGGCCCACGCCGCCACAAGTATTAATTGAGCGATCATTAGACATGATGAACTGGAGCATCAGCTTACGAGTGACGTAGACTGCAAGAGAAGCAAATTTTTAAGGCTGCGCGGTAGTAAGGCTGTGTTTTCGAGATTCTGTAGGATTGGCGTCACACATGGCTGACGGTAGCACGTAAACAGAACTGGTAAGCATCGACTGCCAATGAACGTTGTGGCGAGTGTTGGGTGATCTTCCTCCAGATTCAAGCGGCGCAATGGACGGGCTAAGATAGTAATAAGTGTAGGAGGGATGATGACGTTCGTTATTGAAAGAGCGAAAGTCATGCTGAGCAGTGCAGCATTTGCCAAGGCTAATGTGCATTGAACAGGGAAGGTGCATATGTTGGTTAATAGGGGCGCACCGAGGCCATGGGGGCCACAAGACATCCTTCAAGCATCGTAAGAACTTTGCATACCTCGTTGGATGTCCGATGTCGAAAGTTTCCTGATGTTCTAGCAGAAACTCGCCCTTCAGCTCGATTACAGGAGGCTCTTTGGCTCACTTAGCGCCTTCTCGAGGCTCTTCCACGATCTCTCCGCCCTCACCGCACACTGCTCAGTCGTGACCTTCTCACCTCTCGTCCGTCGATCAAAAGTCTCCATTGACACCCACCCTTCATAACCCTTATCAATTACCCAAGCCCGCACAATGTCTACCACAGGTAAATACCCTCCATTCTCAATCTCCAGCGAGAATGGCCTTGCATGCTTAGACCACGTGAACTCCGCAGCCTCACCTTCCGTATACCAAGAATGCTGCTTCGAAAACGGTGGATCGAAACGCTCTGCATCAGAGAGCTGAATGTAGGCTAGCTTTTCCATCGGAAACTCTTTCAAGAAAGCGCGGAGGTCTTCTGCCAGCCGCCGGTCAGCGTCTGGGTACTTGCCGCTGGGGTCATGTGGCGATGCCCAGAGCTTGGTCGCAATGTGGAAGGTATCGAGACATATCTTGAAGTTCTTGCGACCGACCAATTCTGTAAGGTGCACGGCATCCTGCCAGGTCGAATAGAATGTCGACCAGGACATTGGCTCGTACGCAATAGAGATGACTGGCTCAGCGGCGCTGCCTAGATCTGCAAGTTTCTGTAGTTCAGACACGACGACAGCCTCGTCGCCCGTTACGTCTGGACCGAACTGGGCAGGAACTTGAATGTATGCAGCACCCAGAGTGCGCGCAGTGTCCATCCAGTGGGCTGCTTTTGCGAGACGGTCTTGCAGCGGGGAGTTGTGACCTTCGAAGTTTTCGAAGGGACAGAGGGAGAGGACCTGTAGGCCCAGTTGTAAACACAATTGACAAACTTGATCTGCGGCGGCTGCCAGGTCGAGTTTATGGGTGTTGCCGTAGGCTTCCAGATCTGCGTAGACGATCTCAATACCAGTGAAGCTGTGATATGCAGCTGCGCGAATTTTGCTATCCAGGGTATGTGAGGCGTGCAGTCCAAGTGAGGAGGTGCTGATTGCGCGTTTATTGCTGAAGGTCATGTTAATGGATACGTAGGACGTGACGGTCAATGTTATGTGACTTTGTCGTGCTTTCACCAAGAATCGGGTTGACAGATGCTGTTGGTGCGTTGTGGGTGAGATGGGACGGTATCCAGATGTTGTTGGCAGGTGTTTTGAGGGTCATGTTCAAGAAGCCGAGTTCGAGAAGCCGGCCCGCATGAAGCCGACCACACTCCGCACATGTGTACAGATAGACAACTCCGCTGTGTGGAGCACATGGCACTACAATCCGGAGCGAGCCTGATATGTCGTGTCTCTTCATGTTCCAAACAGGAAGATATCTTAGCAATCATCCAGGTTCACGTACGCCATACAGTCAAGTGCGCCAGACCGCTCGAGGTCTGAGTGAACATCAATCGTACAGCCTGTCCCTGACCAGCCTTCTCGATGCACTCTCCAAGCTTGTAAAAGCAACACGACCAACCTCATTGTCGCCAGCAACATCGCCAATCCTGACTTTGATGTCCTTAAGTGCTCTGGTAGCCTCTAAGCCATCAAAATAAGACGGCACGCGGTCCTCAAAGTAGACATTGTTTCTGGCCGCTGTCGATACGAAGCCCAAGATATCAGGTGCCGTAGTGATGATGCCAAGTATAAGACTCAGCACTGCTGCTAGGAACAGGAAGCAAGAAATGGCAATCGTGATGACTGCGTAACCGGAATTGCAGGCGTATTGCTCACCGCTGTGTTTTTCGGAATGGAATTCAGTTACGTTCCAGTTCAGTTTGCGCGAACGACATTCCCGTTGTCGGACGATACAAACTTCAGGTGGTCTATCGTCCGGTTGGTGTTCCCAGCTTCGATGCATATTGCCGACGCTGGCGTCCCAGTATGTGTTGATTGCTTGCTGTAGTCGGCTGCTCAGGACCTGTTTAGATAGCGTTTCTATGTCCACCCAGCTTCCGTCTAGACTTGTTGCGTATCCAGCGAGGAGTATTTGACCAGCAATAAATGTCTCGGTCATTTGACTCTGCGTCGCTGCACCTTCGGCGTTTGCTTTGTCTGCTGTTGTCATGTTCCTCAGTATATCCGTGTAATTCGAATACAGGATTAGCCTCTGATCGTCGAGTTGATTCCAGTCGAGCTCTCTCATAGCTTGAGCACGACATGTTGTACCCCAACAGGCTATATGTGTTTCGACACGGATAGGTTGAGCATAACATGTCGCACTTACCACATAGGTTTCAGTGATGTTCCCTGACAAGGTGCTACCTTTTGTCAAGGGTTTCCTGGAAGAGTACACTGTTCTCGCACCCGCTGCAAGGGACTCGTTGAAAGTGATTAGGGCGTACGTGCTCAACTCTGTCTCAGAAGACAACCAAGGCGTTCGAGAATAGTTTCCGGAAGCTTTCTCGCAATCGATGCTCCAGTAGTGAGAAGTGAGATTGAAGGTTGAATTGCCGGGTGTAGAAATACCGAAGATGGGCATACCAAGTAAAGAGGTGTAGGTGAGCTGAGTATCGTTACCGATGTGTAGCCATGTGCCAATGGATTTGTTTGCCTGATAGCCGTCCAGGTACTTGATATCTGGTATCTTCAAGTTGCCCCACATGTCCCTGCTTGAATTGATGGTCTGACTCGAAGACTGCAATGCGGCCATGTATGGAACCGAAATATGATGGAAGCGCATTGCGTTGTTGAAACCGAGAAGTGACGCCCAAATGTAGGCTTGCATCGGATAGTACCATGCGGGAGTAATAGAGTACACCATCTGCGGTTGGTTCGTCAAGAGGCGCAAGGAGGATTGTCCGCCAACTGGGGAGAGAAGCCAGACAAGAAGGATCAGAACACCAAGCACGTCAAAATGACGCAAGGTGTACTGTCTTTCGATTGCTGAGAAGAGCGACTGGCACCCAATGACGCGTTCGAGTGTCTAGCATAAGTCAGCATGAGTCGTCAAGAGGCGCCGCCTCAGCTGGTTTCTCCATGGCACCTACCCCAACTGTAGATCCTTTCTCGGCCATATAGAGGCCTACACGTCGGAGTGTGCGGCCCAGAATCGCGGCGTAGACAATGGGAAATATTGTTGGCGCAAGGAGGATGTATGACTGCACTCGATCGCCCGATGGAGACCTGGGTGCATGATGCAGTGACAAAGCAAGAGTAGTAATGACTAGAAGCTGTTAGTCTAAATCTCATATGCTCTCAGGGCACCAACCAACGAAGGCGATAGGGAGCAAGCACAATACCACATCGAGGGTGAAGGAGCTCCATTTGTGGTAACCCGTATTGATCAGCGACCGCGGTGTCTGCTCGCTTCCTCTCCTATACAAAGACTTGTGCTCGCTTGAGCATGCTGGCGCTCCTGTTGTAGTCGCAGTAGGCTGTACTCGTTTTCCACCGTCGTCAGAGCTCTGGGTCCCTCCGAAACCCGAGTCGCCAATTGTCTCTGCCTTGCTCGATGGCATCGTCGCACGTTCTGGAGGCTCAAGGTGTGGGAACGGAAGTAGAATCTGGGCTTGCGCGTGGACATCTTCCTCTGCATCAGGGACACGTTCGTAAGTGTGATTGCCACTCTTGGTGTGTCTTGAGTCGAACGGGGCGTCGAGTAGTGAGGGCAGGCTGACTATGCTGTCAGTTGCAGCGGGCGTTTGCGTGTAATGGGTAGCCGGCATCTTGTCGTTCTCATTGATCCCGTCGACGCAAGCTTAGGTAGCTTTGTAAGGACATGGAAGAGCAAACGACAGCCTGATGTCCTTAACAAGGAACCCAGAACCTCACACTCCGCCGCCACATCTGGTGCAGCCTCAGATGTAAGCCAAGTCTGCACGTTCTGGCCCCCACATGTAGCTCATCTGTGGACATCCCTGGAGTGCACGCGGGTTCGCGGTCAATATGAGACTTGACGAGTACTCCTGATAGATGGTTGTTTACCTTCTTTGCATTTACAGACTTGTTCGACAGGCTCATGGGGCATTATTGGGGGGACCAATGGCGTGTAAAGAGCTGTTGGTGGTGGGGCAGGCAGAAGGCTGAAAGTCACAACATTCGCCAAGAGCGCGATAAATATGGAAGGTGCGGGGGGGGGGGGGGGGCACAGCATTGACTGACAAGAACGGTGTAGAGAGGACGAATCAAATATGTTGTTGGGAGCCGAGCAGCTTTGGCCTAACAACATCTGATGGACGCAAGCTGAAAACGTGCCTCGCACAGTCGATGAAAATGAGGCGTGGGCATTGAAATAGAGCCAAATCTCGCCATTACAGCGGCCTCACGAAGTACTCACTGTCCAGAACTTCGCGGATGTCTTCGCCCTGCTCTTGGAGATGACCAGCCTGGCCGTTGTGCTGCTGTAAAGGAGTGATGTCGAGGGAAAGGTCAACAAGGCCGTCTGCAGGTGGAGAGAATTGTCGCAGTCGCACGCCGCTCTCAGCAAAGATCCGAGCCGTCTGGTCATCCACAAGGTAGCCTTGGTTGTACACGACTTCGCTGATACCGACTTGCGTAATCTTGACACTGCACGTCAAGCATGGGCAGGTGTTGCAGTATAGGATAGCTGTTTCGCCAATGCGATCTCGTCCGGCTTCGAGGAGAGCGTTTTCCTCGGCGTGGAGGCACAAGCATGTGGATAGGCCTACGCCACCTTTGGCTGCATTGTTGCATCGGGGACCTGTCCAAGTCAGTACCGTGCACAGCGATGGAGTCACTTGCACTTACAGCCACCCTCGTTGCAGTTCGTCATGCCCCTTGGCGTGCCGTTGTACCCAGTGCTGATGACTCTCTTCTCCCTGACAATAACGCAGCCCACTCGCCGCTTCATGCAGTTACTTCGCAGGGCTGCAAGGTCCGCGAGTTGCATGAAATACTGATCCCAGCTAGGCCGCAATCGTGCCTCGTCCGTGAGGTTCAGTGAACGAACGGCATCTCGTAACGAGGCAATGGATGCAGTAGAGTTCAGCAACTTGAGTTGTGCTCGCTGGAAGAGAGCGCTGAGACCGGTGCGTTGCGCGAACAGGTGGGCATCATTGCGCAGGACGAAGTCTTCCAGTGTAGGCGGTGTGAGCTTGTTGACGGCACAACGGTCCTTGAAGCGCTGCCATCGCACGCTAACAGGTGCATCGACGCTGACGAAAAGGAAGAACGGTCGTCGAAGGAGTGCATCAACCACCTTGTCATCCCAGATGTCCGTTGTTACCCATCGCTCTCTCCATCTCAAGGTGACGAATTCAAGCAAAGCATCGACATTGGCGAAGGTGTGTTCGTAAAAGGAGGAGGCCAATGGTGAGGGTACATGGGCATCAGACGCTGATTTCTCGACAGCGGGTGTGGCAGCAATGCGAGCTAGACGGAGACGCTTGAAGCCATGCTCCTCGATGAGGTACGAAGCTATCGACGACTTCCCAGCGCAGATTCCTAGATGATGTTAGTCGCCATTTGATTTGACTAACAAGGTGCTTGCCTCCACAAAGCCCAATAAGCATAATGACAAGTACAACAAGAACTCACTACTACGATTTGTTCAGGTACTCGAGCCTATCAACAGTGAATTGAGCGTGTCCCTAGCGTGTCGCGGCTGCAGGAACGCGTCGAGCCGCTGCCCCACATGAGCCGCGGGCGGGGTCCAGTGAGCTCAGCTGCCTCCCAGCTCTAAGACACTCACCACCAGGCCGACGGTGCCTGACAGCGCCCACGTGCAGTGCTTTGTAACCAGCATGCATCAATACCTGTAGCCCCCATGCCTGCCGCCTGAGTCCCTTTGTACATACAGAATCATATAGCATACACCATAGCATCGACAAGAACCCCGCCCCAGCTACCGCCCACCATGGCGACACTCAAGTTCGCACCCTGGCAGAGCGACGTCGATGTGCAGTTCTATGCAGCGCTTGCGCACATCAAGATCAATCATGACAAGCTCGACGACTCCGCGCGTAAGGTGCTCGGCCTGTATGAAACTCGTCCTGGCGACCACGCTTCGCGCTCTATGCGCATACAGATACACCCAAATGCGCTGACATCAGACGAGTGCGTTCCCCACTCCTGTCCAGTATGTGCCAGCGCTGATGCAAGGGAACTGTAGCACCCCGCCGAACTACTGCCGCGCCGAGGGCATCATCAAGAACTGCAACACCATCGAGGACTACAAGAACCTCGACCGCACCGCCATACTCGACAGATGCGCCCAGACAGTACGTCATACCCTCAGTATCGCCGAGTCCATCTGGCTGACGCTTGCAGATATGGGATGCCATCCACGACGGCTCGATATACGAATGCCCTTCCCTCCTCTCCGCCTTCACGGCCATCATCTTCGCGAACCTCAAGAAGTACAAGTTCACCTACCACTTCGGCTTTCCTGCGATACAGTCGGATCCGCAGTGGAAGCAAGTCGGTGAGACGAGCAAGCTGAGTGCAGGTGAGACAACGCACCTGGTAGACGCAGTGCAGACGTTCAAATACAGCAACGATGTACGGCAAAGAGGCTTCTTCATTGCGAAGCGACTTCGTGGTGGTGGCGAGGTCGATGACACCCCTAAGACACCAGTCACACCGGTGGAAGAGATAGGTTACAAGTGGGTTGTTGGGAAGCTAGGAGCATACGAGAAGGGCTTCTTCGACGATGTAGACGTTCAGGATCGCTTCATATGCTTCTCAGATCCATCGACTTACACAGATAACCCCGGGTGGCCGCTGAGGAACCTGCTCATTCTTATTCGACATCGCTGGCGGTTGAACGACGCGCAGATATTGTGCTATCGCGACACTCACCTGCGAAGAGACCAACCGAACTCCTTGGTATTGCAGATCCAGTCCGACCCAAGCGCTGGGGTATCATCAACAGCCACCGAAGGGCCTAGTGCGCGTCCCCACGCACCAAAACTACCCAAGGTCACTGGCTGGGAGCGCACCGAAACCGGAAAGCTGACATCACGCAACGTCGATCTGTCCGAGTATATGGACGAGCGAAAGCTGGCAGATCAAGCCGTCGACCTCAACCTGAAGCTCATCAAATGGCGCATAGCGCCCAACATCGACCTAGACGTAATCAAAAACTGCAAATGCCTACTCCTCGGCGCCGGAACCCTAGGATCCTACGTCTCGCGCACGCTGATGGGCTGGGGCGTACGCAAGATAACCTTCATCGACAACGCAAACGTCAGCTTCTCCAACCCCGTTCGCCAACCGCTGTTCAACTTCAAAGACTGCTTGCAAGGCGGCGCGAAGAAAGCCGAACGTGCCGCCGAAGCACTCGAGGAGATATATCCAGGTATAGATGCGAAGGGGCATGTGATGGAAGTACCTATGCTCGGGCACCCCATCACCGACCAAGCAAAGACAAAAGAGCACTTCGACAAACTCCAGAAACTCATCGACGAACACGACGCCATCTTCCTGCTCATGGACACGCGGGAGTCCCGCTGGCTGCCGACAGTCATGGGCAAATCGGCTGGCAAAATCGTGCTCAACGCTGCGCTAGGCTTCGATACTTTCGTCGTGATGCGGCATGGCCTGAAGCCCACGAAAGACGGTGAGGTAGAACTAGGCTGCTACTTTTGCAACGACGTCGTTGCGCCCGCTGACGTACGTCCCTTTCCTTCCCCATCTCCATCCCTCTTCTACCCAGCTAACACGAATGACAGTCTCTAAGCAACGCAACCCTCGACCAACAATGCACCGTAACCCGTCCAGGCATCGCCCCCCTCGCTTCATCCCTCCTCGTCGAACTCCTCGTATCCATCCTCCAACACCCCTCTCTCTCCCATGCTCCACCTCCTTCCACCAGTCCCCCCGCTCAAACAACACCCCCTGCCCCGTCTCATCCTTCCTTACCATCTCCATTCACCCACCCCCTGGGCACAATCCCCCACACAATCCGAGGCTACCTCTCCACATTCAGCAACATTCAAGTTACCGGCCGCCCGTACGACTGCTGCTCGGCGTGTTCGGACACGGTGCTGAAGGCGTATGAGGCAGATCCGTGGGGTTTTGTGCAGAGAGCGCTGAACGAGAAGGGCTGGGTGGAGGAGATGAGTGGGCTGAAGGAAGTCCAGCGTAGGGCGGATGAGGCGGCAGATGATTTGGAGTGGGATAGTGATGAGGGAGGGGGGATGGAGGAGGAAGGGGAGTTGTTGTAGTTGTAGTTGTTGTTGATGGGACGGTCGTTTTGAGGGCGGGGCTTGGGAGTTTGGGCGTGGGTAGGAGGGGTTTTAACGGTTTGTTAGCTTAGTTTTAATGGGGCCGTATTGATTCCAGACGCGAATGAATACATGCAATTCATCTGAGTATAATATGCGCCTCAACCCTGGAGGTCCTCCGAATATCTATCTCTCCGCCTCGTCGCGACTACGCCTTGTCTACAGCTTTCTCGTTTACCAAGAGGTTCCCCTTCTTCCCCATAACCTTCTCGTCCTCCACAGTTTTCCCGTAAACGTCCACCCTCTTCGGCTTGCCCATCACCTTCATTGCCTTCTTGTTTCTACCAAAACGGTTCCACCCCCATGTCTTCAGCGTATCCCTCAACCTTGTACTTCCATCCAAGCTTGTTCTAATTATTTGTCCAGCTGCATGAGAGTTTTCTGGCCATGTTCTCTTCCTGTTCAAGGCCTTGAATGCGGGCCCCGTCGGTCCATCACCAAACTTGTGGAAGCCAAGGAGGCCGTTCCCTTTTTGCCTTGGGTCATCGTCCGGATATGCTTGATCGCCCCAGTGACCTTTGAAGCGTAACCAGCCTGGAGCTGGTGTGTATGAAGTCAGAGGCTCAAATGGGCTCATAGATTCGGTCTCTTTCCCCTGGACGGAAGCGAGATCGCAAGAGTAGGCATATGATGTAAGGAGGGGGTCAAAGAGCGGACCATCGTTGCAATAGTCAACGAGGAGGAAAGGGATTTCGGTGTTGAAATTAGGTATGGTGTGGTCGATTGCGCCTGGACGGGCGTAAATCGCGTGCGAGCCGTTGGCGATGTATAGCACTGGCTGGAGGCTTGTCAGTCTGGCACTTCCCTGCTTGGCTTCACACTTACCCGCTTTCCAGACTTATATTTCTCAAGTGCTTTGTAGGTATATGCTTCACCGTTGCCGTGCTGAGAGAGCCATACCGTCTTGGGATCACCGCCTTTGAAACGTATCATGACATGTTCCCAGTCGCCAACATGATCACCTGCCATCCATCAGTATGCATTTCATCTTATCACGACCGTGAAGCGCCAAGTCAGCAAACGTACCTAGTTCTTTCCCCAACACCACCCCACCGTAATTGAACGCCCAAAAGATGAAGTAGAACACGTCGACCACGCCTTCTCCTTTGTGCATGACAAGGATAACTCCCGTTCGTACGCTATCAGTCCCACCACAGGAATTGATCCTGGCGCCCTCTAGCCATTGAGGGTTGTTAGTGACATCGTCGTGGCTGGTAAGATAGACGTTCTCTCCGCCACTGGGCGAGTTCAAATTGTCCAGGTACGCTAACGGCGGACCAGGCGGTGGGAGGGCGGTATTGCCGAACTCGAATCTCGGTCGTGTGTGGTCCAAGAAAGAGAGCAAGGAAGTGGGACGGTATCGGTCTTCTTTGTGGAGATGAAATATGGGCGCTAGGTTTGTGCGTCAGCGAGAGCGCGGAGGTAGTCAGGTGGTGTACGAGCCGAATAAAAGCTGATGGGGCTAGCATAAAGTGTGAGATGAGTAGGGAGCTGCACACGTACCATGATCGCGAGCGTATTGAGGAATATCAGATAGAGCATTTGGTGCAGCAGAGTCTTGGCGGTCCTTCTCGGTAGCCATGACGGGACAACACAAGTGGTCGAAGAATGGGATAGCGCTACGAGAGATATAGACGATGTGCGGTGTAGACCAAGTGTGGTGCTGGATGGAAAGTCGAGGTTCGGGAAGTGTTGTCTGTTCACGGCCCTGGTGACTTCCTTCCTCGATATGGATGGAAGGCACTGTTGACAGCGCGATTGCAACTGTCCACTTGAACACACGCAAACAAGCGCAGCTTCTGATCCTGTGTACATTTGAGGCTCTTATACCTTTTCATACTGTCTTGCAGTATGGACCTGGCAGTCCAGTTCTCATTAGCATATCTTCGGAACTGTTCAGCTGCCATTAGCAGCTGGTAATCTTTTCGCATCCATCACTTGCGACCTCTTTGTGATGTGCAACGATCCTGAACAATCGTGCTTGTCCATTGTTGCTCGCTGGTGGTGATTGGATATGTGTTTGGGGTGCACAAAACGTGGTGAGCTGATTCGTGGGGCGATTCGTGCAGATGGTCACAAGGTCGACATGGTTTGAACCGCGGAAGGAGCTTTTGCATCTGGAGTTTTAGCAAGCTCGTAGAGGGGTTTAATGCACTCGACGTCGTCTGTAATAATGCTGTCGTCTGTAATAATGCTGTCGTCTGCCCTTGCTTTGATTGAAAGCAGTCCGCAGCTGCATGCAGGCGTTGTGGGCGCATCAGTGCGTTTGCTGCCGACTTCAGGTTGGCTTGGAGGCAACGGCCAAATCGCCGGGTGGCCGGTATGAGCGTACATTAATAAAGCCCTATCCGCGTGCGACTGTCCAGTGCTGCGGTGTGACAATGTCGCCTGTCAGTGGGTAGTGAGGGTGTGGAAGGGTGAGAGATGTGTGGGCCGGGGTTGGGATGCTCGTTGTTAGCGTGCACGGCTGGTGAAGCGGTCGATGATTGGTTCATGCTTTATCATTTGGCTACCATTCTGTCATGATGCTCATTATGCTGGCTGCGCTCAAGTCAGCCGTCTATGCCTCTATAGTACATAGCTCCAGGCTGGCCAATGGACGGCGCCTGTGTCTTCCTCTTTTTCTCCTCCAGGCATGTCTGCTTTTACTCCAGCATCGATGCCTGGTTTGTGTACAGGACTTCGACGACACTGTTCAGCTTCTCGATTGTGCTCAGCGCCGCATCGTACCCCTTGTCGCGTTCCGACTCGTCGTACACGATCAGGCAGCCAGCGCCCTGGTCCAGCACTCCGATGATGACCTTGTCGAGGATCATCTGCGAGAGCTTGCGCTCGACCTGTACGGTGTCAAGACCGACCATCTTGGCGACGTGGTCGATCTCGACTCTGCTGTAGGGCTCGATGACCTTGATCAGATTCTGCTCCAGCATGTTGTCGTAGAGGCGTCGAAGATGGCTCGTGATGAAGCGGTCGCTACCCAGCTCCTGTCGGTACTCGGTCAACGCGCTCTCGTACTCTTCCAAACTGCGGTTTGTGTGTGCTCGCGCCACGGCCTTCATGGCGTCCAGGCGCTTTCCTGCGTACTTGACAGCGTGCTTCGAGGCCATGAGTGTGTTGACGTCGTCGCCCAAGTTCAGCATGATCTTGCAGAGCAACATGTACTGGAGCGCGGATGTGGCCTTTTGCTCCTCGTCCTGCGAATGGTAGCCCTCCATAGCCTCGATGAAGTATGAGAAGGAGGTGTTGAAGTCGCCATCCTCTGCGTGCAGCATACCACTCTGCATGTCCAAGCCTGCCTGCAGCAGAGGTGGGGTGTACACGGAAGCGGCCGACGTTCGTGCGGATGTGAGGGCAGCGCGACCCTTGGGGATGTTGCCGAGCGCGTGGTAGACTCGCGATTCCAGCAGCTGCACCTCGACCAGTACCAGCTTGTCATCCAGACGTTTCAGCTCCTTGAGCAGGCTGTTGATGAGTGTCAGGGCCTCGTAGTACGACTGCTTGGCCATGTACAGCGAGACGAGGCGGGTCTCGAGGTTCTGGCGCAGGAAGCCTCTCCGCTCGGATACAGCCCACTCTATGCATGACTTTGTGACGGAGATCTGGGTGTCGGTGGTGTTGGGGATGGTGGTAAAGAGGTCGAGAAGCTGTCGGACTGCAGGGTTGTTAGTGTGTATCGCGACTGACACCACAACACCACATACCCAGCTTTGACGTCTTCGCCTTAGCAAACGATGAGAGCACCGACCGCGCCTGCCTGACCAGCTCCGCAAGAGCATCCACCTTCTTCTGGTCCCGATACAGCTCTCCGAGCGACACCAGCGCGGTCTCGTAGTGCTTGATGGCCTGCTCGTTGCTGCCGGGATCCAGTGAGAGCACTTCCTGGTACATCTTCTCGGCCTTTGCGGGCTCCGTCTTGGCCAGCTGCTGCGCCTCTTCTATCCGCCTGCCGGTATCTGCGACAGCCATGCTGACGTGGAGGATGGTGGAGGATGGTGGAGGATGGGGAGGATGGGGAGGATGGGGAGGATGGTGGAGGATGGCGGAGGATGTGTCGGCGATTCTACGTGAAGTGTGTTGCGGGGACGGAGCGTGTGTCGCGTGCGATGGGCGGCGATGTGGCGGGTTCGGATAGCTGGATGGGCGATGCAAGCTGCCCGCTGGAGGCACATTCAATGAGATGCGGCGGCGCAGGCAGGCTTGGCAAGAGCGCGCGAGCCCCACATCACGTGCTAACCAATCCCGTCAGCCAGCGCTGAAGCTCGGCAGAGCTCCTGCCCCCATAGCAACGATCCGGCGAACTTCACGCATCGTGCGGAGGCAACGTCTGGGGAACCATCGCGTCGCTGACAGTTGTTCTACGTGAACTGGCACCCTCCAGCATGCGCCATGGACTTTGGGACGGACTTTGGGCGCTGGCGACGCTGCTGCCGGGTCGACCAGGTCGGTGAGGCGCTGTGCTGGCAGTCGCGCCTGGCTTAGCGAATGACGTTCCTCCATGGCCCGTCGCGCCCATGTTTGTAAACAACCGTGCTCTAGTTCAGCAGTACATAGCGACGGCTATCACCCAGGCTGGTCGCGACATACAACACATCCATCCATCCATCCACACTCACGATTTCACGACCCCGTATTATACCCCCGCGCTGGACCGCCGAGCTACTTGAGCGTTCGCCCTGCCTCCCTGCATTGCCCGGCTTTGGAACGGCCGGCGCTGCGCCAACTCATCGACGCCGCCATACACTCCAACACTACCCATTGAACTTAGCCGAGTCCAGACGCAATGGCATCCATGGAGCGCGAACACTCTCAGGACCGGGAGCTCGTCCGACACCACGGCTCGTCTTTCTCCTCGATAGACAGGGCCATTCCCATGTACGTTTACTGCCACGCGCACACTGGTACGCCCACGACTGACATGTATGCAGGTGGGATAGTGCGGACCCAGACCGAGCACCGCCACCACTGCCACTGAACCCCGGCTCGCCTACACTTACCACTCGTCCCAACACATCGGCCGCGATAATGCGCGCAGCTAAGGCACTGGAAGAGAAGGCCCGGGAGAGCTTGCCCACAAGCTCATACACAACCAACCCGATGCCGTCGAGGTCGCCCGAGCGCTCTCTGATCAAGGGCAACCAGCACAAGCGCATGCAGTCGTTACAGCCCAGCAGCGTCCGCGATCTACGAAGCTATCTCGATACACACAAGTCGCCTGAGCGATCGCCAGACCGCCCGCAGACACGCGACGGCTCGCATGCACGCGACGCCGAGAAGGACTACTTCGGCAAGGACGGGGATGCAAGATTCGGACAGTTCGGTACCCCGTCGCCATGCTCGGCCTACGACCTAACACACACGCCCACCACTCGACCCAGCCATAGAGCGATTCTCGGGGAGAACACACCACCGTCTGCCACCATGAAGGCTCTGCAGACCATGACCATCCCTCCGCACATTCTTGACCCTCCTCTCCAGAACATCACCAACTCGTCCACTCCCACCCCCGCGCCAGGGCAGCCCCTCGACACTATTTCTACACAACTGCTCAGCATCACAAACATCGTGTCAAGCCTGCAGAAGGATATGTCTCAGCTGAGTCGCCGCAGCAAAGACAACGCCACAGACCTCATTAGTCTCAAGGAAGCGACCAACAGCCGAGACGAGGACATCCGCAGGTCGCTGAAGGATCTGTTGAGCACTATGACGGAGAAGCAGAAGGCTGCGGCTGCGGCTGCGGCTGCGGCTGCGGCTGCGGTGGACGAGGCACGGTCTGCGCCTCTGAATCTCCACGACCCCCACATGACGCCGACCAAGCAGTTCACATTCCCCCGCATGTCTTCGCCGAGCGGCTGGGCAGACGAGCGGATGGGCAGCCCCAACCCGTACTCTGTTGAGGGTGCAGCCAGTGTCGCCATGCTCGAGAAGATTATCCGCGAGATGGTCACCAAGGACGGCCAGGAGCGCTTGATTGCAAGCCTCCAGGTCATCGTCGACAAGGCCAACGGCGACACCGCGAAGAAGGTCTCTGAGCTTGTCGAGTTCGTCAAGTCAGGATCGGCCGCCACCAATCTCGTTCCACCAGGCTCAGCTGCCTTCCAGCCGTCTCCCGGATCTGGTGCGCTCACACGCACGCTCTCAGAAGGCTACTCCCAGAACTTCAACAGTCCTAACGACGCAGCCGGCTTTGTCAGCGAAGAGATGCTCAAGTATCTTCGCAAGATCAAAGACACCGCCGCTGAATCTGGCTGCGTGACGATGGCCACCAAGACACTTGTCCAGGAGCTGCGGGGTGAGGTTCTTGGGATGGGTCGAGAGCTAGCGCGCAAGATCGAGGAGGCAGAACAGGCCAAGGCAGATCAGCCACATGCCGACCCCGAGCAGACCACGCAAGAGATTAGCGCCATCATCCAAGAAGGCCTCGATGATCTCAAGGAGCACATGGACAAGGTGATGCGTGAACGAAGGCGGCAATCAATGTCTTCGGTGGTCACTCGCGGCACTGTCGATAACAACGAAGTGTACGACGTCGTCAAGCACGCACTGGCGGAGCGCGGCCTCGATCAGTACTCTGCTGCGCAGGGCGCACCTCTCGACAAGGAAGCCATCGTGGCTGCGATTCGCGAAGCTTACGACAGCGTCGAGATGAAGCCCAACGTCGAGATTCAGCAGTTCGGTTTAGAGCGCGACGAGATTCTACAGTGCCTTCGCGAAGGACTGCAGGATTACAACGGATCCGGTGCTGTATCGAGAGAAGAGATTGGAGAGATTGTCCAAGAGTCGCTGCAGCAACTGCGCCTACCCCCGCCAGTCAACGAAGCGAACGAGATCCGCGAGGAAATCCTCATGGCTGTCCGTGATTCGCTCGAGGAGCTCAAGCCGTCTCTCGTCCCTCAGCAGCCTCACACTGACGGTCTTACTCGTGACGTACTGCTGGACGCCATCAAGGAAGCCCTTTCCACACATGAGTTTGGACCTCAGGAGGTCGAGATCCCTCAGGAGGCTTTGTTCGACGCTGTCAAGGCCGGCCTGGAAGCATCCCAACCTGAGGTCGATGCCAATAACGAAGTGGTCGTGCAGCGCATCCAGGCTCTCGTCGACAGCATGCACTCCGAGTTCAAGGCATACTCCGCAGCCAACGGACGCGACACCGAGCAGGTTCTCGATGCATTACGCGATGGTCTAGCCAGGCTCGGAGCCGACCTACAGGGTCATTTCGACAAGGCTCCTGATGCTTCTCAGCAGGATGCTATCGTAGACAGCTTCCGTGTAGAGCTCGATAAGCTGCGCGAGGACGTTCAAGGATACGTTGCTGAAGGACCTCGCGGAGACCAAGAGTGGAGCCGTGGGGACATGGTCACCTTTATCAAGACCGAGCTTGAGAACCTCCATGAAGGCTTGAGCGCAAAACTTGCCCCTGCTACTGGCGACAAGGAAGAGCTGCTCGCAGCGCTGAAGGCTGGATTCGATGAGATGAACTCACAGGTTGCTTTGCGCAGCGAAGATGCCGATTCTAACGAAGATATCAACGAAGCCTTGAAGCATGAATTCGACCAACTCAAAGAAGTCATCCTCGGCGACACTGCAGGTCACAAGAATGATATCCTCGAGAATCTGGAAGCCGGATTCGACGGCCTGCAGGTTAGTCTACGCGAAGCTACCGCAACATCGACGCCCAATGACGATCTCCTTGCTGTAATGAAGGAGGAGTTCGAGCGCTTGCGCGAGACCATTGCTGGTTCGCTCACGAAGTCAGGGGGCGCAGACAAGGACGACATTATTGATGCCATCCGGGAGCTCCTTGATGGTCTACGCGCAGCTCATGACACAACTTCCAAGGAGAGCGTCACCGTCCTTCAAGCCGATCTCGAAGCACTGAAGGAGTCGCTCGGTGGCGCACTTGTCCCCGCTGGTGATAACGACAAGGCAGAGATGCTGGATGCCATCAAGGCCAGCCTCGAGGAGATCAAGACATCGTCTGGATCTGCAGGTGTTAACGAGGAACTCCTAGAGGCTTTCCGTGGAGAGCTTGAGCAGATCCGCCAGTCAGACGGCCTCACTCGACAGCACGGTCGTGCGGATACTGAGGAGGTTCTGGAGGCAGTACGTCTTGGGCTCGATGACCTCCGATCGCACCTAGAGAAGAAGCTTGATGGGCCTCGCGATGGCTCCTCATCCGGCGAGATCGTCGATGCCCTCCATGACGGGCTCGAGGGGCTGCGTGCGGACGTCGCTACGCTGTCCAGCAAGTCTGTCGACATGACTGTGTCTTACGAGATCCTCGACACGCTCAAGGAAGGTATCGCTGCTCTACGCGAGGACGTTGCTCTTCTCAAGGGAAAGGCCCCAGCTTCGGCGCCGGCGCCAGAGGTCGAGGTCGAAGTCGAGGTTGATGCTGTCCCTACTGGAAACGAGATGGTGCTTGCCGAAGCCCCTAGCGATGGACCGGCTGGAGACCGCGGAATTGTCGACGAGCCAGCTGCTGCAGAGACAACCGAGACAACCGAGACAACCGAAAAGGTTGAGGAAACAACAAGCCGCGAGATTGTTCCCGACTCTACCCAGCGCAACGACGTCGACAAGATGGAGTTCATCCTATCTCAGATCCATGCAAAGGTGGAGGCTATGGACGCTAACATCCAAAACCCTGCTCCAGCCGCCGAAGCCGCTGTCGCGCCTGGTACCGCCATGAAGGATGACCTTGTCTCCATCGAAGACATGCTAAAGGAAGTTCAAGCGGCGGTACTCGTTTTGCAAGAGCGTGACACCCCTCCCCCCGCTCCTCTGGAGGGCTTTGCCAAGAAGGAAGACACAGATGCCATCGAGACACTCGTCGCCAACACCAAAGCCAAGATCGAGGAGCTGGTCTTCCCCGACCCTGCCACTGCTGTGACAAAGGAGAACCTGGAAGATGTCGAGCTTGTTGTGCGCACCACATCGGAAGCTCTTGACGCTCTCGCCAAGAAGATCGAGGAGGAGGGGGCGACCAAGGCCGATGTAACGGTCGTGCAAGTCATTGCAGATGACATCAAGACATGCCTTGACGAGATGAAAGCAGCGAAGCCCGAGGACCCGAATGCAACCAAGGGCGATGTCGATGCAGTTTCCCTTCTCGTTGATGATCTCAAGGCTAAGCTCGATGACATGAAGATCCCCGATCCCGACGAGATCCCGTCCAAGGCCGACATTGAGCAGCTGACCGGCCTCATCCACGAGTTCCGCGACAGCCACGAGAAGATGAAGGACACCTATGAAGAGGACATCCTCAAGACCGCGAATAACTTCGACGATCGCCGCAAGGAAGCCGAAGGCCTTGTTGAGAACATCACCGAAGTAAAGACTGCTCTGGATACCATGAAGGAGGAAATCTTGACCAACTTCAACGAAGGTGGATCCGTCGAAGGCTTGAAGACGTCCCTCACCACCCTTCAGGAAACCATTGGCGCAAACAACGTTACCGCTGACGTCAAGGAGTTGATGGAGACTTTGACCCGCGAGTTCGAGCGTGCCCACGGTTCCATTGAGGGTCTCCAGAACGATCATGCCGAGAAGTCCGCCCTTCACCTCGAGAAGCACGATGAAGTCAAGGGTGCCATCGTGGCTGACTTCACCGAGAAGCTGGAGGAGAAGTTCAATGTCTTGATGGCCAAGTACGATGATGCCCAGCTTCTCGCCGACGAACAGGCTCGAGTGATGAAGGAGAAGGCCGAAGAACAGGAGAAGATCCTCGAGACCACAAAGACTATGGCTGACGAACTGCGCTTGACCATTGACACGCTTGGTGCCACTATTGCCGGCATGAACGAGCGTTTCGAGGAGCACCAGACAAAGATGGGTGCCGACTCAGCCACTGCCTTCGAGAAGCTAGATGACTCGCTGGAAAGAATCGACGGCGCTGTTGCCAAGATCGAGGAGCAAAAGCTTGAGGACAAGTCCGAACACTCTCACACCCGTGATGAGTTGAAGAACATCGAGAACATCTTCACCGGCCTTCAGGACGAGATCACCGAGCACAATCCCAAGTTCATGATGGCGCTACGCGAAATTGAGGCCCTCGTCAAGGCGCACTACGACCACGCTCAGAAGTCAAAGGAAGAGGCGGACGAGCACACTCGTGCTATGCACGATGAAGCTAAGGCTCGATCTGAAGAGATCCAGAATCACTTTGCCAACCTGCCAAAGCTTCTGCCTGCTCCCGTCCCCGAGCCTGAGAAGTATGACGACGCTCCTGTACAGGAGAAGCTCGACAAGTTGCTTGCCATTGAGCCTTCTGCGACATACGACGATGCCGCTATCCAAGAGAAGTTGGACAAGCTCCTCGGCCACGCAGATGATGCGACCAAGGCAGCCGGTCAACTTGAGCGTCTTGATGAGATCCACGCTCAGGTCAAGTTGACAGCTGTCGAAGTCGGCGACTTCGTTGCCAAGCAGACTCAGCTCACCCTCGAGGGTAACGAGTCGAAGGAGCGTGAAGCGGAAGAGCTTGCCCTTCTTGTCGAGCGACGTTCTGCTCAGAAGGAACAGCTCGAGGCCGAACTCGAGGACCTTAAGATCGAGAAGGGTGCTTACAAAGAGCAACTTCATGCCGAACTCGATGACTTGAAGGCAGAGAAGGACCACGTTCTGCAAGAGCTGAAGGAGGAGAAGGCACGTGTCATGGCTGAGCTGAAAGAAGAGAAGGACCGTACCATGCAGGAGCTCAAGGAGGAGAAGGACTCTCTGCTTGCCATTGTCGCTTCACTACAAGCAGAGCGTGAGAACCTTGCGAACCAGAAGGTTCGCCTTACTGGTGAGGTCTCGTCACTGCACACCGCCCTTGACATCCGTCGCGAAGAGCTACACATGATGGACGCCAAGGCAGATGCCCTCGAGCGTCGCATCTTGAACGGCATCATGGACCACTCCCGCGCCCTGATGATCGCCAAAGGTTCAAAGAGCCCTAGCAAGCTCAAGAAACGTATGAGCGTCGATGATGGAGCTGACCGTTCACTGCCTCCAAATGCAGCTGCCAACGCCATCAACATGGCTCTCAAGCCTCGTCCTGCCATTCGTCGCAGTGCACCCAACAGCTCTGCAGACCGCCGCATCTTCTCTCTGAGCCAGATCAGCGGCAACGCTCCTCCTGCAGCAAAGACTCACCTAGCACCCACCGCGGCAAACAACAGCAGTGGTCTCAAGCGCGCTCACTCTGTCAAGACCAACCCTCGCAAGTCATCCTGGAATGGCCGCCCTAGCGCTGTGGTCGCCAACAAAGAGAACGCGCCGCTCATCGAAGAGGCCGAGCCGGAAACAGAGATTCAGGCACCGGCATCAGTCGCCCCTTCCACCATTGCCGAAGACGTGCAGAGCGAGACGGGCACTGAGCGTCGCTACAGCGTCGCCAGCGAGTCCAACTACGCTGAGAGTTACGCCGAGGGTGAGACACCTGGTGATGACGGTCGCTCAAACTGCGGCAGCGAGTACACCTATGGCTCAGGATCGTACATGACCGGCAGCGACATCGACCGCCGCACATCGTACGGTTCGACTGTTGCCCGCTCTGCTGCTCCCGCCGAGAGCGCCGTCGACGGAGCTTCCGAGTCCGAGTCTGAGTTCGAAGAGGAAGATGACGACCAGACAGCCAGGCTCGACGCCTCGGAGGTCTCTGGCGTCACCGGATCCGAGGTTTCTGATATCACGGCCTCTGAAGTCTCGGACATGCCTATGCCCACCGAGTCAGCTATCGATCGTGCGGTAGCTGCCGTGGCGGAGGAGATGAAGGTCGACCCTAAGAGCTTTGCTCCGACTGACTCTGGACTTGGTAGCGAGCTGCCTACTGCTGCGTTGGATAACGGCACGCTGGTTGATGCGGATTACTTCCGGCGCGCGGCTGAGGAGGAGAGCGTGGTGGGGAGCACAGTTGGTTGAATAAGATCATTGTTTGGGAAGGGGAGGATTTTCATCACAGCCGGACAGCTTCGCACACTTACTGCTCGTTTTATTCCGATGAACCCAAAAGCCTCGACTCGCTTTCGAAGGGGGAAGACATCACTCGCTACTTGGTTTGAGATTTGAATTTGCCGCGAGAGCTTGAGTTGGTTTCTGGATACAAAGGTGACGAGTATCGGATGGTCGCTGCTGCTGGGATTGAAACGGAAGTGTGTCGGATATGGAGACGTTGGACGTTCATTGTTCTTGTACGTATGTATTGGTTTCGCTTGTCAAGGCGTAGAGGCTTGGGCCATTTCGGAGTATCTGGGATGATGGGTTCGGGGGAGTTGAAGTTGGAGTTAGTCTTTCGTCAAGCGTAATGCAGTTTATCACTGTTCACTCGATTCGTCTTGTTGCTGTTTTCAGTCGTGCGATGTGACATGTTGCGATACGCTGCGATATTGTTAGCCGATGTATAACAAGCATCGGAAAACGAGTCAACCATTCATTCGCTGCTAAAACTACCATGTGCTACATGTCATGCAACGCGCCGACCTCACTGAGTATTAATCAAATCACTTTTTCCAACGCCCTATAATTATGCACTCCCTCCACCATGTACCATCAGCCATCCGCCGTCTACAAAGTCACAGTCCCATTCGTCTGCGCATTCGCCTTAGCAACCCTCTTGCTCATGAAATCAAAGAATGCGAATTGCGACGCGCCGGCGCCGAACTCGTACACGAAGCGCGAGGCCAGGTACGAGCCAAAGATGGCGCGGAGGTAGTTGTCTGGGACCTATGAGGTGTTAGCATTCATGGTACATGAGCATTGCCCTCGCTGACGCTTGGGACGGGAAGGGGAAACGTACCCTCTCGATAATCTTCTCAAGACCAATCTGCTGCAACAGCAGCGGTGGCAGCGCCTCGGACAAAACAGAGTGGCGGAACACAATGTTGTTCCACAAATCGGTGTTCTGCAGCTCTTCATCCAGCTTCGTAATCGCGTTCGACAGCGTATCGGACAAGATGCTGCGCGGCTGCCCTGTGGCCTGATGTTCGCGCCAAATCGCCTCAAACTCCAAGCGCGCGTTGTTCTGGATAATCTTCTGCACGCCGGCGACATACCGGTTGTAGAACTCCGGCGCGACCCCGTTGGCGTCGACGCACATGTGCTTTACAAAGGACTCGTCATCGAAGGAGAGCGAGGCGAGGACTTCGAGCGACGAGGAGGTTACGCCGCCCTTGTTTGCGCTGGCGTCTTTGTACAGGATGCAGCCAGCTTTCTCGAGGCGCAGTTTGGCGTCTTGAGTGATGAAGAGGTTGGCGCCTTCGACGAGGTAGGGGATTATGCATTTGCCGTCGACGATGAGCTTGTTTGCTGATGACAAGTCGATAGATTCGGGACGGCCACCGCAGGGGACGAAGGTGTCGTATTGAATATCGCTGCGCAGGTGGAAGGTGTTGCGGAAGGTGGTGCCGTTGTATACTAGGTCGCCGGATGGGAGGCGGACGTTCGTGTCGTCGACGAGCACGCGGTAACCTTGCTGCGATAGCTTGGAAACGTCATAGTTGTTGATCATCTGTCGGTTCTTGGCGAGGCGGAGCAGCTCGGCGTGGTCAAGGCCGTTCGGGTCGACGAGCACACCGGAGCCGTCGACGATGGAGACGTACTTCTCGTTCGAGAGGAGAATCTCGTTGGAGCCTAGATCGCCGTCTGGACCACCGGTCTGCAGTTTGCGGACCTTGCTGGGGTCGAGGTTCAGCTTGCGGTAGATACCCAAGACGTACTCGCGGACAGACAGGGTAGTCATGCCATAGCGGTCATGGGGAATACCACCCAGCTTGGGGCTCTTTCCAGTAAAGAACGACTTCCACCATGGCGCACCTCGAGCCCTAGCGTGCTCGGTTGCCCAGTCGACGAGATCGGCGGTGTTCTCATCAGGACCCATGAAAAGAATTTCCTTCTTGCCGTGCAGATCGACAATGGGGTCCTTGATTCCGGGGCTGCTAGGAGGCAGCAGGAGATCGAGAATACTGTCAATGTACTTCTCAAATGCACCAGCAGCTTTATCCTGGTGCTTGAAGTCAAGCAGTACGACACCCTTGGATCCACCTTCGGGGATATCCTTGTTCTTGCGCTGCTGGGTGTTTGCCAGGTTGTAGTTCTCATCGAACAGCGACCGTGCGTTGATCGAGTACGCTTCTTGGCTCCTCGACTTGACGATACGAATACCACCACGAGCGATGTCACGGAAACGGAGATGGAAACCACGGAACTCTGATCCAATGACAAGGAACATTCCGTACAGAGGCTGGGGGTACTCCGAAGGTGGGAGGAAGTTCGGGTTCAAGCGAAAGCTGACAGCAACCTTTGTGGGGGTGTAGAAGTTGGTCTTGAGGACGGAGTTGTTGAAGATCCGGAACGAGTTCATGACCATTTCGTGGTGATCGTTGACGACAGCCTTGTTGATGGTGTCGGTCAGCTCCTCACTGGTTTGCACCTTGTCAATCTGGAGACGCAGGTAACTCAGTGTGGGCAGGAAGTCGTCCTCTTTGCCTCGTGTCTGGACGTAGTGGGTGTTGGCGAACGACAGGTACAGGCTGTGCACCAGATCAGGGTACGAGTTGATGATCTCGAGGATGTAGTCTGCGGTGAAGGTCTCAGCACGCAACCTGCGCTTCAACTTGGAAAGCAGCTCGGCGTGCGCGCTGTTCTCGGGATTCAAGATCGATGAAAGCGCCGTGTACTCGTTTCCAAGACGGTTAAGGAAGTGAGTGATGAACACCCAGACGCAATGCGCGTAGATGGTCTCCTGCAGACTCAGCCTGCCCGTAGCGAACAGAGTCTGGAACTTGTTCTGAGGAATACAGTACAGCAAAGAGATCTCCTTGATGATCTGGTGAATCGAGGCCTCGATGGGAGGGTGCTTGGCGCCAGCAGCGCCGGACAGAGGACTGAGGTACAAAGACATGACTGTGTACCCGTTCGAGAACTGCTCAACGTACTTTCGCGAAGTGGTCAGACCGTAGTAGTGGTACAGATCGCTCAGCGCGCTGAACATGCCGAGAGCAGAGCCCTGCTTGTAACCAACAACCAGACGCTTGTCCCGCGAGCCCTCAATGTCGAACCACTCGATGACCGGGCCAGTTCGCTCAACAGCGACCTCGAGCGCCTGCTGGTAGATTGCCTTGGTGTTGGCGGTAGCCTTTTGCAAGAAGCGCTTGTCGCCGATCTTCTCGACATCGGTCTCGGTCTCACCCGGGTTGGGGTTCTCGAACTCGCACTGGTAGACGAAGTAGCATCGCAGCTGCTGGTCGTCACTGCCAGGGAGCGGGCTCGTCGATCGGAAACTCTCGACGCGGTATCCCGCATTGCCCTTCGAGTTGTTCAGGTACTTTGTGTCGATGCGCTGCTCGTAACGCGGTCCGTCGAGAACCGAGACACCGGGCCTGCTGGTGTCGATGTACACAGCGTGGTCCGCAGCCTCCTTGTCGAGCCTTATTTCGAGACGCTTGTCGTCGCGGGCGTAGGCAGCCACCTTGGCGGCGTAAAGCGAGTGGATGTGGGTGACGATGGCCTCGACTGACTCGGTAGCGAAGTACATGTCGTCGATGCCGAGCTCGTTGTAGAACCACTTGACCTCAGACTCAACGAAGTCCGGGGGAATGAAGCCCTTGTCCTCGATGCCGTCCATGACAGCCTCCATCTGCTGCTCCTTTCCCTCAAACGTGGGTGCAACATAGCCAGAGCCGCTTGTGCCTTCTTGCGGAATGACACGCGGTGTCGAGTGTCCAGAGCCGGGCACGCTCAGATGGGTAGGCATGGGCGACGGTCGTCGGTCGGGCGTGCGAACAACCTCATTCAGCAGCTTGTGGGCCACCGCCTGGGCGCCGTTTACTGGTGTAGACGCCATGATGTGTGTATGTTGTATAACGGGTGTATGAATGCGGAGGGAAGCTCAAATTTGTAGCTTCGTTCAGACCGTCAAAATGTTCAAAAACGCAGCGAATGGCTTGCTTGAAACTACTTGGCTAGAAATGGGTTACTTGGCGGGGTTGCCAGAGAGTTTGGGCGAGTGTAATCCGTCCCGTCTAATGTGTGAAGCGTTCAGTCGCGGGGTTTCGTGGAGGGGCCGCGCGCTGGAAACTACGCTGCGAAAAGGAGCGGAACCGTCGAACGCGTCTGAGATTCGGTCAGTTTGCTGCCAATGCTTGCCGTCAATGCAGATGCAGGGCCGAAATGGCCGCCCATTCTCCTTTAAACTCTGCTCGCAAGCTGAGCTCATGAGGACCACCGGAGCCACTATTTTTGGTTGCAGCATGACGCAGGACTAGCTTACCTTGAGAGCCGCAGATCCACACTGAGCCGCGCGAGCGAGGTGAGCCGAGCAAACAAAGGCACGCGAAGCCGCGAGTCTGGCAGGAGAACCCGACGGAAACTTGGATGCACTCGTGAAGGTAGATAGCGAGTGCAGCTGCAATTGGCTGCTGTTTACCGCTCTTTGCTCAGAGAGGTGCTGACCGCGTGTATTTCAGTGCAAGGCTCTCAGGAGTCGCGCCGGTGAATGATGTCTCGGTGCGACACTACAATCTTCAAGGGTGACACGGGGATCGGATTCCAGGGGCCTTGAGAGATAAGAGATGGCAGATGATGGGTGACGATGAAGGGGGTAATGATGGGTAGCCGAAGATGTGCCCTCTTGCTCATGGCAGTCAGCCATCTCTTATACTTGTCCTCGTAGTACCTACCTGTGGTCAGCCGGGGGCTTCACGTAGAGCCGCTGAGCATGCTGATGGGCCGCCCTGAGCCGGCAGCACTAAGGTTTCCCCAGAATTTGCTAGCGCCATCCACGGCTGCATCTGATCGCAGGGGCTTCACGTAATAGCCAACGCCGCCTCAAAACATGACCTTGAAAATTTAAAAGCCTCAGTCACAGCATCCAGACGTGCAGGGAATTGCGCGATATGGCGCAGCCGGCGTGTATGTTGCGTGTGAGAGGTGGAGATGCCAATAGTCGAACATGCACCGAGGCGTGAGTACCACCACACGTGCATGAGCGCGGCTCCGCACTTCACTGCCTTAGTTCACGATGCTTGGCTGTGGAGTTTCGAAGGGGTAATCGCGAACATTCGATTACCCCTTTCGGAGCTACGCAAAGATGCGTCCACGTGCAAGCGCACGGCCAATGACCCAGTGCTAAAGGGACACGTACAGTCTCATCGAAGTCACGATGTTTGAGCCGGGACCAGCTCCCGTAGTTGGAGACACTCCAGCCGCATTCGTCCCGTGGCATCCGATGCATCGTGACCACCGTGACTTATTTTGAGGAGTGGCGACACACCGCTTGCAAGTCACGACGTCTCTTTTGGCGTTAGAAAGGAGGTTAAGTTTAGATTCAGAGTCCAAGCGAGAAGCCTCACGATGCTCGCCACAGCATGAGTCTTACTCCCTGAACCATCGTAAGGACAGTGCATTGTAGTCACCAGACGCATCTTTACGAATCTACTGCGTATCTAATTCTCATCGCCATCGTACTCGCTCCCATTGACAGTCAGCAAGACCTTGTATCCTTCTCCGCTGACCCAATTCTTCTTCTTGCCCGCCTTGCTAACCTTCCTGAGCGCTGCATTCAAGCCCTCATCCAGCTCATCAATCTCTTTTCTAAAATCGAAGTCAATACACAGCTTCTCGTTCCCCTTCTTCGTGACCGTCCACTGCGTTTTGATGGCCACACGCGGCTCCCTAATTGCGCCTGCGGGATACACAGCAGCAATGACGGCAGCCACGCGGCCGAGGTACATGCACCACCACTCCATACCCTCTGGAAGCAGGCGCAACATGCGCTTGTAGAAGTCCTGTTCGGTCGGGCTGATGGAACCGTAGCCGCCGTAGCGCTCGCACAGCAGGATAGCGAGGAGGGCGCGGTCCTTGTGGCTTGCGCCGTGGGCGGTGGAGAAGATGCCTGTTGTTGTGCTTCGGAGGGCTGAGCCGCCGCGGAGGTCTTTCACTTGTGCCATGTGGGCGAAGACCCCCTGGACGAAAGCCGTGACGAGTGGTGTGCTGAAGAGAGGTTTAGAGCCTGGTGAGGGGGCAGGGATGGCAGAGAAGAGGAGGTCGACTAGCTGTTGCATTGAGGGCGGTGCGTAGGGTCCGGTTGCGGTGACGAGAGGGCTCTCGGCGCGGTATTTTGGTGACATCTCTGCGAAGTGCATGCCCTCTCGAACACCACCCTGGCAGAAGTAGACGTTTGTGAGAGTAGGGAGAGCTTGAGCCAGACATTCAACGAGGAAGGCGACTGCGGGAACTTGGCTTGCTCGTCGTGCTGATACCCGGAATATTTCTGGTGTATCGTCCTGCGTCACAGCAGCCTTTACGGACATCGTATCTAGGAACGTGTCTGTAGAGGTCCGGAAACCGTTGATGATGGGAATAGGGTATGGCTTGATGGCATGTTCTGACATCAACACAAAGCCCCATCCACGGAAACCGCCTCCTGAAAGGTAGAGATGGAGGCCTTCACGAGACCGAAGAAGCTCCTGAGGAATGTCGATATCTTGCACAGCAGCCTTCAGATCACTGATCACCTCCTTTGCGGAAGCCTGATACTCTTTGCTCTTTCTTTTTCCTGCAGCTTCAAGCCGCTGCATGAGGGCCGCTGCACCATACGGAAGGCTTACACTACCTGCTGGGCTCATCCTGATGTCGCCATTCTCCGTGATGATCCAAGTAAGCTGTGTGCTCCCACCTCCAAGATCCATCATCAAGCCTCGCACATTCTCGTAGGAGCTTGCCACACCCAGCGCTCCAACCTTGCCTTCCATCTCTTTAGGCAGGAGCTCTACAGTCCATCCTGTGGCTTCTTTGATCGCAGCTCGGTATGCTTCAGAGTTGATTGCTTTACGCGTCGCCTCTGTTGCAACTATGCGAACTTGATCATCAGGTACGCTAAAGTCTTGACATGTTGACTTGAAACGTAGGAGTGATTTCACGACTTGTCTGATCGTATGCTCAGGGATAGGTACAGCCTTGCCATCTTCGTACTGCGCATCGTAAAGTGAGATCGCTGCACGATCAAGGTACACAGTTGGTAAGATGCGTTGAGTAGCTGGCGAAAGATCCGTTATCGAGAACCGAATGCCGTTGCTTCCCATATCCACCAGTCCATGGTAGAACTGCGACCTCTCCGCATGTCTCTGTGCCATGGTGTGCGGTTGAACCCCAGTTTCTCCAGGTTTGCAGCGTACCGGTGCCGAAGTACGCTAGTCAGGGCAACCGGTGCAGAGAATGGCGTGCAATGGCGCGTTTCGAGACCCTGGTCGTAGCCACGTCCGACGACGTTTCTATTACCCCCGCGAAATGTCGAAACAAGAATAGAGAATGCGCTATGACTCCGAAAGGATCACGACTTGAGTGCTTGCGTTTCCGAGCAGTTTCTGTTACCCCTCTTTTACATAAAAGTCGGCCTCGGAATGCGTCTGGTGATGCGCCAATATTTAATGCTGAAGAACGTGTGTCTGGGATGACGTTTGGTTTGGCTTCGTTCCTGCAGGTAGAAAATTCTGACGCTAGTCGAATGAGCGACCAGCTACGCGAGTCTAGGGTTAGCTTGATGTGGGGTGTACCAACATTGGTATACGATTCCGATAGAACATCACTGTTGTCTTTCAAACATGTTTCGCTGGGAAGCTGCGCCAATGTCGTGATCTTGTATGATACTTTGTATATCAAGACCAAAACCGTTTCTGAAGTTCCGAATTTGAGCGACGGAGCCATAGCTCTACTGCGCCTTTGTAGGCTGAGCAGGCCGCGCTGGCCTCAGCATCCGGCCACACTCGATAAGGAATTGACGCTCGAAGAAGAGAACGTGTACAGCGTACAGACCAGCGACTGCACCCATGCTGACCAGCTCTCCAAACACCCCAAATCTAGCAAGGTACTTGAATCCGGGTCTCATCTGCATCAAAGTAGGAACGATGACCGCCGGCGCAAGAGACGTAATCGATGGTAAGATGTCCAACAGCTTGAAAGGCGTTCCTCTGCGGCCAAAAAACCTGTTGATGAACCACGTGTTCCAAATGATACGCAGTGCCATATTGACTGTGTTCGCAAGTACCACCCCACTGCCACCGAGCTGCAATTGTCCAAGAAAGAACCAAGCACTACCGGCGAATGCAGCGAAGAAGAAGCCCATGGAGATTGACTGCGCATATAGCTCTTTGTTTGTAGCAACAGCAGCCACGAACCCTTCTGTAACTCCATTGATCGCCAGGAAGGGTATGTAGTAGCTGTACGTCGCAAGGACGTTCGACGCGTTCGTTGCAGACCACTTCTTCCCTGCGACAACAAAGAGGAGAAGTGGTGCGAGGGTCGGACCCAGAGCAATGGCGAACAGTGATATGATCGAGTACAGACGCAGGATGATGGTCAAGACCTTCGCTGCTTGAAAAAGATTGCGCTTCTGCTCTTGCGACTGCTGCCCATTGTCCGTGTTCTTTGCATCTGGCGCTGTTTCGGAGCTCGCGCATAACTTCGCGAACATGTTACGGCTGCTCTCTTCGATGGGCTGGAACAGCATGCGGGCAATCAGACCTCCATAGTTGGACGCAAGAGCGTAGGCGCCCTGGTCAGCGAGTGACGTGTATGTCGTAATTAAGAGCGCGTCTCCCTGTGTCAGGATGTACTTGAGGGCCGACTGCAGGGTCAGAGATCCCGTGAGCCGGAGAAGAGGTGTCGAGAAGTACCTGAGCGTGATGGAAGTATCTTTCGTGGACGGAAGCTGGCTCGGAAGAAGCGTAAACTTTTCATTGCATGCGACTGGCCACATGTTGTACAAATACGCAACCAATAGTCCCAAAGCGTATGCCAGTTGACCAATTGCGAACGGCAAGACTCCAATGTCGACACCGATGCGACTCGCCAACATGGCGGAACCGCAAGTCCCAAAACATCGAAGGAGAGTCGCAGTGCTCTCAGCGGAAGCGCGAACCTTGTACAGTAACTTCTGCTGTACGGCTGAGAACGACGGCTCGGTCAGAAGCTCAATGATCGTAGCAACGCAGTACAAGCCCAAAGCTTCTACGAAGTAAGGGACATTGGGCGTATCCGATCGAAGCCATAGGTGCGCAAGAAAATATGTCAAGGGAAGCCCGGTGATGACTGCAAGATAAGAAAGATTGACGACGGCTTGCGTTCCATGGGCCTGGCGCTGAAGAGCGACACGTAAGCTCTCGCGCGCAAAGTAAAGCACAGAGATTGAGAAAAGCTCAAGCTGAGCAGAAACTCCAAGAAGCTCTGGAGAGAGGAACCGGAGCAAGATCTGGTTGACGGCGAAGGTGAGGGCTCTCGAAGCCACCTGCAGGAGAATAAGAAAGGTGGCCCCTTTCGCGGAGGCTGACAAAATCGACTGCGACATGGCTGGCTTTACCGTTGCGCAGAAACAGGGACAAAGTTCGAAACAAGCTCAGAAAGTGATCAGGGCGACATGCTGATTGGTGATCAAAGTGATGATGTCGTACCTAACAAGAGTTGTGGTTGGAGATGAGGAGAAGTCGGTGTCCAAAACGGCTAGCGGATTACCTCGCCAGCTCATGGACTTGTTCCCCAGCTCCCCGGAAGCACGAGCATCAGACACGACCTGACTCTTAACTTTCGCAAGGCACACCGCAACATGATGATGCATGCGTCTTCTCGTGCAATTGCTTTCGAGAATGGTGGTTGTCGATTCTTATATTGTTGCGAAGACTGACAGGCTGCTGTTGCGGCCCTTGAAACTAGAAGATGCTGACGACGTCGTTCTGATGCGCAAAGATCCGGAGGTGATGAAGCACACGTAGGTCATGTGCATAGGTTTTCCGCATTGCATTGTTCTCATCGATGGCAGATCCATACTCTCGAGCGATGATCTTGAGAAGACCAAACAATGGATACAAGGTACGTCATATCTCACGGCTTCCGGCACCTGTGGGTAACATCCTCACTTACTCTGAGCAGGCTGCCACGACAGAGACAATTGTTGGAACTTCGTCATTGAGCTCCTGCCATCCAACAAAGCCGACCCCGTAGTTGAGCAGGCCCCGACATATGATACCAAAGCCTTCCCTCAATCCGCCGAACCGTCACGCGAGCACACAGCACCACGCGTCATAGGTCTCATCGGCGCTGTACGAGCACCTGAGGTCGGCTACATGCTCAACGCAGACTACTGGGGTAAAGGCTACGCGACGGAAGCCATGAGAGCATTCATGCCTCTCTTCTTCGACCACTTCTCCGGCGGAGAGTACGAGAGATACGAGTACGCCGAAGCACATACAGATCCAGAGCTGGAGAGTAGCCAGAGGGTTCTTCGAAAGGTCCAGTTTGTGCTACACGAAAAGAGGGAGAAGGACTTCGAGAACCCGATACTTGGGTGGAGGGATACCTTGGTGTTCCGGATGGCTCGTCCTGATGAGGCGGCTTGAGCCTCGTCGCCGGATTTTGGTATGATTCGCATCTTGTCTCAAAAAGTTTTTGTTGTTGAAGGCGTTGTATAGAGCGTAGTTCTGTCTGAGCGCTGTCAAAAGCTGCGAGGCGCATGTATCACCAATGTAGTCCCTTACAAGCCAGTCGTGCTGTCTTTCTGTGCCCATTTTTCATACCATAATGCCTCCAAAGTGTTTCCTCCACTGTATGGAACATGTTGGGTACGTTCTGGAGGCAGTCAGTAACATCTCACTGTCGCTGAGTATCGATTCTCAGGCCTAAATATACGCTTATATCTAATAGAACATGGGAGCGAAGCCACAGTCCTCAATACTCTACTCAACCTTTCAGTCCCTCCAACCACTTCCCAACAACCTTCGCACTCTCCTCCGGCGCCTCCTCCGCCCCAAAATGTCCGATTCCCTCTCCCAACGCATGATGCTGGACATCCACGCCCTCACCCACCCAATCCCTCCACACATCGGGAAACTCATATCTACTCCCAATATATGTCTCACTATATAGCAAAAACAGCGGGACCCCAATCTTCCTCCCCTCTTTCTGATCTTCCTCCTGCCGCTCAACATCTGTCGTAGCGCCGTGCTGATAGTCTTCACAACTCGCCTTCAGCACATGCTCTTGAGCGAAGAATTCTCCGTAGACAGCGAGGGAATCGTCGGCTTTGAACGCTTCGAGACCCGTTTCATTCTTCCCCAACCAAGCGGTGGTCATCTCCTCCAAAAACTTAGCGGGTCCATAGGCGCTTATCATGCGTATCGCGAGATTCACGTTCGCGAGGAAGGGCCAGTGGAAGTAGCCGGTTACGTCTTTTGCGGCTTTGAAGGGGGTCGAGTAGTGCTGCCATTGCGTAGATGTAGGGACCTAACAATGATCATCAATTTTCAACACTTTATAATACTAGGAAAGTAGAGGGACATACAATATCAATCAGACACACACCCCGAATATCGAAGCCTTCTGCGCAGCTGACAGCAAGGCGGTGCGATACTCGTGCGCCGCGATCGTGGCCGATTAGTACGATGGGGATGTCGCCGGCTGGAGGGCTGGAAGAAGTGCGTTTTACTTCTGTTCGGAGCGCGGATAAGATGGCGTTTCCGACGGTTAGTTTGTCATGCTTTTCAATGGCAGCACTGGCGCCATATCCTGGTAGATCTGGTGCGAATATGGGTGCATCTTGGGGGAGAAGAGGGATGAAGTGGCGCCACCTGGAGGGCATAAGTGCCTGTCTTGTTCATGTGCTGCAAGGCTGTTGTGTGCTGGACAGTGCAGCATGCTTTGAGTGGCTTACATGTACGAGCTCTGTGGATAGCCATGAATCAAGACGAGAATGGGTTTGTTGTCGGAGACAGTGCCTAGGCTGCGACTGTATGAGCATACTTGCTCTTTGTTGACGATGGCTTTTGAGAAGCCGAGGCTGTTGAACTTCTCGTCTTGGATCTTGTGTGCTGATGTGGTGGCCATGTTGCAGACGTTCTTGTGTACCAATTGCTAGCTCTTGAGATGTGTCCACGATTTTGGTTGAGGGTTGGGGAACAGTGAAGCGTTTTTCAGATTGGACTCGTGGTCGATGTACTCGGCTGTATGTAGCATTTGTCACGACAAATGACGTAACCCCACGTTCGGCGAGTCCGAACAACACCATACTCCCAGCTCCAAGTAGAGAAGTGTAGTGCGAATAGCTTGATGTGAAACTTCTGAATTGGGTATACTAGACCTGAGATACTGTCAAACAACCCATATCGGCGTTAATCTTATCCACTTCATACTTGCAAATGCAACAGATATTGACCCAATAACGCCATCGCTATGCTCGTGACAACACACAATCGTCTACTGCTCCTTCGCTAATACCATCTTCTCACGCTCGGCCTTCCGCCTAACCTTGCCCTTCTTGGTGTGTCTCCTCTCATTCTCCTCCTTCCTCTTGATGGCCTTGAGCTCATCAGACTTGATCTCACCAGCCTTCTTGACTGCCTTTGGGACGTGTCTGTGACGGTTGATGCGTTTGATCTCAGGCATGTGCTTGTATCGCTCCTTAAGCGCCTCGTCGTATTGCAGCTTCTGCTGCAATGCGAAGGACTTGACACCCTGCCTGGCAGAGGCCTTCGCTCGCCATAGGCGCACATTGCCGTCATCTGAACCACTAAGAACGTAGTTGTTGTCTGGCGACCAGGCGACGGAGAAGACGCGCTGCATGCGCTTGGTGTAGTACATATCGCGGGAGTGTCCCTTCTGTCGCTCCCACAAGCGGATCGATCGGTCGTAGGAGCCAGAGACTAGTTCTTCTCCTGTTGGGCTGAACTCGACGCTCATGACGGCAGCAACGTGACCCTTGAGAACTTGCAAGGCGCGTTTCATATTTCGCATGTCGAAAATCTATGTCTTGTGAGCTTGTGTCGTCATGTGCATGTTGGTGGAGCTTACGTAGCAGTTGTGGTCCTCGTTCGCAACGGCGAAGTTGTACGCCTCCATAGGGTTCCAAGAGATGCAGTTTGAGGCGAAATTGAGGACTGTTCGGTGGAGAGGAGAGCTTGTGCGCATGTCGTACAGGACGATGGCGCGATCAGTTGCGCACGACGCCAGAATCGATGTCTCGACCTGGTTGAAAGTGACATGGTTGATCGTATCGATAGCTGAGGGCCAGACGAGGTTCTGTACTGGCGCACCTGATGTGCGAGCAGTATCATATATGGAGACGACGTTCGAGGCGGCGGCAAAAGAGGGTATCGATCGGTGGTGCGAGACAGATGTGAAGGCGGCATTTCCGTGCCATGTTGCTTTCGGCGGCGACTTGGAAGGCTGGGCATATGGCTCGAACATCTGTATCTGCTTGTCCGCACCACAAGTAATCAAACGCTTGTCGCGCGTCCAACACATGCCCTTAACCATATTCTCGTGCGCCTGTGCCTGCCACTTCTCTTCCCTGCTCGTGAAATCCCATACTTTTACGACGCCATCTCCACTGCCACTGGCGAAGTGCTCGAGAGAATTGGGGTCCTTGGCAAAATAATAGACACCGTCTACGTGACCAGGCTCGAAGTCCCCAAGGAAGGGTTGCGCGAACATGCGCTCGATCTTGGTCGCATTGAGTGCTCTCGTGTACTCGCGAGCTCGTTCGAAAGGATGCTGGTTAGGGTCCAGGTTGCGAGTGATCTTTGCGACATTCGATCCGGGTGCTTGTGCCGACGATGTCGACCGGCTGAGGGCTTTGATCTTCATCTTCGGTGTGATGCTGCAAATCTCGCAGGCGCGGCGAACATGGGCAGCTCGAACTCGAACTTTTTTGGCAGGGTCGAGGTGGGGCAGCCAATCAGCGCAGCGCAGTGGAGCGCACCTGCTGTTGCTCGGCGCCGGACAAACTCGCTTCCGTTTCGACGAAATCGCTTAGCGCCCACTCTGGCGAATTCAGCTTTGGATGCACGCGAAACCAGCCTTTGCTCACTCGACTAACCCACCAGCATCCCCGCCAGCAAGATGAAGTTGTGAGTGCACCCCGAACCCCGACGACGAATGCGTAGAAGATGGACAGGAATTTGCGAGGGCTTTGGAGTGCGCCAGGAGACCTGCAATACTGCAATGCATCGATTGGCGCACCATGGCTGCAGAACCTCGAATTGCGACTGAGCACCTGCTAACATCTTTTCTTCAGCCTCAAGGTCGGACGCGTTGTCGTACGTTGAAACCGCTCGAACTGACCTCCGTCGCAATTACTCACAGTCCGATTAGATCATCACCCGCGGTCGCTATGCCGGCAAGAAGTGCGTGATCATCTCGCCCCTCGACAACGGCACCAAGTCGCACCCCTTCCCCCACGCACTCGTCGCCGGTGTCGAGCGCTACCCCCAGAAGGTTACCCGCCGCATGTCGAAGAACAAGCAGGCCAAGAAGAGCAAGGTCAAGCCTTTCGTTAAGCAGGTCAACTGTAGGTGAACACAGGAAGAGGGAGGAGGCACAAGGACCGCGCTGATAGACGCAGACACCCACATCATGCCCACCCGCTACACCATCGAGCTCGAGAACCTGAAGGGCACCCTTACCCAGGACACATTCAAGGAGGTCTCGCAAAGGGAGGAGGCCAAGAAGACCGTCAAGAAGGCTTTCGAGGAGCGATACACTTCCGGCAAGAACAGGTGGTTCTTCACACCGCTGCAGTTCTAGGTTTTCCTTCGGTTACGGCTGGGCGCAGACGGGGCATGATTTGACACGTTAGATCCTGCATGAGCATGTCGGACGATATCATAGGGTGGATCAGGTGCAAAAAGCCTGCCATCCAGGCGTGTACTTCGGCTTGATAATCAAAGCATGAAAATCCGGCATCGGGGTCATTCACGAGCTCATGAATTGATGTTCCCTCACAACATGTGTTCGTACAATCTTCTATGGGGTGAGGTGCTGACAATACAGGCTACGCATGGACAAACGATGCAGCGTTCCACTACGACCGAACAAACACAGCCGCTTTTTCAGCACACCGAATCACAACATTGGAGCAGCGACGCCAGAAGCCAACGCCCTGTGGTGAGCACATGAAACCTCCAATCACTGCGGCACGGCCTTGAAGGACGTCGTCTGTCCCACAAGTCACAGCTGTTAGTGACCCCACCATCATCTACCACGGCTACAGCGACGACTTGGTAACATCGCAATCTACATGATTTCTACGATAGCATTGCCTGACCGATGCCGCCGACTCCAAGCACGACGGCAAAAGTCTACATTCATCGTCTGCATGAGCATCCTTCAATTACAGTACGTAACTCCGACTTCTTTCTACGACTGCAGTGATGATACCTTGTACCCCTTAACAACCGTGTGGGCCAAACTTTAATTCCAATTGTTCCTACTGAAACGCAGTCTCGCCTCACTTTCGACACTACCATCAATAGCTTGAGAATCACACACTGACTAGTGACAGAAACTTCGCTTCCAACGACCTCATTGTGCCACTACAATCATCAGAAGACAAGCAAAGTGCGACGAGAGGCCAGTAGCTGTGAGATGAAAAGATTGTGAGAAGAAGCGGACCGTCATCATCATTAACCGATCGAACCCTACTCGAGGGTGGATGTACTTTCCAAATTCACTACCCCAAGACAAATAATGAAAGGTATCTAACAACTTCGCCACCACATCCCATTCCCCACTACCCATCAAGCCGCCGGTGCACTCTCAAGTGTCACCAGCCCCGGCGACGGCGGCGCATCCTCATCAAAAACATGCACCGTCGCCCTGGCCGCAATCTTAACCTTCGCACCGGACCTCTTCCAAAAGCAAGCCTCATGAGCGCAACTCTACTGCTTAACCTCATCAGCTTTCTTGCTCGCCTGCTGTTTCCCCTTGTTCCAGTACTCCACAGCGAAGTTGAACGCATCATGCACTACCTTCAACTCCGTGCTGATTCCCGCCTTCACTGTCTTGACAACACCCTCCGGGCCCTGTGTCTTCTTGTATTCATCCTGGTATGTACCGACGACGTATACGACCGGACTGAAGGCGAGCTCCTTGAGCTTGTTTGTGTCTTCCTTGACGATGGGGACGCGCTGCTCGAGCTTGCTGAGAGACGAGTCGCCCAGCTCGTCGGCGCGGGTCAGGTACGGCGAGATATAGGAGTACGGTGTCTTGAGGTAGGGGTGGAAGGGCGCGATGAAGGAGTTATAGGTGTTGTGGAAGAGGGCGAGGGACTTGGCGCCGTAGGGGTTGGACTTGTAGAACTCGACGGAGTCGTGGACGACGGGATAGGAGTGCAGATGCTGTGACTGTTAGCCAGTGTCTCGTGATCAAGATGTTAGACTGTGGTGTAGCTTTGCACATGTGCTGCTGTCGAGCTGACTGATTGGGTGGTTGAGTGCGCCGAAACGTTCTTGTGTAAGCTATACAGGACTCGCGGGGTAGTACGTACCGAAAGAACCCTCGACTGCGGTGTCTCACCGTTAGTCAAGGGGGCACTGTCATTGCTCATGTCGCCGTTTGTGGTAGGCTTTTCAGCGTGTGGTGACATTAAGTCTTGTGATGGTTGTGTTATGGTGTTGTGGTGTGGTGAAAGGTGGGATAAATGCTGCACAGCTGTCAAGAAGGAACAGAATTATAGTTACAACGAAGTGGTGTCAGGGGAGAATTTTCGATTCGTCCCAACGTACCTGTTTATATGCGGGCTGCTCGTGGAAGCGCGATGATGCCTGTGCCTGTGCGCTGAAAGCGGCGCTTGGTGTCAGTGAATTTGTTGGATTAGCATGTGAAAGTGGGTTGCTGCTTCCTTTATCGATAAGAGAAAGAAATACCTTCAGCCTTACCGTGCTCGCTCTTTCTTCTCAATTCGAACAGCAAACACAAGGATATAAAATCACAGCTGCATCAGTGTGACGACAGAGGATTAAAGAGCGTAGTCTCCAACGTTCACTGTGTATACAACCTGCTATCAGCCCAGGAATGTCGCGACATTGGGTGATACATTGACGCACCTACAGGGCTGCCTGGCATGTGAAAGAGAGTTTTGGTACGATAAGGTCTCCGCCGCGTCCGCGGCGCCTCGTCCCGTTGGTAGATCGCGTCCCTCTGTCGATGGTTGAGTGAAGGGACCCAATTATCAAGCCGGTCAGATGCACAAATCTGCCCATATCGGTGCGCACTGCCCTGGTACGCAAGAGATGATGGTGACGAGGCAATTACCATTGATGGAAGCGGGCAGCTAAGTCAGCAAAGCTTCCGGCGAGCTATGAGAGCTGTTCGTGATGCCTCGTCCGTACTGATAGTCGTGTAACATTCGATGCTGTACTTCACCAAATATCCAATCATTGTTGTCTGTATACAGCATCCGGCTTGCCGTGAGCCTCAACAGCTTCCACAGTCCGGAGCAGCGGCCCTCAGATCTGACAGGCTCCACAACCGCTGTCCAAACTGTGAACATCCGATGTAAGACCTTGGAATGGATGAGGAGATGCATGGCGCTCATCTCCATACAAGCGTCGTGTTGCGATGTCAGATCCAATTGGTTCGCCATACGCTTTATCAGAGAGGAATTGAGCAATCGTTGGCTGCCTTGGGACGGTTCGCCAAACCCAGCAGGCGCGTCGCATGCTGGAGTGCATTGCATCGCATTGTGCAACTCGTCAACGGTCGTTGTTGAGACGCCTAAAACTCGATTCGACGTGGTGGAACATGTGAAAGAGACGTCCCACGGTGATGGTGTCGGCACCCGGGTAGCGTGCCGCCGGCGTCCCGCGATTCAGACCTCGGTGTAGGTCTTTCCAATCCTTACTTACCACAACTGACCTCACGAGATGGCATTGCGGCTCTACAAGGAAGCTTGGCCACCCGAATAGAGATCATCTCCGACTCTCGGTCATTGAAAACACCTGGTGCTCCTTATCAGATGCTGCCAAGCAAGATGCTGCCTCGGCCTGGCAAAGCTTTTCGACCTCGTGAAGTGGCGTGCGCACAAGCAATGCCTGCATTCAGGTACACGCAGCCACAGGGTAACACCACGCTCGTGAGAGGGGACGGGCGTATTTGAAGCATGCACTGTGTTGATCGGATGGCTTAGCGAGCTGAACGAGCGTTGACGATCGGCAATTTGCAAAATTCAGTCGGACGACAAATGCTCTGCTGTGCATGACCGATATCATAGGCATGGAGTGATAAGCGGGGTGCTGACTGCAGCATTGTGGAATTCCGGGGTAGCAATAAAGCTTTGCATGCTGCTGCTCTCCGCGGTATCCAGGAAGGAAGTCGAGAAGGAAAGGAAAAGTTGGGTCTTGAAAGGGGAATCTGCGCGATCTCTCGACGAGGAAGGCATTGATGCCCCAGCACTCCTTCCCCTCTCGATCGATGGCCTCAGACCACAGCTCCATGTATGCACAGTCAACATCCCAAGCTGCTCTCCAATTTTGCTGAGGTCTGTATAGCAGTCTACCAACGCTGCGATCATCGCGAGCACCAAGATCAAAACCACGTACCCAAATGTCAAAGCCAGCAAACTCAAGCCCACAATGCACCTGACCTTGATTTGACGGTATTCACATACCTTCGATGTCAGATTCATCGTGGTGTGTGGACGATAGGATTAAGTATACATCACGCCTGCTGGCCTACAAACCGCCGACTCCTTGCCCCATGTTGCGGGGTGACGTTGCAGCCTTGCATGCGATCTGAACACGAGCAAACTCTCTGGGACGAACCTGCAGGGTGGCTACTGTTCAACAAGTTCCTTCTTCTGGTCGGACGGCTTATGCTTCTGCGATTTGGCACAAACACTACGATGAGCGCATTGGTTCCTGCAACAATGACTTGCGAACGATGCAGCAACCTGCTTACGCGCCCAGCGACTTCCAAGGAGTGAGAAGGTGGAGTATACAAAACAAGATGTCAGCGATGCGACTACCAAAGGTTGCTGAATTTGCTTCCTGATCTGAAGTTTCATGCAAGCCCATTCGGGTCGCTCTCACTTCTCACCATCAATGAGGTTTTTCAGCGGGCAGCGCGTCGCATGGCCTAAATTCGGAAGGGAACGGCTTCAGCAATACCTTTCCCGATCTGGAATTGGGCCTGATGCTCGACCTTGAAGGAAGGCCGCCCGGGCATGAAGGTCCATTCGTAATGTCGATTGGATTGAGTCACAGGGCCGATATTGAAGACCATCCGGCCATACTGGACACCCCTCTGTTGGCACGTCTGCTATATACCGAAGGCAAAGCAGCAAATCCTCTCAGAGCGAGAGTTCCAATTCAAATCACTCCATTGGCCGTCAGTAATGGAGATTCGCAGCGCCTGCAAACAGTCAAAAATTGGCTCGCTGAATGTCGACGATCTCATCCACGATTCAGTCTCGCAACACACTCATGAAATTATGACAACCTTCCTCGTCGACTAATAGATGATACCGATATGAAAAGACCATTGACTTGTTTCGAAGGACGAGATTGTCAACACAACTATCAAGTATGCGACTGTCAGCCACAGGTGGCGATCTGAAAGCATGCCCAAACTCCTGAGGGCCAATTTGCGGATATTTAGACGGATGAATAGGTCTAAATACGCTTCCACCCGTCTTTCAAGACTCTGTCACGCTCTGTCATCGACTCAGTATCAAGGATCTCTGGATCGATGCATTATGTTTGACTCAAGACGATTCGGTTGACCGCGAATCTGAGATTGGAAGAATGGGCAACATTCACTGCCACACCTTCTGCAACTTTAGCGCCATAGCCGCAGCCGAACTCTCGGTAGGACTGTTTGTGGACAAGGATCCTTGGTTGCACACCGCGTTTCCTGTGAGCGCTGAGAGTGAGAAGCAACGTTTCGAGCTATGCGGATATTCCTCGAGCTTTCTCAAAGATATCGATCGTACTGCGCTTCAAAAGCGAGATTGGGTCCTACAGGAACGACTGTTGAGTCCTCGGACCGTGTTCTTTGGCGACCAGCTTTCATGGGGGTGTATGGAGTCTCGTGCCAACGAAACCTTCCCGGGTGGCTTGCCTAGTTATACACCTGGACCTGGAAACTTCAATTCGTTCAAGCTCGACAACCTCTGTGGACTACATGGGTTCCACTCCAGCCCTGTCTGCAACGCTTACGCCTTCAGTAGAAAGATAGTCTACAGACTTTGGCGCACGGTCATCAACAGGCACACTCAGTGTGATCTGACTTTCGAAAATGATGTCTTCCCTGCTCTGTCAGGTCTCGCCAGAATTTTCAAGGAATTCCTAGAGGTTACATATCTCGTGGGGCTCTGGAAAGGTAGCTTGTACGCCAACTTGATCTGGAAGAGATCCTGCAACCCTTACTTGAAGTCAGGACGGGGGCCCGTGCAGACGGCGACGTACAGAGGTTTGCTGACATGCACCGTTCAAGCAACATATGTATGCTGACTACGGTACAGCACCATCTTGGTCATGGATTTCAATCAAAGGACCATCAGGCCTCTTCTTCGAACCTAGATACGATGGCAACCTCACGGAACTTACAGAAATTCTACAATCGACTGTGACGCTGGCCAGCGATGATCCTTACGGTCAAGCCTTGGACGGTCGTATCCGCATGCAAGGTTATCTGAAGCCCGCTAAATCTCATAAGAGCTCCAAAAACCTCGACACACCCTTGAGGCACGAGGGCGTCGGTGAATGGTTCGACGATGGCTACTATGCTCACCGATGCAGGTGGACGACCGGTGCTTCCTTCCTGTCGATGCTGTATTACAGCGCTCACGAGTACAATAATCGACAATGGCTGGCCAAGATCGTTGGCCTGGTTCTCGAGGAAGTCGTTGGCAGAAATTTAACGTACAGAAGAGTAGGTTTGTTCCATCATCTTCATCGGGAGCTTTGCGACAAGTAGATGCAGAAGGAGTGGTATCCAGAGTTGGCGGGTTTTGGCCCACATAATCACGAGCATCAAGATATCACTATCATCTGATTAGGGCGCAGAAGACACTGATCGCAACACCACATAGGGAAAACTGAGAAGCATAAGCGTATAAGTCTGACCGGAGAAGGCAATATATTGCCCACGCTTCGATTCTTAAAAGTACATCGCTGAACAAAACACAACATAATCGGCCGTAAATCCCCTTCTACCCAACCACCACTCTAAATTTCCCCTCTTCGTCCTCCTCACTCCAGTCCTCTCATCAACACCGCCTCCCCCGCCGGCCCCCCATCATCCCGCCCCACCCATCCTCCTCCTTCCACCCATCATACCGCCTCCGCCCATCCTTCCGGGCCCTCCCATACCTCCACTCGTGTGGTGCACAACATGCGTAGTTCCTCCGCCCCGTCCAAAGCGACTTCCGCCAGCCATAGGCATACCAGCGCCGTAGCCGCCGCCACCGCGGGACATGCGTGATGGTCCACAGCCCATTTATGTTTTATATAAGTGTGGGTGGTGGGAGTGGTGTGAAGATCTCGAGCGAGTCGACGCTCTACTAGGTGTTGATCTGCGGGCTGTGCCGATGTTACCGTCGATGCGGGTCCTCTTATATCCTCTCTCTGGATTTCCTGATGAGGGCTGGCAGTAGCACAGCGATAGAAGAAGGGTTATTATACACGTGGTGAGCGTTTAGTGTCTGACTTGGAGCAGATCGCCGGGCTGGGCTTGCAGAGGGAAACCGGCGGATGCAGGTGTGATTTGTTGGGTTTGGTGGTCTTGTCGCCGCTGGTTTGCGGAGACTTGGGCGGCATAGAAGTTGCGATGAGCTCGCGGAGGGCGTGAGAGTTTAGGAGTGAGAGACACAGGGTTGCGGTTTTGTAGGTTGTTGGAGACACTGATTGAATATGTGCCTTTGTAGTCGTTGCTGCTGGTTTGATATGATTTGATATGTCCAATTTCATTGACTTGGAAGATAGCTTTTTGTCAGAGTTCAGTGAAAAACTGTACGCAAAGGAAGAAGTTGAAGATTGTACTGAGGTTGTATTGAGTGAAGCTACAAACAGTATATATAGGTGAGTAGCTGTAAACAACGCTAGTGTGACGTGGCAGTCACTCTCATGGAGGTGAGGTACGACGGGCAGGAGCACCCCAAACCGTGACACTTTTATATGTTGTCTTCACACAAACTGATCCAACGTCGCTCGACTTTGACGTCAGACAAGGCATGACATGTGCCAAATGTTGAACCAAGACCCACCACTTTGTGAACATTCATCACACGCTTCCAGGCCCTCTTGTTAGTAGGCTCTGCATAGGTAGTCGGCTCGGCTAGCGTGCCGGGCATGCTTGGTTTTGGCGGAGCGGAAAGACGGATAGTCATTTATTGGTTGGGAAAAGGTGTTGTGGCGCGGATCTGTGGCGCATGAAGAAGGATGACGTTCGCCGCAGGCTTGGCGCCGTTGACGAGCTGGGGAAGCTGGGTCAGTAGCGCTAGAAATGACGATGCTTATCTTGGAATAAGGACATGTTGTGGAGGTAGAGTTGTGAGTACCATTGAAGAAAAGGAAACAGGAAAGTTGTAAGTTCAGCAAGACAACAATCAAAGGAGTAGAGATGACTTCATTGATCGAACAAAGTCTATCAGGGTATTGTAGCTGCCAAATACAGAACGCCGCGCCCTGACCTTACTATACCTAAATAAGTCAGGTCTATTGTCCCTTAGTCTGCTTCTCTTTGAAGACACGATGTCTTGCCAAAAGCTGTGAGATCATGAAATGAGAAACGTCTTCATCAGCCCAATATGCAAGATGGCTTGCAATGCTGGCGAGGAGGGATATATCGAAAGCCTGTCGCTATGGTCAGTGATCAGCCTCAGCATGGAGAGAGCTTGAACTTACGCCCTCCTGAATGCTGTAATCTACCCTTCCGTTGCTGTTCAGCGCCCTGACTTTCTGCTCCTCCTTCTTCAGTTTCCTACTCCGTTCCTCAAGTTCCTGCCACTCAAGATCTTTCTCTACTTTGCTCACATCTTCAGTGGTGCTGCTCTGCCGTCCCTTCTGGAAGCCAGAGTATAATGTTTCAATCTCAGATTCGATAAGCGTGGGTGGGTGCTCACCATCTTCGCCCGTGGTGATCTGTTCGTTCCCCAGACGCCGTCTACGCTCTTCAGATATAAACGCGGATACCGGTTCGTTGGTGCCTGGAACGGTTGCTGCACCAGGTGCTGAATTTGGAACGGCAGATAGAGGCCGTGAAGAGCGCTGGCCTGAACCCCCGTCCCCAAGTTCTGTGCCGCTGATGCCGAGACTGCGGTTTAGCAATCCGGATGCAATACCTGATCCAATGCTCGACCAGAAGTCTGTAACGCCTTGTCCTACACGCGCACCAATACCCGTGAGACCTTGTGAGGCCGGAGCACCAAAAATTCCTTTCTTGGTGTATGGGAGCGGTTGAGCTTTCAGCCCAGCCATGGCGGGAGAGATGAGAGGCTCGATGCGGTAACTGATTGGGTCGGAAGGATGGAAGATGTTGAATGTTTGCTTGCAAAGCGGGGAGGATGTTGTGATGCCGAACGCATGGTCGCGTTCTGCTGCTTTAGGTGAGAAGGGGTCATCCAAAGGCGTCGCAGGTGTTTCTGGTGGTACGAAAGCTGTGGATGGTCGAGCAGCTATTGTTCGACCCTTAAGCATCTGAAAGAGTCCGATTGGCGACCCCAAAGCATAGAAATCTTCAACCTCGAAGTCAAGCTTTAGGCCCTCTTCGGTGAGGCGACGCTGTTTGCCGGTCCTTGCCTTGGCAGCATCGCGTTGGAGACAGAGGATGTCAAACATGATTGCTGAACCCAAAGAGTGGCCGACCAAGCTGACCCTGCCTTTGAAGGAGGGATTGCGCTCTTTGAACAAGCGATAAATGCGATTCAGCTCAGCGACAACAATGCGGGAGATGTGGCCCTTGTAGGCTGGGCTCTGATACAGCAGGATGTCTAATGCAAGGTCAGTTAAGAAATTACGTACGGCCGGCACGCCATCGACTGTTATGTCCTCGAGGCTTGGGAACTCATGATCTTCATGGTCGAGGTCGCCCAAATCATGCTCCTTGCGATTGTGCTTGAGGCTCTGCTTCGGAAAATCCAGAAGATGTCGCCACACGATAGGAATAACCTGGATACGGCTGTTCTTCGTGTCGGAGTCCACCTCTGAGTTGAGTGCCTGCAAATCTGGAGAGTTGGCGTAGACGCTCTTGAAAGACTTGCGCATGGTGTTGACATCATGGATGAAGTTGATGGACTCCATGCGCATACCCAGGCGCTGTCCGATGCCGTGTGTTACCAGTAGCAGATGCTCGATCTCACGGCCTTGCTCCTGCTTGTCTTGTGTCTTGTAGTCCTCGCGCATCTCCTTCTCTTCTCGTTTGCGCGCCTCCTCCTCTTGCTTCTCCTGGTAGTCGGGTTGCGAAGAGGTCATCAGCGATGATACTTGCCTTTCCAATGTCCTTCTTCTTGACTCCTGAGGTGACTCTACCCCTTCATTGTCCGTAGTCTCTGCATCACAGCCGCCGCCAGATCCAGTTTTTGGAGACTTCTCGTTGTCAGACCCGTAAGCCAAATGCTGTGATGGTGTAGACGGTCGCTCGGCCTCTTTCTTGCTTTTGAGATCTTTGGAAGCATTCCCCTGTTTCTTCGTCTCCTCTGGATCCGTGTAACCACGGATATACCGATAACCAGCATAATGCGCTCCACCGGCAAAGTGCTGGTATAGCGTGCTTCCCATACGTGCCCACATATCGTCAGTCAGAAGCCATGCTGTGGTCTCGTCCTGAAAGGTTACCGTCGAGTTCATGTGAGCGCCGAACAATCTGTGTGTACGTGGAGTCTCAGCAGGAGCATTCGGTGTTGCTGCTTTTTCGCCTGAGCTGGCGCCGTCTTGCTGCTTTGCTGCCTCGCCACGAAGGTTGTCGAACGATCCTCTGGGGGTGACAGGGTTTGAGGTCGAATCTCGATTCAGCCGGCCAAGCTCCTTACGATAGTCGTCACTCACGCCTGCCCCAAATGATACAGGTCGTGCGCGAGGCTGTGAGGCTGATCTCCTCTCCTCTGACTTGCCAAATCGCCATGGCTTGCACTTGAGATAGCCCTCCTCAAGCTGCATGGCGAGGCCTTCATCAACAGGCTCTCCACTGGGGGTGAACCACGTTCCCCGATTAACATCATAAACGGGCCCCAGCCAGTATGAGGGAGCCAACTCGCGGGTCTCAATCTCAACATCGAATAAATAGTCTTCGTTCACAGGGACTTTTGTAGTTTTCGGGGGCTCGTGGGGTGGCTGCGCTGGCGTTACGGGACTCAGAAGATCTTTCCTCTGTTCGACAGTTTCAGCTTCGTCGGCGGTCTTCTGGAAGGCTGTTTCGATAGCACGAGAGTCGCTTTTACTGAAGGGAATCCATTTCTTTGGCTTTGGGAGGGGCTTATCGGGCGTGACGGCGTGCTCTGAAAGTGGTTTTCGTTTGGGCAGCTTTCTTGCGTAAGACTTTGGATTGCGAGACATGCATATTCTGCTTACATCTACAGCATGAAACCATCTCACCGCAAGCGGAGGGCAGTCTCGGGGATACCTCTTCAGGCTCAAGCGGTGTCTTCGATCGACCACATGATCTCCGCCTCGTTGTGTACCGAGCCCGCCAGTGGTAGCATCTTGCTCCTTCTCCTTCTCCTTGCCCTTTGGCTTGTCGGACTCGGCGGTGGTTGGTGTTGGCGGGGGCTTCGGTGTAGCTGCACGTGAACCCCAGGGCGAGAGACCAGCAAGGAAGCCCTGCTTGCTCTCAGCAGGACCTGACATCCTGTCGAACTGCGAGGCGATACCACCTTTGGGTATAAAGCTAAGCCAGCTCTTATGTCGCTGATGTAGAGCTACACGGCTCTTTGGCAGGAGCGAGGGCGGTCGATAAACAACGCGGAGGGGTACGCGACGAGATAACGTGGTGGGCGGTAGAGAGGAAGGATTGGATTAATTCTATATAAGAGATCGAACGGCGGTCAGCTGCAGGCTATTTACATGTGGAGCGCATGTTTCAAGCAACGTGGTACATTAGGTACTCGGACATTGCATGCGGCTGCTGCGGGAGGATCATCTTCGGAAATGTTCCAAGATTGACATCACCGAGGGGATCCTGCACCTGCCAGTTGGCGCGTGGGGCAGATGCTCCCAAGCAACAACAACGGCTATCTTCCATCGTCATGACACAAATGTTGATGCTGCACTCACGGCAATATTTGATTTTGCCAGCGAGCGCATTTCTTCGTTTGACATACTGTGATCAGGTGATGCACTCGTTCGTAATCGCCTCGTTGGTTTATAGCCCTTTGCACTCACTTGCCACCTCACATGAACTCACCCAAGTCGTGCTTACTGGACTTGATCTTCTCCGCTTTTATTAACATTTCAACAACTTGAACGTCTATCGTGAGCTGCGATCTCCAATGATAGTAACTATAGACAATTATCGCTGCGCTCTCGACCGCGCTGTACCCAGCAATAATGAACCATCCCAACTGGATGACCTCAAATTTACAGTGGTCAGCGCTGGGCACCTCAAACTGAAGCTTCAGGCGCTAAACAGCGCCCTTGCACACACTCCGCCTGCTCAACATCATCGGCTTCGACTTGACGACACCTTACAAGGCGCCTTGCCTCGCACATACATCAACCGTTCAGAGGAAGTATACTTCTTGGTCAAAAGCCTGCCGTGGCCGAGCATGATCCCTGAGGTGTTTGTCAAAGCCTACGGCGAAGTATTGCAGTCGCGCCCTTTTACAAACACATGTATCTCTACTATCAAGAAGCACACCCCAGAATTCACATGGCGTGTCTCTGCTCCAACGTTCTCTGGGATACGGCCTCTCCTACCTGAGCTCGACGCACTTTGCAATACCACGCTCAACGACTACTTTCAAAGAGCTGACGAAAAAGGTCAGTGTTCATTCCGTTCGACTTGAGTAGATATCTGACTCAGAACAGTGAAACCTTTTGCTTTTATGCACCTACCTACTGAACTACGCCTTCAAGTTTACGAGTATCTTGTACCTGCCCAGGCATTCGTTCAAGTGTACTCAAATGAACATCCAAGATCAGACTTTCAAAAGAGGCTGCCAGAACGTCTAGAAATTCTGCGGATCTGCACAGCATTGCATGACGAAACTATCAAGCACTTCTTCGATAAGCCTACCCTGCTCATCGAGGCCTGTGGTAAGGCAAGAAACCCCCGGAATCGAGCCTTATTCAGGACGGAAACCGCATCAGAGTACGCTGGACTCGTTGCCAGCATCAGCCTCAAGGTCAGGACCAAATTCACACGGCTAGAGATCCGGATCGTACCGGATTTGATATCGACCGTGGGGGAGCAATCTCATACTCACGACACTCATGAGCAGCTGGATATTTCCCCATTGCAAAACATCTGCGCTGCTCTTCCAAATCTCGAAACTGTTCTTATCTCGTTTCCTAAGATCGATGATGGGGTAGTGACGGCTGGCGGGATGCGGATGCGGCCCCTCGTCTGGTCGTACTATAACAATCAGAAATTTGCGCTTGAATGGGTTTGCGCTCAGTTGCCTAATGACGGCCTGAAAATTGCGTGGGATCTGACGCATTTCAGACATTCGATCGAGGATGCATCGTATTTAAGGGAAGAAATTGTGTCCGAGCGGATGATGAGAGAACTAATCGAGAGGGATGGCAGCCTCGAACTTGCGCAGAGCGCGGCTGCAACCTGGGAGGACTTGCAGAGATGGTCAGAGATTAGATATGTCATTCTTGAGGCGGTCAAACAGCGTTAACCAATGCTACTGAGCTCTCGCCTTCGACAAATGGCTTTGTAAGCGCCCGAGACACTATCAGTGGATTCTTCATAATCTTCACTGCCAAATGTCTTATCACCATCATATAAGAGATCCGAGATGGCCAAAAGACTCGCCATAATCAGCATGACCAAATGGCGCCTTTGGTGGGGTGTGATTGGTAAGTGGAGTGGTGATGTAACGCAGCAGATCCACTTACACCGAGACCTTCCATTGCATTTGTTAACAACATATTATAAACATTGTTCCCAACTTTCATCAACAATTGGAGCACGGTGAGGTGGCCGAGTTGGGTAAGTTCCACTCAAATGTCACCATCTTCCACTTTCATTCCTAACACGTTCACAGTTATGGCGCCAGGTTAAGGTTCTTTCTCCTTAGCATTGCTGAGCAATCAGCTTCCTGGTCACGAAAGTGGCGCGGGTTCGAGTCCCGTCCTCATCAGCATTCGTTCAACAGTAGTTGAGCACTCCAGGATATTTTTTTTGCTGGGTGGCGATGACGGGCTAGGGCAGGCTAAGCGAGATGGTTGGACCGAATGGCATGAGTCTGCATCTTGAGGGTCTCAGCCTTGCTGAGATGTACTCTTTTAAGCCAGACAAAGCGTTGTTAATAACAGGCTGATTATTTAGTGTTGTGCACCTGCGTGAAATGGCTACAGTGTGAACATCAGAGTCTCCAATACTACTCGTCCAATCGAGCGCCACAACTTCATGTCATGTCAATTATACAGCTGGGTATTATCTGACTCTGTGCAGGTCGTGCGGAGGGTGAAGATTCGAATAGACCCGTTGGCGTCTAGGTATAAGTCGTGAACATTTTAAAGTTGTGTTGATGTCGAAGTCATTGTTGGCTGTGCGCTCTCAATATGCCCACCATGAAGTGCTTACTCTGAGCATCTTTGAAGTGGGGAATATCTGCATGTTCACGATTAGCTCTCTGGCGTGGTCGCCGTCTGGTGTTGAGGTCTTTGCCAGCTCTTTTCAACGCAATTGATTGTTGCAATGCTTGGCTGTATCACGGTAATTTTCTCTTTAGCCATGGATGCTATATTGGATGGAAATTCATTGCAATAACACCATACAGTAGAATTGACACAAGCTTTGCCAAGTTACTCCCAAGTATGTCATGCACGAACTGCGTGAATTTCGGGCAGGTAGCTTGTTGAAGTGGTTGTTGGCATATCTTACAATTGGTTGCGCAGCAAACCTCAACGCAGCGCTCTCGACCCGTCCACCGCAAACCAAGTGGGCCCCGACCAAAACCCACCACACACCCCAGCCTTTCCTCTCGTCTTGATTCAGCGATCCATTGAGTTATTCAAGCATTGGAAACACGATTGACTACTCTATATTCGCTGCAATTCTAACAGTCTTCAACAATTACCCCATTAAGCAATTGTCTTCTAGTCGCTTTAGCTCACTTGGGAGAGCGCCAGACTGAAGTCCTCAGTCACTAAATCTGGAGGTACTGTGTTCGATCCACAGAAGCGACACTAGCTTCCGTGCCCAGTAAATGGGATCACGCGAATTACTTTTTTTTTTCTCCTGCACATTTGTGTGAACTTCTTGAGTCGCGGACAAGCGGTTGGAAAGGGAATGGTGAGATTTGGATGTAGGGCAGGTCTTGACGCGCTTGAACATCGACTTTGCTTCTGCGGGTGTCACCGTAAAAAACATTATTTTTGTTTCTCGCGTATTTGCGAAAGACCGGTCGCTCATGTTTGCAAACCCTGCATAGTAGGAGACAGATTGCTTCTGCAGAACGCTGCCGATGGATGACTCGTGCTCGCCGCCGTGATTAGCCCTTCTCTACACATGAGACCAATTTCCTTCGAGAGGTTCCGAGATGCATCTGCTGCTTCCCCGAGACACTCGTCAGCTGACAGCTTGGTCAGGGTGCTTATCTCCGCGACTTTCTTCTTTCGCTTTGGGTCTGAACTGCTTCGCATCGACCAAAGATAGCAACATGACGAATCAAAGTACGGCAAGCCACAAGCCAATAGTCCAGCGGCGGCGAGGCCGGAGAGTTTTTTTGATTTATTTTGCGTCTGATCGGGATGGGAAGAGGCCGGAGCGGATGACGAAATACTTGTCGATTGCTAACCGCACAATATCACAGTGGAATAAGTCATTAGCAGAGACGGGGTATGTGGAGGAGATCAGGGAGTACTGGGAGCGGGTAGCCAAAGGCGAGAAGTTCGAAGACGTCTGCGCAGATATCAGAGGAAGAGCTTGAGCGTGATGGGCATCACTGAGATGAACTGTCAATATTCAACACGCTGCGATTGAAGCATACGATACCACGAGGTTCAGTCTCCAAGTGTTTCTAACTGTCCATCGCTAAGTCCTGAACGCCATCCCACAATGCTGCGTAGATCATGAACCATACAAGGTGATAAAATCAAAACTCCATAGCGTCCGCTCCCTCTTGTCTTTCCCTCTTCAATGCTGGTTTTTCTTCCTCCATCAGTCCAGCCACGAACTTGCGGAAATAGTCGACATATGGCTTGAGACTCGTCTTCTCCCAATCCTGTACCTTCTTCTCTCCCTCCTCACATTTCCACTCGTCAATCTCTTGCAGCAGTTGTGTAACAGTTGGTACGCCCAAGGGATCAAACTCCTCCACCCTCCTCGTGTCAATAGGTACGCAGACGCGCCCAGTACCAGGATGAATGACGAACGGACTCTTTAGCAAATGGTTGAGTTTCTTGGAAACTTCGGCGTCGAGACGTGGGTAAGTGTACTCAAGGACAATATCTTGTTTCGCTTCCAGGAGCTCCTTGCTTGTTTTCGATAACGCGCCAGACTTTGCCAATGTGTCGATGTCCGCCCATTTACTTGCGCTGGCGCGGTTGGGCGCAGAATCCCACTTCTTCTGCAGCGCGGCGCGCAGTGTGGGGTCGGGGAGGAGGTTGAGGAGATGCGATGACTTCTCGGAAGAGGCCCAGGGATCTTGCTCCGCAAGGATAGACGTCTGGAAGTGCTCTTTTAGGATATCGAGACTGCGCTCGAGATGTGGGTGTAGCGGACGTCGGACGTTGACTTTCTTGCCTCCTTGGTCGCCGCCCTTGAGGAGCTCGAGGTAGCCGGCTATGGCACGGCGTTTTTGGTCGTCCATGAGACGAGCGCGCTTATCGCAAACCCAGGCGTGAGCTCCGCGACGACCAGAGTAGACCCAGAGGATGTGAGAAAAGCCGAAGTCTTCGCGCAGTGCAATGTCCACAACCTTGATGGCCATTGTGATGAAGACCCAACACCTGTGGCAGATGGATGCGCCAGTACAGCATGTACGAATGTCGTCGTAATCTGTCATATCAATATCAAAGACCAGCTCTTTCATGAGCGGGCGGAAAGCGCTGGCTTTGCGGAGGGTCTTGCGATCGCGTGGGTTTGTGCTGTACATGGGACCAATTTCGAAACGGGAGGGCAGCATTTGTATGCATTGTTTTCGAAGGAGGTCGGCAGTGGGGAAGGATTGGTATCGTAGGTAGGCGTCGTTGGGTAGAGTGAAGGCGAACTCTCGGTGAGCGAAGTCGTTTGCGGGGGTTTGGCTGTGGTTCAACCATTGGAAGAGGTAGCGGAAGGGAAAGAGGCGTTGATAGAAGGCACGCATGATTTCGGGGTCAGAGAAGGACGATCGACTTGTGATCTTGCTGCTATATGTAAATGGGTGCGTTGTTGAGGAGGGGCATCACGACATACAGTGGTGCTGGCTGTGAGGCTTCTTCTTCGGACTTAACGGGAGCGCTCGACGCAAACTCGCCGTCTGAATCATCGTCGTCGAAGAGCTCTTCCAGGTTGACTCTCGACTTCTCTGTGGGCGCTGGTGCTGGTGGACTCGGCGCATCCTCCATTGTGGCATCCTGTGTTTCTGGCTCTGGCTTGATATCCTCAGCTTGCGACATTTCTCGTGACGACTCGCCCGCTGGTGTTGATTCTGGCGATAATGAGTGTGGCATCTTGTCTATATGTGACTTGTATATGTGTGTTGTTGCTACTGTACACTCGCTCCTGCATTGTGAGACGCGTCGATGCACTAGCGCGACTTTTCGCGTAGATTGAATCGTCCTTTCTCTTTTGGGCTGCTAGCGCGCCGTCATCACCCACTCGCGTACCCACCCAGAACCCTTCCAATCATATCACCCTTCATCCACCATTATAGTGTCCCGATCCGAAAATATGGCGACGACAGAGGATATGGTCGCAGGCGGTGGATGGATTTCTGATGATTCGAGCTTCTATGGTGAGTGCATCTGCATATTGCAGCGAGCATCACGTCATTCACCATCAAACTGGCAATCGCGAGCTGTCACCCTCCACTACATGCCTGGTGGAACCATCACAACCTATCATCATTCAACCTCCTTATCGCGCACTACTCACCACAATCTTGTCTGACTCATGACTCTAATCGTGCGATAGGTGATGAAAATGAACAAGAATACCAGGAGTCACTCAGCAACCAAAACACACCGAAGGCTTTCTGGTCATCCCACAGTAAGGACTTGAATGCTATTGTATCGCCCGCAAAGCTCCAGGCTCGCAAGGAAGTTGCCTCTGATGTAGATGCTACACCGACCAAGAAGGTCATGCCGCTTACCACCTCGACACGTGCTAACAAACTTCCTGGTTTCTCTGGCCTTGACAGGAAAGCGATGGAAGAACGACTTTCCAGATTAGGCAAAGGCAAGCGCAAGCGGGACCCTTCACCAGAACTAAAATCTCGTCGTGAGCTTTTCAATCCCATGGAAGGCCAGCCTTACTCATGGCAGCTGGGCGAGACCGCAGAGGCTTTCGTCAAACGTGTCCCACCACGCACCATATCAGCGTTGGATTGCGACTGGATCTGGGCAGCTAATCCGTATCCTGACCCGCGTGACAAGTCTGCCGCACCTCGAGTGGCTGCGTTCAAAGACCGTGGTGCAAAGCTACTTGCAGACTCGTTGCAAAAGCGGGACGAGGTTCAAGAGAAGGGGCGTTTCGGTCCAAGGAGCACAGTTACGCGAGCCTGGAACCAGGAAACCAAAGCCTTGCAACAACGCCTGACCAAGGCCGCTGTTGAAACGGGTGTCTTGTCTGGCAAGGTGAGCTTAAGCGTTCGTCCGAAAAGTTGTGCCTTGGGCTAATCGCCGTTACAGTGGATGTTGTTCCCTAAAGTTGAAGAAGTCACTTGGACGTGGAGGACCGTCGTCGAAGCTGTCATTGCCGACCGTCTCGGACCAACGGCCAAGGTGGCTCCTGACGATGGCAAGGATGAGCGATTGAGTAAGCTCAACACCCTGTCCTGTGAAGCTAATGACTGCAGCTAACTTACGTACAGTCTGTGTCTACACCAAGGACTTCAGAGACGAGGATGATGTGCTTCGCGTGCTCCAGGAACTTGAAGACTTAGATCTCATCCGCCACGGTCGAAGCATTTACTACAAGTCTGATGCTTTCACGTATTTGGATTTGTATTCGGCGACCGCTAACAAGTACGGCTTGCAAGCGAGTCTCTATACCAGTACCAAGATGTTGGCTGCCGCTCGAGCAGCTGAGCTGTCTGCGTCGCAAAACACGTGCTCGCAACAGGAGCGGAAGATTCTCAAGAGCTTTTACTAGCTGGTCACCAACAACATTGTAGTCATCAAGTGATTTTTCATCACCCAAAACGTATCGCAGCTACGACCGTAGTTGTTTGGAGTACGACACAATGTACACAGTGCGATCGGCCCAAAGACGTTCCTGGCGTTTTATACCATTCGATCCAATATCTTCTATCCCCACACCTTTCGTATCACGCGTTCTCAGCCCTGGCGTCAATATTCATCTTCTTCTGCATCCGTTGCTGACTGAATCAGACAAGCATTGTAGGAGGATGCACTACGCAGTCTGCACTCATGGCGTTACGAGGGGCGAACAAAGGTCTCGTAGAAAATGGGATGAAGGACTCGTGGAAAAGATCACCCTTATTTAGTCGGTCGGAGGCCTGCCTATTCCAATGGATTGAAGTGCAGGGAACGGAAGAAGTTCACATGGGTACTCATCAACAACATACCAATCGCCCCTTCGCGCAAGTCTTTGCGACGACTTAGCTCATCATTCCGCTTCCACACATGAGCTTACCTACCAAAGTTTCGCGCCAGTAGACCAAGCTCGAAACAAGCTCGCAAAAACATCGATAAACGCGTCAATCGTGTCATGCACACCATGCTGAACAGAAGCGCTGTCTTGACAGGCCTGATGCTCCACACTGCAGCGTATCGAAGATCCTTTTCCAACGTCGCATTGCAGGGCAGAGTCTGCGATGGCGCTATGAAAGGTCTTCTGGCGAAATCGACCATTGTGCCCGCGTCGGCATCTGGAACACCGCAGCAAACCACGCGAAGCCGGGCTGAAGAGCGCTATCGTCGGTTCTACTGCGCAGCACGGTCGCGCTACTGAAAGACAGCATCTCCGGAAACGTGGAAATTGCAAACTATTACTCGATCGTAACAGGGTCCAGCCGTAAGTCGCCGAGGACGCGAACAATCTCCCAACAAGCGTTGGTGGGTGATGACTGACAGCGGGCATGGCCGAACATCATTGTGGGCGCAGGCTCAGCTTCCCAATATCGTCGTTGTTGAGTGCGCAACGCGGAGGTATGCCCGGTCGAGGTAGTTGTGCACCCTTGAGACTTCCGGTCTTTGCAGGCAGAAATCCGGCAGCAGAGCGGCATTTATGACCCTCGGCTGCGAAACACTCCTCGGCCAAGTCCGACAATCTTCAGCTTTCCGTGTTGAGCTAAACCACCGGGAGGCTGTTCTGAGATCTGGCTCTGGTTTCTCTTACTCGATGGGATCGTTCTCTATCGAGTAACAAGAATCGCAGATGCAGGCGTGTTGAGAGGTACGCGGACTGACGGTGTGTTAGCCTCTCCGGCATCTTCGGCGCTGGCTCCGCTGAGCTCATCGAGCTGGCAACGATCTCATCCTGCGCGACCGATGTCAGCATCAAGAACAAGAAAAGACTATGCACGTAGGAAAAATCTTACCTCTCTATGTTTGTCCTTTGGTATATCGACGGCGTGGAGCTTTATTAGGAACATGACGTTGGACCGTTGACCCTGCGCTAGTTCCCTTATCCGTAGCGCCGATCAAGCCCTGGTCTCGGTACGATACGACTCCACGCCTTATCAGTTCCACGGCCGCCTCCGCTTAACAAACAATCCTCGCAAGCTGCCCTCTTCGGTGCCAGATGTACCGCTGTCGAGTTCGCACATCGGCATTTGCAAAGGTGCCTGATGGCTACTCTTGAACACAGATCTCGTGTCGAAGTTTGCAATGCAAAATCAACAACTTCGCACGAAGCTACGGTTGTGAGACCGTGCTGGCCGCGCTTGCGCCGAACAACGGGAGCCAGTTCGAGATGCTTCGCCAAGGGTGTTGATAACCTTACATATCTACCCGACTACCAATTTTGATCGAGTAAAACGAGGCGGTCTGCCGCCGCTAGGATACAGCCCCTGGTGCCCTTTCTTTTCCGGGGTTCGACTAAAGATCTCAAATGCCCATTTCGGTGCATAGATAAGAACCTATACCCCAGGTTTGGGCGTTTTCGGTATCGACGTTAGCATAACATTTTTCGACTGCTGTACTTGCTTGTCTCTTCGAGATATCCAAGTCTTTGCGAAAACAAGCTTCCTCTTTTCGACTGTCAGACCCAACACCAGACACATCTTATCACTGCTTATCGTTGTCTCATTCGAGCATCCCACATCCCACTTCATCTTCCCCTCGTTTGCCGAGGCTGAGCATTTACAACTATAGCCTCGTCCTCAGTACTAGAGTTGTAAAGATTGGCTCTATTTCCCTACGGACTACGTTCTACATCAGTCAACATGGCTCCTCACGCGACCTCACCTCCACCGCTGGAGCACAGCAAGCCATCTCAGCCCATTAAAGTCATTGCTTCCTCGAGAGCAGTAGTCGCTGGCCGACTAACCGAAGCAACCATTATAATTTCCGAGAACACTGGCAAGATCACATCTATCTTCCACTCCGTCCTGCCTCGGTCAGACTTCCCTGAAGGCACACCATACACCGACTACTCACCTCACATCCTCCTTCCTGGCTTGGTCGACGCTCACGTACATCTCAACGAACCTGGACGAACAGAATGGGAGGGCTTCTGGACTGGCACTCGTGCCGCTGCTTTCGGAGGTGTTACCACAGTTGTCGACATGCCACTGAACGCTATCCCGCCCACTACCACTGTTGAGAACCTCAACATCAAGGTCGATGCCTCCAAGGGCAAGTGCTGGGTGGATGTCGGCTTCTATGGTGGTATCATCCCAGGAAACGACAAGGACCTTCAAGGTTTGGTCGATGCAGGTGTACGAGGCTTCAAGGGATTTCTATGCGACAGTGGTGTATGCATTTCCCTTTGCCCAATATAGGATCCAGCCACTAACTCCCATCAGGTCGAAGAGTTCCCCGCTGTATCCTCTCTCGATATTGAGAAGGCCCTTCTTGAGTTAAAGGAGTCAACAACAACACTGATGTTCCACGCCGAAATGATCCCTCCGGTTGCCGACTCCGTTGGTGACAACGTCCAACGCGCCAACCCTCCCCTCGCCCCCAAGGGTCCTCTTACCTCGTACTCCACCTTCCTCGCATCCCGCCCGCCAGCCTTCGAAACCTACGCCGTCGCCGAGATCCTCTCTTTGGCCCACCTCGCACCCGAACTACAACTCCACATCGTGCACCTGAGCGCCATGGAAGCCATCCCCATGCTGCGCGAAGCCCGCGCAAACGGCGTCAAAATCACAGCCGAGACATGCTTCCATTACCTTGCGCTCGCCGCCGAGCGCATCGAAGAGGGCGACACGCGCCACAAGTGCTGTCCGCCCATCCGCTCGCAGTCAAACCAAGACGCGCTCTGGACCGAGCTGCTCCAAGACCAAGTTGACGGCGTCATCCAGACCGTTGTATCTGACCACTCGCCCTGCACGCCGGAGATTAAGCTCCTCCCGCTCCATCTCGCGCCGAAGAAACACACTACCAAGACGCTCAACCATGACCAGGATTGCGAGTCGAGTGATGATGGGCCGGAGACGCCGATGGAGGGGCCGGAGGAGAAGGGCGATTTCTTTGGTGCGTGGGGTGGGATTTCTAGCGTCGGCCTTGGGCTGCCGATTCTTTGGACGGAAGGGTTGAAGAGGGATAGCAAGTTCAGTGTGGAGGAGATCGTGAGGTGGTGCTGTAAGAACACTGCTAAGCAGGTCGGTCTTGAGCAATACAAGGGTGATCTGGGTGTTGGGTTTGATGCTGACATTGTGGTCTTTGATGAGACTGCGGAGTTCTTGGTAAGTCTGAATTCAACACAGGTGGTGGATAGGATGGCGTGTGCTAATGAAATGCAGGTTGAGCCTAGCACTATGCTCTTTCGTAACAAGGTCTCGCCGTACGAGAACAAGACGCTGAAGGGTGTTGTTAAGGAGACTTTTCTCCGTGGGCAGAGGATCTTCTCGAGGGAGGAGGGGTTCCAGAAGAGTGGGCCGAGTGGAAAGACACTGCTCGAGCCGAGGACTACCAGGGCTCAGAACGATCGGTGAATGTAAAGGCTTCCGAAGCGAGAAGGGTTTGAGATAGAGGAGGGTTGGGGTGATGATTATGATTGCATAGATGGCGTTAGCACAGAGGCGTTCAGCGTGGCGAAAGGTTAGCGAGAGGTCTATAATCAGCGTAACGGATATCAATCAAGTAACTATGAACTTTCTTTACAGCCTAAACCTTACATTTCAGGGCGTGGCACAAGCCTGTTTCACCCCGATGCTCTTGAGAGGAAACTGTGCTCAAAGCCATCAGTGTGAAAAGGACTGCGTTCGATAGCCGACGACTCTGCGTATCCGTAAGTGTCGATGTTTGTATATACCACAGTGTTTGTAGAGATGGCTCAGCGACAAGTCGCATGGCGTTCTGCATGCGCCGTAACATGCATTTGTGGCTTGATTCTACTGCAATAGGTGTGCATGCATCTCAAGTCGTCAAGTCAACCAGCTTATCTGCTTCTCAACATCAAGGTCTTGCAGCAGAAGTGCACATGCAGTAACACACGGGGTTACAGCAATTATCGTGGGAACACAGCGGAGCCGGCGTGCAGAAGTCCGCGTTAGTGTTCAGCAGGGTCTGCAGGTGGTGGCGGCGAGCTGACAGAAGCATGAACCAAGTTCGATACCTGGGCATCACAACAGCACAAAGTTCTCGATAGTGCACATGTGGTTTGTGAGTCTGATCCTTGATTGATTCTATATGTCCGACATATGGTAGTGCCTTTTCAGTCCTCCATAATTGCCTTGATGTCGTAACTCGTATCGATCGTGGTGGGCGACGCGCTTATTTGGCCTCGTCGAAGACGTAGGTCAAGTGGCAGCGACCGCAGTACTGGCGGTTGTGCATGGCAGCCATGAAGACACCAGCACCGCACTCGGGCTGGGGGCACTCACGGCGAAGACGCTCGATCTTGCCGTCGCCGTCAACCTTGTAGTACTTGAGCACAGCGAGCTTGGTCTTCTTGCGCTTGTGCTTGATCTTCTTGGGGGTGGTGTAGACCTTCTTCTTCCTCTTCTTGCCACCACCACGTAGGCGGAGCACCAGGTGAAGAGTGGACTCCTTCTGGATGTTGTAGTCGGAGAGGGTGCGGCCATCCTCGAGCTGCTTGCCCGCGAAGATGAGACGCTGCTGGTCCGGGGGAATGCCCTCCTTGTCTGCGCAATTGTTAGGTGCTGCGCAATACTGGCGGCAGTGTGCGCGACATACCCTGGATCTTGGACTTCACATTGTCGATGGTGTCCGAAGACTCCACCTCAAGGGTGATGGTCTTGCCCGTGAGGGTCTTTACGAAAATCTGCATGGCGGCCTACAGAGTCAGTAAAGAAAGAAGAGAGTAAAGCGCCTGCCTGCGTTGAGAAGACAGGACGGCGGGCGCAAGATAAAGGTCTGCTTACCTAGACAAACGGGTTGTCTTCCTCAGTCGGTGCAGAAGGTTGCTGGAGGGGAAATTCTCTGGATAAGGCGAATTAGCTAGCGACTGTGGGCTCTTACTAAGCAGCCGAGAGTGGCTGGTGCGGGCGGCAAAATTTGGAAGGCGCCGTGCAGCGATCAGGCCCGTGCAGGAAGTGGCGCCTGCGTTGCTGGGTAACCGCGACCGGATGTTTGTGTTGATGGATTGCCGCAAGTGGTACTAGACATCGTCATCTCCACCTCGCTGCGTTAATACATCAAACCTCGAGAATCCACATCCCTCGCATCCCATCCCCACAAACTCTAGCGCATCCATTATTTGCCTTTCTCTGGCCGCACGTCGCCAGCACTACCGCGCCCTACATCCGTCTGCATAGGCTTCGGCCGGTGATACTTACTTGAGGCAGGCTCTGGGAGACTGCACTGTACTGAGGATACCGTAAGGAGACTAACCGCCCGGCGGAGTGCCGCTTGTATTTGCGTGAGGTACGTCCGAGTCCATTTCTCAATTGATTTGATGAATACTGGCTCACAAATATCAGTATCGGACAAAAAGGACACCCGTCCTCGGACAACAACACCGGACTCGACGAGCATAGCAAAATGCTGTCCACAAATTCACCCCAAGGCATCTCCCGCCGACGAATGCAACACAGGCGCCAACTTTCGACACCAAACGCATTCGAGATGCCCAGCGTACGACACAGCCCTGTCAGCCAGCAGCAACGGCGACACAACCGGACAGGCATGAGCCTGGATCTTCGAGGCCTTAACCTTGAGTCGATCCAGGCACCTAGCCCCGGTCTCTACCAGCAGGAGCACAGTACGGTAAGTTTTACTAACCATCTAGGACAACCATCACAGCAAACTATGCAAGTAGCGCAATCGCACAGCCAACCCCAGCCGGGCCCCCGGGAGGCCTTCCTACATTCCCCAGTACAGTTATCTCCCAGATGCAGATCACCGCGGACGCCCATCTATGCGTCCCGCCCACAGTCTCCCCAGAACCAACCTCAATCACCTAACAGACCTCCAACTGAACAACAGTTGAAGGACCTCCATGAGCACATCCAATCTGTGTATGGCTCATGTGGACAGGTTTTCATCAACATTCTCCCCACACCAACAGTCGCACAAGCACCACAAGCTGTCATCCCAGAAAAGCCAGCACAATTACCTAGCCATCAGTCGTTCGGCATGGCTCCTCATCCCACCAACTTCAACGATGTTGCCGATATCAACCTCCAGCCAACATCACGCGCGATGACTTTCGACTTCGAGAACCCCGACGCAGACAATGGATATGACTCTTCAGGCTACTACACCTCAGATGTCTCGCCGTCGCCACAAGCTTCCCCGCGTATGAGGATGACACAGCCCTTCCTTCAAGGTATTGCAGAGGACCCTTCTCAAGAAACACCCTTCTCGCACCCACCAACACTTCTTCCTGCATTGGACCCGCACAGCCCAACACATGGTATCCCCAACGGCCTGCCGCTCGCAGTCAGCCCATTCGAAGAGGCACCAATGTACACAGATCTTGAGATCGACGCCAGCCTTGAGTACACCGGCATTGCTCCAGAAGAAGTTCAGCGCTACATCAGCGAGCAGGACCCCAAGACAAACAAGTGGATGTGTCTGTACCAGGATTGCGGCAAGGTCTTCGGCAGGAGGGAGAACATCCGATCGCACGTTCAGACACATCTTGGCGATAGGCAGTACAAGTGCAATGGATGCGGCAAGTGCTTTGTGCGACAGCACGACCTCAAGCGTCATGCGAAGATTCACACTGGCAACAAGCCCTACAAGTGTCCCTGCGGTGCCGGCTTTGCGCGACAAGACGCACTGACAAGGCACCGACAGCGTGGCATGTGCGTTGGTGGATTTGCTGATGCCGTACGGCGACAGGCCAAGCGCGGCAGGCCGAAGAAGCATCGCCCTGAGATGGAAGAGCGTGTGGAAAAGGCAAGCAGGACTCGACGTGCTCTTGCCTCTGCATCCTCATCTGTCTCTCCAAGCTCGCCTGGCTCTGAAGCCTGCTCGCCATACGAGTCATACGAGTCGACACAGTCACAATTGCTTTCCGACACAGGAAGCTTCAACGAGCCAATAAACGTATCAACAGGTCCATTCAGGTATGTGGTGCCTCTTCCCCTCTTCGAACCTGGGCTAACCTCCATCTAGTTTCGAGTCCCAATCTAGCCCATACCACGAAGAGACCACCGAAGACAACTTCACGCTTACCACATCGTACGCCGGCGAAGTTGCCTCCATGAACCTTCTTCAGCAGCTATCAGACGAACCAGCACAAACACCTCCTCTGTCACCAGCTGACTACCGCCCACGCTCGCGCGAATCGGTACAAGACCGGAAAAAGTCATTTCAGTCGAGCCCATTGAAAGTCACAGACTCACCATCGCGGTCCCCGGCCCAGTCGCAGCAGTTCACAACACCACCGACATCGCCGATCGAGCCAAAGGACGAGTTGGAAGACCTCTTCGACATTCGACCTGAGCCTTCATTCTCACAGTTCGACCTCGAGATGAAAGCGATGAGCGACTTCACCGCGGTGGACAACAACTCATACGACTTTCTAGACTTCACCACCGTATAAATTTTGCGACACTGGACATTTGGAGAGGCTGTATGATACATTGAGATTCACGAACGTAATGACTGGCGTTCTTGCAATCTTAGGAAAAGCTTTGGATAGCGTGTTTTGGACTTGAGCGGGCTCGTTCCTATGCTTTTGCACCAAAGACTGCATGTGTATCTGTTCATCATAAGATTGGATATGTTCTTGGTATCATGTAATAGGGGCCGCGCAGCTATGCTGTTGCGATGTTGGCGTTTTAGGCTTGGGTTTGCTTCACTTCGTGAAGAGTTTGTGCCGCATGGTGGACGGCTCTTTGGACGTTCTTTTGTTTGTCTATCTGTGAGCGTTGAGCAAGATCTTAGCTTAGCAATGATACACTGTCGATGACGGTATTCCACTCGCTACACTTCTTCACTTCTTCCAATGTTCTCCACACAATGCTTTCCATTTCTCGAATGCTATCTTGTCACAGTTGCGATCGTTTGGTGAAAGCAAACTTGCGCTTCCCTTCACTTCACATGTTTCCACAAACCCTTCACACCACCACGTACAAAATCTGTTACCTGCTTCCAACTGCGCTCCTACAACCATTCCATACTCAATCATACAACTACACTATGTCGTTCTTATCCTCATCTTCGCCGCGCGAACCATCGTACTTCTTCCCTCCTGCGCATCCAGCTCCGTTACCAGTTATATCCGCGTCTACACCTCCGGCTGCAACGAGCAGGGATCTACCTCACCATTCTCCAGCACCAGCGCCATCGATACCGCCACCACCTCGTACTGCGATCGATCTTCCACCCACCCGTCTCCGGGGCCTATCTAACCTGGTTGACCTTGTCAAGCGCAACACTGGGACCTCCATTGCCTTAGCTGGTGTCGCTGCAGTGATTGAATATCTTAAATGTCTTCCTTATTTGAGCGAGCTGGGTGGCGGACTTGTGGGTGTGGCATGTGTGGGTGGAGTGATTTTTGGTGTTGTTGCGTTAGAGAAAGCTGGGGATGGGTGGGATACGGGTGTTGAAGGGGCTTGGGGGAAAGTTTAGCGGTGGGTGCAGGATCGAATCGCTGGAGAGGAGGGAAGTGAAGGAGGAGGAAGTGGAGGTGGAGGTGACGATGATGTTCAACGAGGACGGAGAGTCAGTCTTCCTGCTCGACGAGCCCTAGCAGGCGCGACCAACCACTCTTCTGCCGGAGTCGAACACCGGCTCACAATGAGAGACACCACTATGCTATGTTCATGAGAGAAGTCTGCTCCTCCGGCTTTGCTTGCATTCAAATCCCCTCCCGCACTGGACAAGCGACATCTGAACTCTCCTCCCTCACCCGGCCACTGAGAGCACGCATACACCTCCAGCTCCTCCCAACCACGTCTTCACCATCCGGTTCCACACCGACGACCAGGCCACGACGCATCTCGATGCCTTGATGAGCATCACACATCTGGATTCCTAGGCCCGTCACTAATGTCACCACGCTGCACAGCACCCAAAGAGTTTGACTTCAAGCACTTCACCGGACAAGGGTTCCATAAACATGAGCAGAGGTTGAAAGCTGTGAACCAGTGGTCGGCTCCGGGGCGAAGCGATCGATCGTTTGATGAGATTTTGGCGGATATCGAAGAGATGGAGGATGCAGGGCGTTATTGAGGGGGAGTAGTAGGAGATCTTGGGAAGATTGTTGAGTGAGTTTACAGTTTTCGATGGGTTGATGGCTATGCAAAAGGATGATATTGTAGTGAGGCTTGTAGAATCGTTTTTGGGCTGTGTGGTGAAAGGGGATATCGAGTACGTGGTTTCTTTAATCAACGACGAAGTGTGGGATTTCATCATGATCAGTAAGTACAACTGTATCATACTCAAAAAGAATTGAACTGACGACCATAACAACAATGTACTTGTGAGTGTGCACAACGTGCAGATCGTCGTCAATCCTTTGTCGTTTCGTCACGCACTCTTTACCTCAAGCTCGTCTTTGCGTTGCTCCCGCACCTGTGCCATTGACCTTCCTTGTCCTAGCCGCTTCTTCTCCCGCTTCCCGACAAGGATTCCGGCAGCCAAAGATTTTACAAGTACCGTCAGAAGTTGGAGGCAGTGAGCAAACCGGGGAGTAGTAGGAGTTATGAGGAGGTTATGCGGGAGGTTGAGAGGATGAGTGGGAAGGATTGGGGGAGGAAGAAGGGTTGGTAGGGGAGACGGACAGTGGAGCAGAACAAATTGGGGAAGATGGTGGTAATTGGTTTTGATGCAGTCGCAATATGAGGGGAGGTGGAGTCAGGACGTATTTGTGGGCTCTGGCTGTTCTAGGTTCAGATGTGGATGTTTAGATAATGGGGATGGTCTTCTCCTCAAAACCCTTGTCCCACTCGGCGAAATCCTTTGTTGCTTCATAGACACCGATCCGCTCATAGTTGATATCGTCTGCCTTTGTAAGCACTAAGCCAGAGTCGTAGTTCCAGCCTTGCACCTGTTTCTTCCAGACGCTGAGAAATAATATTAGTTCAGGTCTTGACAGGGATTCTGGGTTAATGCTGGTGGTCCACCAAGCATAATCGGGATAAATGGTGCCTCTATATTTTGTGTCATCCTGGAAATGGGTACGTGCTTCATCGAGAGGAAGGGTCTTCAGTGCTCCATCGATGGTCAGACGCCCTCCATCTACCTTTCCAAACTCTAGTCTTTTCTCTTTAAGGTTGACGCTGCATTCTAGAATTTGAGCTCTACCAGTGCGAAACGAAAGCGGAAACAAAGACGTATCTATGTCACCCTCCCTGGACGCCCAGGGACAAGATGGGATTGCGTATCTTCGTTGCGTCACAGACCCCAATCCAACCTTTGCCGCCGCTTCCGATCTCCAGAGCAGATCTTTTTCGAGCATACCTTTCCACATACCAGCAACATATATATCTCCAGTCATTTTTGTGGAGTTCTGCTGCTCAAGAATTTCATACCACGATCGTTGGATCTCGGAAGATGTCTCATCTGCCCGATCCTGGTAAAAGTTTTGGATTCCTGGTGCGTCCACGCACGCTCGAGGATAGGAAAGCTTCGCTCATCTAACGGCTTAGCCCAGGAAGGCGCCAGGTGCAGCGAAGCCGTTCCCGTGGACCCATTCGCACATATGATTGGCAGAGAAGCAAAGTCTGCAGATATTCCTTGTACAGACTGGGGGCCTAGAAATCACTGAATGCATGAAGATGCGCTTGCGGCAGAGTAAGTGGCCCAAGCGTTTTTGTAAATGTCGGCCATGTGCGCCACCTCATGGATATGGTCCTCTTGACAGTTTGGAATGCTGCATAATGAACCAATCCGAAAGGTACGGAATTCCCAACTTGCGCGTCAAGCTGGTTTCATCAACAATGCTAGTTGGCAAGTCAGACATATGGAGTGCCCTAGCCCGTGTCGGGAGCTTCTTTGGAGCATGCTGCTGTAGTGGACACTCCGCGTGTGATCCTTTTTGTGTAGTACATGATTCAAGCCATTCCTTTATGAGATGGATATTGCTTAAAGACGTCGGATCTTCATCACGGACTCTGCCTTTGAGTATCGGTGCTTGCCAAAATGTATGGACCCCCCTGAATCGGGCTCGCTACTGAAGTCCTCTACATCATACAGTCGGAGGACAAAAGTCTTGTCGCCCGATGCACTTGGACCACCACAACTACTTTTGAGTGAATGTTCACACACTATTATCTCAACAACC